CGCAGGTGTTTTTTAGGGCGCCCACTCTATTCCGATGGACGGCCTGATCGGCATTCGTTCGTCGGGTCACGAATTCGCTGTTGTATGCCGGGACAGACATCAACAATGATCCTTTCGCAGGTTCGCCTATAAAATCCTTGTTACGTGTTCTTTTTTCTCTAAACGATAAGTCTTACTAACATCCCGCGTTGACGCGGGTTCGTCGGCGCCCGTGCGCGAATCCTCATTCGCAATATACGGCTGGACGACGGGTCCGTGAACGGCGGACAAGGTCGTCGTTCGCGACTTTTTGCCGCGACCTGCATCGCAGGAAATCCATTTTGGATGCCTACATATTCGCGAAAATCCGCGCAGGAGCTTTTTAGGGCGCCCACTATGTTCGGATGGATGGCCTGATCGGCATTCGTTCGTCGGGTCACGAATTCGCTGTTGTCTGCCGGGACATACATCGACAATGATGCTTTCGCAGGTTCGCCTATAAAATCCCTTTTACCTTTTCTTTTTTCTCTAAACGATAAGTCTTACTGGACATCCCGCGTTGACGCGGGTTCGTCGGTGCCCGTGCGCGAATCCTCGTTCGCAATATACGGCTGGACGACGGGTCCGTGAACGGCGGACAAGGTCGTCGTTCGCGACTTTTTGCCGCGACCTGCATCGCAGGAAATCCATTTTGGATGCCTACATATTCGCGAAAATCCGCGCAGGAGCTTTTTAGGGCGCCCACTCTGTTCCGATGGACGGCCTGATCGGCATTCGTTCGTCGGGTCACGAATTCGCTGTTGTATGCCGGGACAGACATCGACAATGATCCTTTCGCAGGTTCGCCTATGAAATCCCTTTTACCTGTTCTTTTTCTCTGAACGATAAGTCTTACTGGACATCCCGCGTTGACGCGGGTTCGTCGGCCCCCGTGCGCGAATCCTCGTTCGCAATATACGGCTGGACGACGGGTCCGTGAACGGCGGACAAGGTCGTCGTTCGCGATTTTTTGCCGCGACCTGCATCGCAGGAAATCCATTTTGGATGCCTACATATTCGCGAAAATCCGCGCAGGAGTTTTTTAGGGCGCCCACTCTGTTCCGATGGACGGCCTGATCGGCATTCGTTCGTCGGGTCACGAGTTCGCTGTTGTCTGCCGGGACAGACATCGACAATGATCCTTTCGCAGGTTCGCCTATAAAATCCCTTTTACCTGTTCTTTTTTCTCTAAACGATAAGTCTTACTGGACATCCCGCGTTGACGCGGGTTCGTCGGCGCCCGTGCGCGAATCCTCGTTCGTGCAATATACGGCTGGACGACGGGTCTGTGAACGGCGGACAAGGTCGTCGTTCGCGACTTTTTGCCGCAACCTGCATCGCAGGAAATCCATTTTTACTGCCTACATATTCGAGAAAATCCGCGCAGGTGTTTTTTAGGGCGCCCACTCTATTCCGATGGACGGCCTGATCGGCATTCGTTCGTCGGGTCACGAATTCGCTGTTGTATGCCGGGACAGACATCAACAATGATCCTTTCGCAGGTTCGCCTATAAAATCCTTGTTACGTGTTCTTTTTTCTCTAAACGATAAGTCTTACTAAATCCCGCGTTGACGCGGGTTCGTCGGCGCCCGTGCGCGAATCCTCATTCGCAATATACGGCTGGACGACGGGTCCGTGAACGGCGGACAAGGTCGTCGTTCGCGACTTTTTGCCGCGACCTGCATCGCAGGAAATCCATTTTGGATGCCTACATATTCGCGAAAATCCGCGCAGGAGCTTTTTAGGGCGCCCACTATGTTCGGATGGATGGCCTGATCGGCATTCGTTCGTCGGGTCACGAATTCGCTGTTGTCTGCCGGGACATACATCGACAATGATGCTTTCGCAGGTTCGCCTATAAAATCCCTTTACCTTTTCTTTTTCTCTAAACGATAAGTCTTACTGGACATCCCGCGTTGACGCGGGTTCGTCGGTGCCCGTGCGCGAATCCTCGTTCGCAATATACGGCTGGACGACGGGTCCGTGAACGGCGGACAAGGTCGTCGTTCGCGACTTTTTGCCGCGACCTGCATCGCAGGAAATCCATTTTGGATGCCTACATATTCGCGAAAATCCGCGCAGGAGCTTTTTAGGGCGCCCACTCTGTTCCGATGGACGGCCTGATCGGCATTCGTTCGTCGGGTCACGAATTCGCTGTTGTATGCCGGGACAGACATCGACAATGATCCTTTCGCAGGTTCGCCTATGAAATCCCTTTTACCTGTTCTTTTTTCTCTGAACGATAAGTCTTACTGGACATCCCGCGTTGACGCGGGTTCGTCGGCCCCCGTGCGCGAATCCTCGTTCGCAATATACGGCTGGACGACGGGTCCGTGAACGGCGGACAAGGTCGTCGTTCGCGATTTTTTGCCGCGACCTGCATCGCAGGAAATCCATTTTGGATGCCTACATATTCGCGAAAATCCGCGCAGGAGTTTTTTAGGGCGCCCACTCTGTTCCGATGGACGGCCTGATCGGCATTCGTTCGTCGGGTCACGAATTCGCTGTTGTCTGCCGGGACAGACATCGACAATGATCCTTTCGCAGGTTCGCCTATAAAATCCCTTTTACCTGTTCTTTTTTCTCTAAACGATAAGTCTTACTGGACATCCCGCGTTGACGCGGGTTCGTCGGCGCCCGTGCGCGAATCCTCGTTCGCGCAATATACGGCTGGACGACGGATCTGTGAACGGCGGACAAGGTCGTCGTTCGCGACTTTTTGCCGCAACCTGCATCGCAGGAAATCCATTTTTACTGCCTACATATTCGCGAAAATCCGCGCAGGTGTTTTTTAGGGCACCCACTCTATTCCGATGGACGGCCTGATCGGCATTCGTTCGTCGGGTCACGAATTCGCTGTTGTATGCCGGGACAGACATCAACAATGATCCTTTCGCAGGTTTGCCTATAAAATCCTTGTTACGTGTTCTTTTTTCTCTAAACGATAAGTCTTACTAGACATCCCGCGTTGACGCGGGTTCGTCGGCGCGCGTGCGCGAATCCTCGTTCGCAATATACGGCTGGACGACGGGTCCGTGAACGGCGGACAAGGTCGTCGTTCGCGACTTTTTGCCGCGACCTGCATCGCAGGAAATCCATTTTGGATGCCTACATATTCGCAAAAATCCGCGCAGAGCTTTTTAGGGTGCCCACTCTGTTCGGATGGATGGCCTGATCGGCATTCGTTCGTCGGGTCACGAATTCGCTGTTGTCTGCCGGGACAGACATCGACAATGATGCTTTCGCAGGTTCGCCTATAAAATCCCTTTTACCTTTTCTTTTTTCTCTAAACGATAAGTCTTACTGGACATCCCGCGTTGACGCGGGTTCGTCGGCGCCCGTGCGCGAATCCTCGTTCGCAATATACGGCTGGACGACGGGTCCGTGAACGGCGGACAAGGTCGTCGTTCGCGACTTTTTGCCGCGACCTGCATCGCAGGAAATCCATTTTGGATGCCTACATATTCGCGAAAATCCGCGCAGGAGCTTTTTAGGGCGCCCACTCTGTTCCGATGGACGGCCTGATCGGCATTCGTTCGTCGGGTCACGAATTCGCTGTTGTATGCCGGGACAGACATCGACAATTATCCTTTCACAGGTTCGCCTATAAAATCCTTGTTACGTGTTCTTTTTTCTCTAAACGATAAGTCTTACTGGACATCCCCCGATGACGCGGGTTCGTCGGCGCCCGTGCGCTAATCCTCGTTCGCAATATACGACTGGACGACGGGTCCGTGAACGGAGGACAAGGTCGTCGTTCGCGACTTTTTGCCGCGACCTGCATCGCAGAAAATCCATTTTGGATGCCTACATATTCGCGAAAATCCGCGCAGGAGTTTTTTAGGGCGCCCACTCTGTTCCAATGGACGGCCTGATCGGCATTCGTTCGTCGGGTCACAAATTCGCTGTTGTCTACCGGGACAGACATCGACAATGATCCTTTCGCAGGTTCGCCTATAAAATCCCTTTTACCTGTTCTTTTTTCTCTAAACGATAAGTCTTACTGGACATCCCGCGTTGACGCGGGTTCGTCGGCGCCCGTGCGCGAATCCTCGTTCGCAATATACGGCTGGACGACGGGTCCGTGAACGGTGGACAAGGTCGTCGTTTGCGACTTTTTGCCGCGACCTGCATCGCAGGAAATCCATTTTGGATGCCTACATATTCGCGAAAATCCGCGCAGGAGCTTTTTAGGGCGCCCACTCTGTTCGGATGGATGGCCTGATCGGCATTCGTTCGTCGGGTCACGAATTCGCTGTTGTCTGCCGGGACAGACATCGACAATGATGCTTTCGCAGGTTCGCCTATAAAATCCCTTTTACCTTTTCTTTTTTCTCTAAACGATAAGTCTTACTGGACATCCCGCGTTGACGCGGGTTCGTCGGCGCCCGTGCGCGAATCCTCGTTCGCAATATATGGTTGGACGACGGGTCCGTGAACGGCGGACAAGGTCGTCGTTCGCGACTTTTTGCCGCGACCTGCATCGCAGGAAATCCATTTTGGATGCCTACATATTCGCGAAAATCCGCGCAGGAGCTTTTTAGGGCGTCCACTCTGTTCCGATGGACGGCCTGATCGGCATTCTTTCGTCGGGTCACGAATTCGCTGTTGTATGCTGGGACAGACATCGACAATGATCCTTTCACAAGCAGGTTGCTTCCAAGCTCAAACCATTTTCAACTGAATTGCGACTTTTTTCTTCTTATTGCTTGTTCGACTTTTCTCGTTGGCGTAGTGCTCTATTCGGTCGGAACCCTGTTCGAGAACCTTCTCTCATAGATTCTCTTCACCAAGTCATCGCGAGCACTCAACTCCCTTGGTGTCACATTCCTTAATTCCTAAAAATAACTTACTAATTTGCGAAAACGCCCATTAAGCCAAAGAAATACTATTTCTACTCCCCTTCCCAACAGATATTTGCAAAAAAGGACACCCCCACAGACTGAGAGACTGACACACACTGTTTGCAGCAAATGTGAAAATGGAAGCAGAAAGAAGATCCAAAGTGAACTCCAAAAAGCACTTTCCCTCTCTTCCCCCATATCTCTCTCTCTCCCTTCACGTGCCAATCATCCACCCGTCACGTGACTCCTTCCCCGCCCCACTCTGCAGCTGCAGCAGCAGCTCTTCATCACTCTCACAACAACAATCAATCATCTCAGTCACTCCCAAAATCCCCAATTTTTACTCCCCACCAGAAACCCTAGATTTTGTGCCTGTAAATTCGCTAGATAGCTGTGCGTTTGCTTGAATGTGGTTGCAGTGAAGATGGGCTGTCTTCAGTCCAAAACTGCCAATGTTCAATCTCCCGACCAGGAGCCTCCGCAGCCGGACCCGAAATCAGATCTAGGTATTCACGATTTAGCTGGCGTAGTTGCTTTCGGTTCTCCTTAGCTATTTTGGTTTTCAATTTCTGGCTGTGGACTTGCTTTGTGGGAGGTGTATGTATGTGTACTGTTCGCCATTATTTGAAGTAATCATTGTACAACTAAAAAGGCTTTGTTGTCTGTAAGGGATAGATAAGAAGCATCTTTTGACTGTGTGTGTTCTTTTGGTGATTTTGGGGACACTTTTGGACACTATTTTGGATTGTCTACACGTGATTTCAATTATCCACACCTTAGTTTCGAAGGTAGGTGCAGATTAGGCACTAAATTTTGACCTTATTGTAGCTTGAATTTTCTTTTAAGTACATGAGCTCTACTTTTGGATTTCTTGCCTTTTTTATATATGTATAATGGTTTAGGGTTCTAGCTGTGCTTTTGTTTACTCATTACTGGGCATATTTGTCTCTCATCCTTTATTTACTTTTGGGTTATTAGCTTATGATCTTTATATGCTTTTGCTGATCTGTGTCAAAATTGAAGTGTTTGGAATTCTGCTGCTGAAGATATGCTCTTTGGGTAATTTTCAAACACATTATATTTAGTGATGTGTGGTCAAAAGTTTCTGTTGGGGAATTAGGCAAAACTTGAAGTAGCAATCTTGCTTATAGCTATGCAAGATCAATCATAATATTCCTTGAAGAACTTAAATCTAGATAAAAGAACTCTGATGAAGGATGTACATTGAGGCAAGTCTACAAAGTACAAACAAACCAATATTTAAGTGGAAAACCTGGAATAGGAAGAAAGAGTGGGCACCTTTCTATCCAATTCTCCCATAAATCTGTAGTAGATAACATGCGTTGAGCTCACTCTAGAAGAGTCCTATTGATTTGCTCGGCAATATCATTTTGTTGGGGTGTCCTTGGAACCGTCTCATGTCTCGTGAAGTCATGATCCCCTAACTCAAGAAGAATGAATTGAACTTGCTGCTACTAACTCCAACTCGTTTTCTATCCATATCTTTTATAGATTCTATTTATTTCTCTATTCTAGTCAAAGTAGGAAACCGCTCATATTATGTTGGAGGAGAATTTGATATGTAAGTGAGATGGAGGGTTTGTTTTTTATCCTAACTTCTTACTATTCTATTCATTATTTTCGTCCAAAAACATAACACCCAACACTCATTCTCTATATAAGATATCACATCTAATAATTATTTTCATCTCAAAATATCAAAAACTCAAAAAACATACCTTGACCTCTTGCTTCTATTTATATTCTTTTATATAATGATTGTTTGCTCCGTGGTTTTTTTATTTTTTCCGAAAGGAGTTACTTAGTAAATTTGTGTGTGTGTGTTTTTTTTTGTTTGTTCTTGCATCAAGTTTACATTCTTCATCAGTGTTCGTGACTTTGGGTTTGAGTTCTTGGCAAATTTTGTGGTTGATCATGCTCAGCTACATTAATATTTTATTTGTTCGAGATTGTCGCCTTAAAAATTTTCCCTATTTCCCTAGCAATTACAAATGAAATGAGTTTTGCAAGTAATATCTCTCTCTCTCTCTCTCTCTCTCTCTCGGGTTTAATATCTAATGGCCAAGAATTGTTAATGCAGCAAATGGAGACCAAGTGGATCAAGATCAAGTTCCAGCATTCAAGGAATTCGGTCTTGCCGAGCTTCGTGCGGCAACAAATGGATTCAGCAGCGATCTGATTGTTTCTGAGAGTGGAGAGAAAGCTCCAAACATTGTTTACAGAGGCAAGCTTCGAAGTAACAGGCTGGTCGCCATTAAGCGCTTCTCGAATCAGTCATGGCCTGACCCTCAGCAGTTTGTGGTAAAGTTCTATTTTTTCATTGGTATAGAAAATGTCTATCATGATTATCTAATTTATCTTTATTTTGAACAGCACATATTTATTGTGATCTAAGAATTTTTCTATTCCTAGAGGAAAATCAAATTTGATATGGTAAAATTGCTTGCCAAATGTTCTCTAAGAAACATGTTTGATAGGCGGAAGCAGCTGGAGTCGGCAAGGTTAGGCATAAAAGACTGGTGAACTTAATCGGATATTGTGCTGAGGGAGATGAACGCCTGTTAGTAGCTGAGTACATGCCCAATGACACGCTTTCAAAGCACCTCTTTCATTGTATGTATTATTTATTTTCACCTTGTATCATTCATTTTATTTTAGGTGTGTAGAAAATGACATTCAAATAGTTTAAGCACCAAACTCTGAACCTTGCACCTTGATTGCATAACTTTTCTTTTTCTGTAGGGGATAAACAACCTCTTCCTTGGGAAATGCGAGTGAGAGTTGCGGACCACATAGCGCAAGCTCTTGACCAGTGCAACACTGACAACAGGAAAATTTATCATGACTTGAATGCTTACCGAGTTCTTTTTGATGAGGTACAATCTTGTCATGCCAAAACAATGCAATTGCTGAGAAAATGCTACAGCTTTGCCTCTAACCTCTAGCACCATTTGAACTGCCTAGGTCGTTAACCCTGAACCTTCTTAAGTAGTTTAACCCGACAGCCATATTCGAAGCTGAATCCAGATAAACCAGGGTTGTGATAATCTTGAAAATCGGATAGAAAGATTACAAATGAATAATAAATGAATATTGGCATATTAAAACAATTATGATATCCCACAATGCTTTCCTGTTGTTGGGTTGAAGGATTTACATGTCATTGTTACGAGTTTCATTACTTGAGAATTGGTGAGTTAGCATCAAAGAAATTGAAAGGTATCTGCGTATGCAATTGGATTATAGCAGCCATTTCAAAATCTGTCAATGTAATTGCAGGAACTTGGAAGCTCACTAGTGTACACCTGTCGATAGATATTGCTTATCTAAATGCATGTTTTAGACATAATTTATATTTGGCTTTTCTATTATAGGTTGGAGATCCGAGGCTCTCTAGTTTTGGCCTGATGAAAAACAGTCGGGACGGGAAGAGTTATAGTACTAATTTGGCATACACTCCCCCGGAGTTCTTGCGAACAGGTATATCTAGTGTGTCAATATGAGAAAATTTATCATAGTTGACAAAGTTTTTTATTATTATTATTATTATTATTATGATTAAATGATATGTTGGAAAAATTATCCCATTCAGTCTAGCAAACACGACCTTTGAAGTTTCAGAATGTTCAGTTTAGTACTACCAGATGCTTTCAATTTTTCTTTTAACTAGCCTTTCTCCAAGTCATGTTCAAAATTTCATTTTTTATTTGCTTTTCCTTGCTATTTTTTGTGAACGAATGGACCACAGGTATGTCTCAACAATACCAAGTGAACTGAATTTTTGACAAGGGTAATCTGAATAATGAGTTGGTGCTATTTCTTCTTATTTTCAGGTAGGGTCATTCCGGAGAGTGTGATATACAGCTACGGAACTGTTCTTCTGGATCTTTTGAGTGGAAAACATATCCCACCAAGTCATGTACGTTGCATTCCATCCTCACTATGGATCTTTTTTTCTATTTATTTTCACAGTTCCTAGTTATCATCGAATAATAGCTGACAAAAACCATTGGAAATATTGCATAGAGTGCTTCACATCATGTGCTTGTTCTGCAAATTAATAAAAGGCAAATGTTATTTCGAAGAGTCACAAGTTAAACAAGGGAACATTCTCGATCTAACACTATTAGGACCACCTGTGCCACGATTGTATGTTGGAGACCAAGATGTGTTTTCCCATTGAGCTAAATAGTTGTAAAACACAACATCATATCATTTTCAGGTACAAAGAGCATCAGCAGCAAGAGATATTATAGTAAAATAGGGAAGAAGTTATATTGTGAACAGCGGCAGTTGAACAAAAATATAGTTTCAGCAAAAAAAAAAAAAAAAGAAGGCATTTTTACTCTTTATTTGGTTTCTTGAACATTAATCGATATTTTGGTCACTCCAGGCTTTGGATCTGATAAGAGGGAAAAATGTGTTGTTGCTGATGGATTCCTCGCTCGAAGGACAATATGCTAACGAAGATGCGACGGCATTGGTTGAACTTGCATCGAAATGCCTCCAGTATGAAGCAAGAGATAGGCCGGGCATCAATTTTCTTCTTACTGCAGTAGCACCCCTTCAAAAACAAAAGGAGGTTGCTTTTTGATTTTTCTTGCTATAATTTTTTGGGGCGTTGAACTTCATTATAGGTTCTTACATGCTGTTCTCTACTACTCTTCTAGGTTGCATCACATGTCTTGATGGGCCTAACAAAAACCCCTGTGGTTCTGCCCACCATGCTTTCGCCTCTCGGGAAGGCATGCGCAAGGATGGATCTTACTGCAGTGCATGACATCTTGCTGAAAACGGGGTATAAAGACGAAGAAGGTCCAGAAAATGAGGTGAATTGATTCACCTACGACTATAAAGCCTTTCTTTTCTCAGTTTTTTTTTTTTTACTCTATTTGTAATGCGTATCGAATATAAATTAAACTGACTTTGGACTGTAATGGTTGAAGCTTTCGTTCCAAGAGTGGACACAGCAGGTACAGGATATGCTGAACACAAAAAAATTTGGAGACATCGCGTTTAGGGACAAGGATTTCAAGAGCGCAATCGACTACTATTCTAAGGTAAATTCTCACTTTTGTCTTGTCTCTATTCAAATTTAAATTTTTTACTATTCAAAACTCAAACCCAAAATCCAAACCCCAAACCAAACACACCCTTTGATGTGCAGGTATTTTCTATATTTATGTTAAAATAGCCATACTGTATATGTAATTTGTCATATACTGAATGAGACAACTGAGTACAGTAACAAATGAGCTACAGGATTTAAATTTCAGAAGCAAAGAATTATGGGATTGGTAATTTATAGAGATTACAATATTCATTACAAATATGCAGCTGGTGTCGATGATGTCTGCTCCATCGAGCACGGTAATCGTGAGACGAGCACTTTCCTACTTGATGATTGGTCAACCCGAGCTGGCACTGAGAGATGCAATGCAAGCTCAAGTGTGCTTGCCCGAGTGGCCAACCGCATTCTACATGCAGGCACTCGCACTTTCGAAGCTCGGGATGGAGACAGACGCGCAAGACATGCTCAACGATGGAGCTTCGTTCGAAGCCAAGAAGCAAAACAGCTGGCGCAATTAAGGTACACACTCGAATTAGATTAGATTTGATCTGCGTACTTGATGTGCCAGATTTGATGTGGGTAGAGCGAACTGCATGGTTTCAATTTACGCTCTTGATCGATGTAGTATGTAGTTCAAATGGCTTCTATATACACACATATATATATATATATGCGCGAATGGAATGTATAAATGTATCTGTATTTGATTAGGGCTAATTTATGGATGAGTTGGTATGCAACTTCCATTGGGAGGATATGTAATTTGGTATTTTATCTTGAATAGATTGTTGTATGTTCAATGCGCGGTAAAAAAGCCTATGAAGGCCGGGTTTATGCTACTACATTGTTGTTTATGTACATAATGAGAAGGGAAAATTCTTGCTTGAAAAGTATAGGAATCTTTGAAATATAGTGGGAAACTAGTACGGCCATTCATAAATCAAGTGAAGGGATTTGAAAATGAGAGTTTGATGTTATTTATATCTTGATTTTCAATATTAGGACATTTTTATCATGTGGATGACTAATGAATTATTATCTTTTTCTTCCGTCCAAATTGAAAAAGGTTGTCATTTTTAATTTTCGTCCGTTCCAAAACAAATTATTATTTTTTAATTTAATAATTTTACAAATAAATATTCTTTCAATTTATATTATATTACACAAATTTTATTAGTTTTATATTACATAATACTATTAGGATATTTTTATCTTTTTCACTGCAAACTATTATAATACTAATATTTAAAAATGTACGTGCAGCGGGATGGAGGGAGTTATTTTTTAATTGAATAGTAACACAAGATTCTTAGACTATTATATTAATCAATTATTTATTTTTTATATTATACTAAAAAAATAATTTTACATACATCAATATTTATTCTTTTCATATCATATTACTATTTCAATTAAAAATTTTATGTTATTCTAATTTCAATATAAAATTCAAACTCTCAACTAAAAACACCCCCGTATTAGCTAGTTTTTTCCTATATATTATATATATAATTATTACTCTCGTCTCGGAACGGAGGTCGTTATGTGAACAAAGTCTGAAGTAATAATAATAATAATAAATTAGGGTTTGGTTCGATGGTAAAGTTGCAAAGCTCAACAACATCGAACTAGTTTTGAGCAAAGTTGAAGACCTGCAAAGCTCAACAACGTAAATAAATAAATTTGTGATTTATTTGGTATGCTGAGTAGTAATTGTATTTATTAATATAAATATAAATATAAAATAAATATATATTAGTTGAATCTCAACCATTAATGGTAGTATCTAAAAAAATGTATTTATTAATATAATATAAATATATAGTATAATATTTAAAATAAAATATTATAAATAAATAGTGAAAACTGTGTTTGGAACTTTTTTACTACATTCAAGGGTGTGTTTGTTTGGGGGATTTAATTAGATTTCTACTATTCATCCAATTTTTTTCTCCAAAAAATATCAAATCAAACATCTATTTTTCATTTCTATATTATACTAAAAATCAATTTTACATTTAAAATATCACATCTAACACCTATTTATATTACATCATACAACTATTTAAATTCAAAATTTTTACTATTCAAATCCCAACTCAAAATCCAAACCCCAAACAAAAACACCTTTGGTGTATATGTATGGAAGAACTAAAAATGGAGTTAGCACTTTCTCCAGGGACCAAATATGAATTTACTTGGAAAAGTATTAAAGTATTTGCGGGTATGGATAACCCGACCCGTCTGAAACCGGGAACCAGGCAGGGTTCCATCCTCAAACCGGCCTGAAAATAAGAAGGCGGTGACTTATCGAATTTATACAACAGAGCATCACCATCGGCGACGTCGCAGAGATGGTGGTTAGACACAAAGCGGTGGCAACGCTGCCGACGCTGATGCAAGCGTTGCGGAAGGAGGCGCCTCCAAGGCACAACACTATGTTGCCGTCGCTTAGAAGAGCCTTTTCTCTCTACGATCAGATCAATCTCATCAATGATGTCCCCGAAGACCAGCTCCGATTCCAAGAGTATACAATCTTATTGAAGAATTATCGTTCTCGTTTACTTTTTTGTTTAATTTTCCTTCCAAATTTCTTTGAGCATCTTTTTTTTTTTTGTTTTTTTTTTTTTTTTTGAAGTTTCGATCTATTCTTCATTTCTAGGTTTTATTTTATCTCATACACTCAAGAAGTTTTTTACGATTACAACTATATGTATATGTATATATATTTTCCGACGAAACTGTGATGGTATTTGTGTATGATTTCATCTCAAACAATTAAAACTGCACCTACTGGTTTGTTAGTTTACTTTAGTTTTCATGTGTCATTCATGTTTTCATTTCTTAAGCTCTTTAATTTCTGCTATTCATATTATCTAGATGTGAATTACATTTCTGCATTGATGTGGATTGTTTTTGGAATTTAAGAGTGTGATTGGAATGAATTGTAGATGAAATCTTGCTACTTTCGGAATTTAAGCCACAAAAATGTCAAGGTTTTTGGATCTAATTAGATACCTATTTCTTTTGCCTTTATTTTCCAATGAGCAAGTTTTCTTTTAATTTGTTATTTCGTTATAATAAACCCTTTTGTATATTAGTGACTATTATGACACAGTCGTCCTCTTCTTCTCCACATGCAAACATTTAGGTTTTCACAGGAAGCAATACATGGTTCTCAAATGCTTGTCCATCTTAGTTAAGTTTGTCATGCTCTAATTTCTAATTTTTGTTCGGCTGCGCAAGTGTGGTTAATTATTCCTTCATATATGTGCAATATCTTCAGGGAGAGTTTTTGTAGGAGGAACGTTGTTGAACTAACTTCCAGCGTAATTTGTTTTGATGTTTCTTGTTTTCAACAGATTTAATAACAAGGGGTTTTAATTTTAAATTCTCCCGGCATGAGTAGTTCTTGTTTTTCTTGTTTTCAACAGGTTTAATGACACAGGGTTCAAAGTGAGTGGAGTTATGTACGAAGGCAGCTTACTTTGTGTAGGAAATCTGATCATGCAATGGACACCGAAGAAATTCTCAGATATCACTGCTGAGAGGTACACGAGTGTTAAGGATTTTCTATAAATACCTACCTCTGCAACTTCTTTTACATCTAACTATGGAATGAGCTTGCTATTAACGCATTCTAGCTAATCCATTACAGTTTCAAGAACTAGATGTTAAGACTTAAGAGTATAGTCTTTCTGGGGATGAATTTGTCCTTGATATTATTTTAGAGCTTTTTATAGTGAAGTCTGGGCAGTATTTGGCTCAATTAAAGGTGGGGATAATATTATCATGACATTATGATAATAAGAGAGAGTTCAATTTTGGTTCTTAGGAGCTGTAGGTTTAATTTTTTTCCCCACGCTCCTCAGGAGTTTGTCACTTCGAAAATAAAATTGTGTTTATATTAATAGTTTGAGTTGCACGGATGATCAATTTGAAAGGTAGCATAACTCAATACTTCTTTGCATCAGAGAATCAATAATTGGCTCAAACATTGTATCCTGAAAATGTAAAATTGGTTTTGAATGCTAAAGTGAAGAGTTGACGGATTCATACATAAAAAAACCAATGGGATAATCTTTCATTTTCTTTGCATAAAGTACCATTTTTATGCCCATTAAAGGATCTTAAAGGGTCTGTTCCTTCGTATTTAGATTCGGGTTTGAGGTTGGTAATAGTAAAAATTTGAATTGAAATAGTATTTGTTGTGATATAAATAGATGTGTGATTTTGATAATACTTTTTGTGTAATATATTAAACAAAAAATAGGTTTTGATTTGATCTTGCTGGGGAAAAGGTTTGATGAAAAGTACCAAACCAAAACCAAAATTGTGTTTATTCGTCTAAGATTTGGATTAGTAAAAACTTGAGTATAATAGTGTTTGTTGTGATATAAATAGATGTATAATTTGGTGTTTTGAAATTTGAACGAAAAATTATTTTGTGTAAATTAAATAAAAATAAGTATTTGATTTAATGATTTTGGAGAAAAAGTGATAAAGTGCTTGACACTGACACATTTCTTTTCATGCTTTTCTGCAGCTTATCTATTTTTAAGACCGTGCGGCCTGTGCCAGGTGAGAAGTTTATTACTTACTCATTTTAAGATTAAGTGCTGCCACACAATTTAACGTTGTCCTGAAGGTCTCGTATATCGTATTACAAAGTAACCATTATCTCAAAGTGGAAAGTGCTTTTAAATGGAAAGCTCTGACATTGAGTATAGGCTATAATTGAATGAGGTCTGTGTTGATCTCAGAGATTTTGATTATTGGATGCGGAAGGTACATTCAGCCGGTGAATCCCCAGCTACGGAACTTCATTCGATCCACAGGCATGAAAGTAGAAGCAGTTGATTCGGTATGGTACTCAATCATCTCCCTTTCCTGCATGTTGCTGATTGATTGTTACTTGTTACTATATATTATTCCCTACTAGACTTCTTCATCATTCGCTTTCCTGCTAACTTATTTTGGAATCCAACAAATATTCACTGCTCGTATGGTCGTACTATTAATGTACTTCTCGTTTTGCAGAGAAATGCTGCTTCTACGTACAACATACTTAACGAAGAAGGCAGGATGGTAGCGGCAGCCTTAATTCCTTACGGAGTTACTTCTTGAAAGCTGCCAACGAGTATGTTCCTTACATTTTGTATGCTTTACTTTCTACCAACACAATTTACGAGTGTTTGTTGTTTTGGATTGCACTGTCCAATTTTATTATAGGGAAAATTGAAATCACCTAACTATGTCATCATGTTTTTTATCCGAGGGTGTTGATTTGAGGACAATAATCCTGTGAAATGCCTTATGTGACCTACACCAGCATCCTCAAATCACACGTGGTGTTTGTTGTCCAAAATAGAGGATTTCAGGTGTAGCATGAATCTTATCTTAGCAGGAGCGGATCATTGGACTCGTGTATATATATGATCATATCTAAATATATCAAAAATCTTTTCGGTAATCCAATTCCCCAAAATGACGAACCCTAACTAATCAGTATGGATCATTAGAACCACCACCACAAAATTTGCCCATTCTTCCCCTCGTAGACCTCTCCGTCTAACCATGTCTTTTACCTGCCACAAATTATTTTATCTTTCAAATCATATGATGATACGAACGAAGAATGCCATTGCCAGCGATGACAATAATAATAATAATAATAATAATAATAATAATAATAAATGGAAGGGTATGCAATAATGATGGGAGGATGAACGAGGACAATCGTTACGTTAGTGATAATTGGGCCAAATTATATTTTAAATATAGTTTATTATTATTATTATTATTAGTATAAAATCCACATAAACAATTGGAATCTGCACATATGTCAAATCTCGATGGAGTATAAATTATACTCCCACTCTCCTATAACTAAATATTCATTTATTTTTTCACATAATTTTAAAAATATTAGTATTATATTTGAATATAATTGAAGTAAACTAAAATAATTTTATTAGTACGTATGATATAAATGTAATGATATTTGTGTAATATATATAATTTCCCCCTCATTTAAAGATTTTTAATTCACTATTCTGAGACAGTAAAAGATGCTTGGTAAAGGTCAACATGTGAAGTGATTAAATTAATCAACACTTATTTTTTAATTATCCACCTTAGATAGGATAAAATGTCATAATATTTTATATTCTAATTTCTAACACACGAATATATGAGTATGGTAAATATATAACTTATATACAATGACATATGACCTAAAATTAAGAACACATATTCATTCATGCATTTTAAGGTAAGAAGAAACCGCTACTATATGCTAATAATTCATCAAAACTAATCTAGATCAAAAGACTTCATATTTCGATGATATCTTGGGAGATAAAAGTAAAAGTAAAGCTCTGTTAAATACCTGGATTGGGTGGGGTTCAACCAGCAGCAGCATCATCTTTGTACATGAACCTGAATCCTATTAGATATCGATATTCTCCCGTGCCTTGGCACCGGCTGCAGTAGCCGAGTCCGCTCCCACCACAGCTCCTGCACCTGTAATGCAGATACAAAACCACAGAATCATGGGAAGTTGGAGTAGATAATAAGTAGAGTTTCCGTAGACCTTACCATTTCGGCCACTCTCCCTTTGGGAGCATTGCCAATTCCACACAATTTGTCCTCCCTGGAGAATTCAGTCAGAATTTAGCATCTGTATTTTTCACAGTGCACATTGTGAGCCATCGCAATTGCATGTTATACATCCCAACTCGAGGAAATGTTGTCACTCCCTTGTCCTAAACAAACAACTAGCTTTTTCATCATTCATTGTGTCTAGTGTGTCGAGGAAAAAGTGATGCAACCTCATTTTCAAGTAGGTAAAAACAACTGGGGGGATTAACAGCAATACAATTAATGATAATGATAAACGACGATCACAGTATGGTATGTATGGTAACTGCCTTCCCCTGATGAACATTCTATGTTTAAATTTCTAATCTTAAAGAACTTTAGAGAATTATCTTTAGCAATTGAGACACTGCTATAATGTAGTGTGGGACACAAACTTTATATGTACCCATATGGAGTTCTCGAAACCTCCAAATGTGCAATCTTAGCAAGATGAACTGTATTGTGTGCTTTGGAGTCGGTCAGGAATGGCATAGAAGACTTTAACATTGGGATAAATAAACTCAAATTCAAGAAACTAATAACTAAGCTTAAATATTTAATAGTTCGTAGAAGTTTTCAAGCACGACTAATGTCTGAACTCAAAACTGGTAAAAGATACCAGAGATCAAATTCAGCTTTTTTCAAGTAGCTCAAAGATCAAGTTCAAAGTTTGCACCTCAAGTAAAATAACAAACTAATTCAATAGGTTTCTTGACAGAGAATACACACACACACCAAGAGAGAGACAGAGACGGAGAGATGGAACCTCTTCCTTTGCAGCTGTGACAATCGACTCTGCCACTTCCTCGACACATAACACAGGGCGGGTCGGGCTTACTTATCTTTTCAATTCGTACATTAGACTGCCATATATTAGGAAGAAAAAAAAATGTTCAAGAAAATTGTCTTTGCAGCAATGAATTAATGAAGAAGATAGTCCTGGGTTTGAGGATAAATCTGTTCTAGTGAATATATGACAACAATAGCACTGAACAGTTATAACATCTTTTCAGCTAGTTAGCTTCCAAACCAATGATCCAAAACTATTGATACAGAAATTATATCTAGATTCCATTCCACATCTTATAGAAGAAATTCTGGAAAATTCTAAAACTCAAATCCTCTAATTCCAAAACAAGAGCAATCCAGACAAATTCATTAAGTGCCAAAACAACAGAAGTGGCAATGTAGAAAAGATGTCATGATGCTTCTTAATTGGTTCATTTTGAATTTTCCATCATTCAGTAAACAATTTCAAACACTATCTTAAAGTTCTTCAGGATTAAAGGATTTAAGAATAGTGTGAAGGCATAAGCTCCTTTGGTTGGAATCCTTGGGAATGAATTTTTGGGGATCAAACCTGAATATGTATAAAAACCACTATAGTTCCTCCTAATACAGATTGAAGCTCTTGAACAGACACCGTTATTCAATTCCTACTTCAATCTGCAAACAAAGCTGCCCTAAAAGTTCCATTGCTTCGATTCCAGAAATAAACTGAGCATCATTCAACGAAGGAAGTCGATAGAGTCCTCCATATCCTTCTTAAATTTTATTCGTTTGCACGGTTTGATATGAATAACAAAAACACAACCAATTCTTACAGCGAATAGAAAAGTCTAGAAACTTTTACCTCAGTTCTGACAATCCAAGTCGGCTTGGAGAGCGAGAGCAGTGGCCTCGCCGCCGGCGGTGGCTTCGAAGTCTGTGAATCGTTGCCAGTGCCCGTGGATTCCGATCTGACGGTCGTCAATGAACTCGTCGCTCTGAAGATAACCGCCATTATCAAACCGCTGCTCTTCAGCGCAAACCTGTCGCCATTTCCTTCTTCTCTGTAAGGATTTTTGCTTGTTCTCCTGGCCTGGATAAATGAATTATGTGCTTTCCTTTTGATTTTAAATTATAAATCGCTGCTTAGTCCCAAAAGCGTATTCCAAAATCGCACTTTGGGCGACGAAAATAACTGCGCGGAAATTGTTGAATTACCATTATCCTTTTAGGTAATTAAAAGTAATTTGGCGGCAAGTTTGGATACTTGTGCTTTGGTACATTTTGGGTGTGTTTGTTTGGGGGTTTGGAATTTGAGTTGGGATTTGAATAATAAAAATTTTGAATTTGAATAGTTGTATAATGTAATATAAAATAGGTGTTGATGTAATATTTTGAATGTAAAATTGATTTTTAGTATAATATAAAAAATAAAAAAATAGGTGTTTGATTTGATGTTTTTGGGAAAAAAAATTGGACGAATAGTGTAAATCCAATCCGATTCCGCAAACAAACACACCCAAGATGAATTACTTTGTGTTTTAATAACAGTGAAAAATTATATTTTGTTGGTGATTACATTTATTGTCATTATAGTTAATATTGAAAATATATTTATATTTGTATAAATTTTTTTTACAAATGTTATTTTTGTAATTTTAATTTATATTATATTTTGATATAATAATTAATGGAGTATTAAATATATATATATATTTATGTAAGTTACTTTCTCCATCTCATCTTATATGGTGTATTACTAAAAATAATCATAAATTAATTTATAATTATAAATTAAAATTTAAAAATATAATTAAAATATATAATTATATTTTTAAAAAAAAATAATAAATTATATGTAATCTGACAAAAATAAAAAATAAAAAAATAATTACTTAAAAAAAAAAAAAACCAGGCTTATTTCCAATTTTTAAAGCGAAGTTGTGACTATAGCTCCACTTCATATAAACCGACATCACTTTTAAACACGACTTTAGTAATAGTACTCTAAACTCGCTGACTCTCCCTCTCTCTCCACTGTTCCGAATCAAAATTGAGTTCAGAGCTAACTTAAAGCGTGCCTACTCTCCGACGAAGGCGCCGCCTACTGGTGGAAGAAGAATCAGAAGAAAGTATAAGCATCACTTATGGAAGAAGAGAGTTCTGGAAGGATCCTGACTGATGCCGACGCCGTCCGAGCGCCGCCCGCAGGATTCCGCTTCTCCGACTACGGCTACATTGGATCTGCCGGCATTGCGCTTGCCACAGGTTTGTTTTGCATCCGTCGGTTGTGATCGGAGAAATTTCTGTGTGTTTAGTTGAATAGTGATATTTATATGTTTACTGACCCTAAACTCGCAATAGTGAAGTACGGATTTGAGATTTTCACACTACACAGCGATTGTGATTAAAGTCGCGATAGTGAAATTAGTCTCGCAACCGCTCGAATAGTATATTCCACTCTTCGGAAACCATACTTATGGTTTCAAGAGAGGATTATTCCGTCATTCTTTTGTTGGAACGATGATAAATCAAAAAAAAGCTTCATAAACTTGTAAATTTTTTATATGTAATCTATAGCTACTGTCTGTCTAGATTAAGTTAGAAATTCCATCTTTTAACTACGAGCCTATCTAAGATCAGATCTAAGAAAATGGTGATTGTTCATAGTTAATCCAGATTCTGTCTAAAATTCATAAAATAATTGGCATCTTACGTTATAAGCTCAATCTTCATCAACAGTATCATACCTGATATGGACATGTCCTCCTTACAATTGGCTGCAATCAGTGAATATCCATTACTATCCAAGCAGGTCAGTGTATACTTACTTGCCTGCGTGTCCGTCTTCAAAGGTTTCCACACACTTCTTTATTCCAAGCCTGTCTGCATTTCCTTTTCAGATTCAAATTCTTTATTCTCCACTATGAAAGCTTCTTTTTATATCGAAAAAATGATCAGCATCTTGCGAAAAGGACCTCTTACTTGAAAGCGCTATGCGGATTGAAACTAAAGCGATGTTTAACATGGATTTAATTACATGTGTCTGATGATATGGTTGGTTGATCGGTTGTTCTCAGGTATTGGGCGGTAGTCCCTGTGCCGAATTATGCAGTGGTGGTTACAATTGTAGTGGCAATTGGATTTTATATAGGCCTCACCTTCACGGCTTCTCCTCCTCCTCCAACTCTGAAGTCTCTGTTTGGTATGTTATCCTTCTCTAATGATACTATGCATTGTAATAGTGTTTTTTATTTGAACTTTTTTTTTTTTGAATTTTATGAGAAAATAAAAAATATTTATATTAAAAATTATATATATATATATAATAGGGCAAACATATCCCTAAGCGTTTGACTTGTTTTCATTTGAATTTTAATAGTAAATATATTACAATGTTTTATATAAAATTATAAAAAATATATTTTTAGGAGTTTTTTACTGTTGAAAACACAAATGAACAAAAATTATAATAAAAACTAACTCTTGTGCATCCTCACTTAAAAATATTTTCTGTTATTCTATGTATGCAGATGAATGCAGTGAGGAACTATTAGGAATCATCCCTGCTCCAGATGATTATCAGCTCATCGAGAATCTACCAGATATTTGACATTTTAAATTGAACTGAGAAATTTCTCCAAAAAACTACTAGATTCACCAGACAAACAAATGTTGAAGGCAAAGAAAGAAAAGCTCATCGAATAAGCCAGATGTTACGTATGCAATGTAATTTAAGAATGAATTGGCAATAACAGGTGGTTGTCTATATGTGTATGTATTGCATTAACATATGGAGAAGCACGTATGTGCTTACTTTACTGTAGGGTGGGTGGGTCATCATCGTATCCATGATGCAGAATCGATCTCGTCTCTTGCTTTCTTGTAAAGTTCCAGTCTTCTAGCGTACTGCTGTCTCTTCTCCATCAATGCCGGATCTTCGTCGAGTAAGTCTGCCAGCTGCTTGCCCTATTCAAAACAACTCTAGATTGTCAATATAAATAAATAAATAAATAATTCCACACTAAACATCGTTCTTTGTATTGCCGACATGATTCCTCGTAAACACCAAAAAAATTCTTAAAACTAAAAAAGGTAAACAGAAAAAATTTCAGTATGTTAGATAAAGTAAATGACTTAAGGTTTTAATACTATGTTAGATTAAATAAATTATCTAAGGCGCTGATACATGTTATATGAAGTAAATGACCTAAGATTTTTATACTATATTAGGTGAAATAAATGAGAGGATTTGATAACATGTGTTACATGAAGTAAATGACCTAAAATTCTCATACTATGTTAGGTGAAATATATGACCTAAGGCTTTGATACCATGTTAAATGAAATAAATGGCCAATCCATCCTAAAAGCTTAACGCAATATTTATTTATTTATCTAGAAACGGAAATCAATTAACACTTTAAAAAGGATGTTTTGCAGTCCATCACCACTTTTATCCTACATTGATTTTGATAAGAAGGTTTATGATTTTCATCCTGTATGAAGTTTTTAGGTAAACACAAAACTATATTTATAACTTAATAGAAAGAGTGATAATTTGTGTACCTCTCTCTTCCCAATTTGAACGTAGAAGTAGTTGAGAAGATTCTGTTTGGCCTCCTTAACTTGACAGAAAACCACAGCCTTGGGAATTGAGTTCTTCATAGTTTCGGACACCATTTGAATGTATGAAGATACATTTGAAGCTATTCTTCGAAAGTGCATCTCTGCGTAACGATCTACGTTGGAGGCAGCTTGTGAGTTTTCCCGCTGGTTCTCACGGGGGTTGCTGCCTGCTGCTTTCTCCATCTCCTGAGGAAGCCTCCGGAAGAAATCGACGGTCAGATATGAAGACTCCATTTCAACCAATCTAGTCGCAGTTTTCTTGCTCTCATCGCGAAATCGTTCCAAAGCCTCGTTGGCTGCTCCCGCTATAGTTGATTGCAGTGTTGGGAACCGTTTCAATTCCTGTTTAACCAGAGAAGTTTAGAATCAAGATTTTTGTAAATAAATTTCACCCTCCATAATAAACTCGCACAAAGTTTGTGATCCATCAAAAATGATTTTCTAAGTCGCAAGTATTTGCAACTACTTCAAAATTTAGTATTTACATTATCACGACTAACAATATTCTGATTTAAATCCAACTCCTTCAAATATGATAATTGCTAATGCATCTAACCCCATACAATCGTTAATTATATCATATGCATACATATATATAATTTAAATTCAGCTGCTCACACAGAAATGAATACACCGCATAGCAAACACTCTAAATATTAAATAATCAAGAGATAAAGTGTTTTCTATAATAAAATTAACGAAAATCAATACTAAAGAATTTCTATGGTCACAAAAATATACAGCACTTCACAAATCCAAGAAGCTTGCCGACAAAATGATAAAACTCGAAGACAGCAGACTAACCTGGCATTCTGCAATTGACTTCCTGACAAGCTCCTTCAAGACAAAGTGAACCTGACCAGGGGCACAAAATGCTTGTCAGCCACAGAAGTGGCAAAAGAATAGGGCACTAACGAAGACGTGAATTCTACAACTTACAGCATCCACTGAAGCTTCAGCAGGACCCCTAAAATAATTTAATGAACCCTCAATAAGCCGTCGATAACCTTGTTCGGGAGCAATCAAATGTGGCTGATAACCATCAGCTTCTGAAACAATTTTTCTCACATTTTGGACTGAAAGATGTCGATCAAATGGGAGTTTCTTCAATGCAGCTGGCAGCTGGTTGTCAAACACTCCATAAATTCGATCACCTCCAGGACGACTGAAAATGCATAATTAGAATCAGCATATATAGCGTGCCTAGTTCAAACTAGAAGTAAAAGGCAAATGCAAATTAACAAAGAAACTACTAAATTCATTTCATTTCCTTGAAACTTTAAATTTACTAAAGTTGAAAATGCCAGGGAAGTCCTCTTTGGGTTTAGATTATGAAATAAAATGAAACATCATTTGGAGATGCAAAAAGTTTTGAAAACTCTTTCTCTTGTTTATTCAAATGTCAACATCATATAGGCATGGAAGCTATTTTTTTAAGAGTTTTGCAGGACATATATATGACTTTAAATAGTAGTAAGGTTTTAATATTTAATAATGATATGTGTGTTTAAGGTTTAGTATTAAAAAATAATTGTATACTTTGGAGACATGTAAACAAAGATTTACTAAAGTTTCAAGATATGTAAACACCCAAACATAAATGATAGCCTACAAAAGTTTCAAGACAAAACAGCAAAATTAATGGACAGCAAAGGATTCTTCAAAGAATCTTTGTGAGACAGAAACCAAAAAAAAAAAAAAAAGCAACATACCCTCCATTGAGATGCTCCTTGAATATTTTGTCAAATGCACGGCAAAGTTCCAGGATAGTGTATAATTGAGCCTGGAAGACAAAATTCAGTGGTTAGCTAACAAAATTGACTACTGCAATCTGTAATCAAGATCAAGATGGATTGGAAAGCACACCCCAGCATCAACAGCAATTGGCCTTCCAAGGTGATCTAGCTCAGATTCAAGTTCATCAATGCTTTTGTTTATCAACGATGTGATACTTGGTATTCTTGCCTTAATTACTGCTTCCAAGTGCTGAAAGTAAAACAAAAATCAACATCATAAGATCATGATTGTTTTGGAGAATGGACACCAATTACATGTGAGAAATATTTCTGAACCTGGGAAAGAAGCTTTGCAAGATATTCCGAACCCATCTTACTAGATAAATGACTATAGTCAGGACTTGTAGCAAAGTACTCACGCTCCTTTCGCCTAGCAGCAATCATATCAGTATTGCGGTTGATGTCTGCTTGAGAACGATTGACAATGCCCACCCATGGATGTTGTAAACGATAAGATCTTCCTTCCAAAACCTAGTGAAGAGTGGAAAACAAAACAACTGCTTCAAATTCTCATCATCAGCACAAGTAAAAAAAGAAAAAGAGCATTATACACTAAATTTAGGGACTTGTGATCAAGAGCCAATGATTGTGTTAACATTGATAAGTGATAAGTCCTGTAACTCTATCCTTTCATGTTGTGTTACATTTGACATGAATATGAATGCAAGTATGTGTAAGAGAGATAAGGGTAGAGAGAAGTAAAGTAAGAAGAGAATACATCAAGAGCATTAGTTCCTTTGTCCATCAGATCCAATTTCGTCAACACTCCGAATGTGCGTTCTCCTGCAACAATATAAGAGTTATAACTTCAAAATAAGGTCATTTAGCATATATGTCTTTAAACATTCATGATATGTTTACACAACTAAAACCTCCCAAAATCACACACAAAATCGTAAGTTCACTTCATAATAATTTTATGTGTGTATTGTGGTCAAACTTACTAAAGGAAAATGTATATTTTGTGTTTGGATAAATAAAAATGAAAAGATGTATACTTTTTTTAAGTGAACGAAAGGATTATTGCATAAATATAAACTAAAGTTCAATCAATATCAAAGATTGAGTCATTAGAAGTCATCATATAATATTATTTAAATTAATAGAAAAAAATGACCACAAAAATAAACATTATTTATTTAATAATTTTATATTGCATAAATATAAATATTAAAGATTTAATCATTAGAAGTCATTATGTTCTATAACATAAATTTAAAAAACTAAAAACCACCAACAATAAGCAAAATAGCAAATTGAACTATTTATTAGACTAGTACTACTACTTCACAAGAGAAATTGGTCATAATTCCACCCTCCCAACTCAACTAGAATTGCAAGATGAGCAAAGTGAAAGAATTTGATGAGAAATCCTTGCCTGATGGATCCACTTCCCTCGCAAGTTTAATAGCATCTGACGTCGCAATATCTTGGTTTGCAGGGGATATTGCTAGTATGATACAGTTGGGCTGCGTATGTGAACTTGTCAATGATTATATACATGCTCCAAAAGTTTGATGCAAACAATCAAAACAAATGGCATCCACTAAAGCAAATTAGACAGCTGAACCATGGTAAAAATATAAAATTGTTCATCACTTTACCTTTTCAACGTAAGTGCGAACCATGGTTTCAATGTCTTGGACAATACTTTCTGGTTGGCCCTCTGCAGAGATTAGATGTCGTCACATTTAGTAAAGTCCCGCATTGACAATTTATTAGGGGCAAAAAAACTGATGTTGGAAAATGAACAATTAGAACTTACCAACAGCAACCTTGGTCAAACCAGGAAGATCAATCAAAGTCAAATTGACGACTGCAAGAAATCACTGAAAACAATCAGCAAAGAAATATTCCACAAATTGCAATTTGGCCACTGAAAACTCAACATACCAGCACATCAAATTAATAATACATACCATTGGATGAATAGATACTGAGGTGAATAGGAACAGGAGAGATCATCTTTGTCTTTCCAGTGATCCGATCTGTTTCATCCTGAATTTCCTTGCGAACCGAGGCTGCATTATAAAGGAAGATTTGGAGCGAGCTTTCCATCAGTCTACTTGATAGGGCATGCCAAGGGTGACACAAAAGGAAAGAAATGCATCATCTATTATAAAGTTCAATTTGCAACATCACAACATACCGAAATCACTGAATCGCTTCCTTGGCAAATGCCCAAATTCGGCATATTCTTGTTGCCCTTTCTCTATTTTCTGCAGCTGTAAAACCAATGGCCTCCGTGTAACAATACCTGAATCCACCAGTCAATTTGAAAGATTCAGACATTTGCTTGATTTAAAATAAAATTGCTAATATTATTCTAATATAAATCATGTTTTACACAATCAAATCCTACAAATCTAACTAACCAGAGCCTCGCGGAAGAAAATCACGCCCAACTATGCTCTCCAACACTGAGGACTTTCCAGAGCTCTGTAATCATTTCAAACATTAAGTACCGACTCCATAATTTTGAAACATAAAAGATTAAGAAAATTGAAAAATTAAAAATTTAATCTAACAACGAATAAAAAAAATCACAGATCATAAAAAACAAACTGATCTACAACATAGCCTGCACGGATCTACTGATTTTTGAAACCATAGCCACTACGAGCCAGCAAATACCACTCATTCTCATCAACAGGCATGATAAAAACATTTCGTACACAATCTAACAATCAAGACCCTAACCTGGCCACCAACGACAGCAACCGACGGAAGCGCGTCCCACAGAGAAGAAAACGCCTGGTCTCCTCCACCGTAGTCGCCGAGAGCGGTGCAAGCCCTCTGAATTCTATTCACCAACCCAATCAAACTCTCCATCGTCGCCATTTCCGCCGTTCAACCGCCAAAAAAACACGCACAACAACTGCAGATCTAAATCGGGAGGCGCGTTTCACATCCACCTCCCAAGTCTAATGCCTCAGCCAAACTCCAAATCAAAGTAAACACACAGTAAAGGAAGATCAAAGCGTTTGACCAGAAATTGACGCAGAATTTTGGGAGAGAAAGAATCGGATGAACTGATGAGAGCTTAAATCGGAATCGAATGAATTTGCACAGTAAAATTTAGTTTACGAGAGAGAAATGGGGAGAAGCATTGGGAGCACTGTCGGGGCTATATTGCGCCGGTTGGAGCTATGATCCTGTGGTCTGCGGTCCACGTGCACTGCCGTGGGGTCGAGGGATGCAGTAAGAGTATTGTACCTTATGCATCGAGAATTTTCGACTTATTATTTTATTTATTAGTGTAACGTTTTGAATTTTGAAAATGGAAAGAAGCGTGGGCCAGAGATGGAGGAAACGGCCCTTTCGGTTGGATCAGCCCAACGGCTATATATATAATGGCACGTGAAGTTTGTATTTTCGAAATTAGTACGAGGGTCAAGGGTGTTTTTATATTATTATTATTCTAGTTTTTTATTATTTCTGTTTTCTTAATAATTTTATTTTGTTATTAATTTTATTTAATATGTTCCTTTTTTATAAATTTTATTTTTTTTATTTTTATTAATTTTTTGTTTGTTACTAATATATCAATTTACAAATAAAATATTATATTTATTTTTAGCTACATCCATTTTTTTATGAAAAAAATATCACATATATATACACGTTAATTCAATAGATTTATAAAATCGGCTCGGTTAAAGTTGCTAACGTTAACGAGTTGAGTCAAACAACATAAAAAAATTCGTTTGATTAATCAACGAATTCGAGTTGTGTTCATGAACATATGTTAAAATAATACTTCATTCCGTCTCATAAGTAGGTAATAATTGTGTGATATAAAGATGATAATATTTGTGTAATATATTGTAAGTTATAAAGTTATTTATAATGTTGTATATAGTACAATTACTAAAAAACGGATTAAAATAGAAAAATTGATAATTTTTTATGGGACAGAGATAGTATATTTATTATAAAATGGCAAAACAACAAAAAACTCCCCTGTGGTTTACCGAATCTGCTGAAAACCCCCCGTGTTCCTAAAACTCCAAAAAACCTACTTGTGGTTTGTAAAATGTTGCACACTTGCCCCCTCCCTTTAAATCACATTGACGGCGAAAGAAGACATCAGGGTTTTTTTTTCTCCAATTTTTTTTATCTATCTATTTTTCTCCAATTTCTTTCGTACGTTGCAATGAACGGCAAGTTCTTTTTTCTTCTTAGATTGATTTCAAATTTTGATGTCAAGTTGAATTTTTAAATTTCTGGGTTTGATAAAAACAGAAAGTAATTCTGGGTTTGGTAAGAAAGAAGAAGGAAGAAGGAGAAAGAAGGAGGAAGAAGAAAGAAGAATAAGAAAGAAGAATGAATGAGGAAGAATAAGAAATAAGAACGAGGAAGAAGGTAAAAAGTTGTCATTAGGGTATTTTATTAATTTTATACCGAAATATATCACTCTATGGACCAAAAATCGCATTTCAAGCGCGTGCTATACAACCTCCGTTGAATCCTAACGAATGGGGGATTTTTTGCAACATTTTGAAAACCACATGTAGGTTTTTTGAAGTTTTAGAACCACGGAGGATTTTAGCAATTTTCGGAAACCATAAAGGGGTTTTTTGCTGTTTTGCCATTATAAAATGATATATAAGCTCAAACAATAAAAAATTTTAACGAGTCAAACTCGAACACTACGAACGAGCTCAAACAATAAAAATTCTTAACGAGCCGAGCTTGAATTACGAACGATCGCGAAAGTCAAACAATAAAAACTCTAACCATGCACTGCTTAATCAACACAAAACATTTCTCATCAAACCAAAAACCCAAAATCACAAATAAAAAATAATTTCAATCTTCATTAAATATGAACATCAATCATCAACAAGAAGAAGCAGAAACAGTCGTGTTAGGAGCAGCATTACCTTCACCAAGACCTTTCCTCCTCCTCCTCATCTTGGCATCCTCCTTATAATTCTCATATATATACGAAGCGAATCCCCAGAATGCCATCAGCATCGCAATGATCTTCACGCCGTTCATACTATCACGGAACACAACGAGCGCCGCGAGGGGCGTGACTGCCAGCGACAGCGTGCTGATCACATTCGAGAACAGAGACGACACCACGAAGATCAAACCTATAACCCCAACCGAACACACCTGCCACGCCACAGCTGTCCACACCAATGTCAAGATATAGGAAGCTCTTCCGGTCGTGAAACTCATCATTTCACCATGCAGGGTTCGCCACTCGCCGCTGGCGAAGAGGCCTACTATGGTCACGCACGTGGCTATAAAGGCAGTGTAGATTTGCATCTCGAGGACAATTGAGAACGTCTCCTTCTTCAGAACCTTCTCAAAGGTTACCTGCCCGAAGAACACATGGAGCAAAATTTCTATGCGGATTATTTACTAAATCTTAAAATGGAGTTTCGACAACATATCATAAATAATTCAATTCCAAATGATACACACACTTTGTTTACATAAAACATTTTTTTTACCTTTCCACACTATTCATCTATAATATTTTTTTCAAAAACATCATATTAAATATATTTTTTTTGTCACAAAACGTCAAATCAAACATACTTTTTTCACACAAAATATCACATCAATACTAGAGTATGTTTTTATTTCAAATAAAAAATATCATTCAGCTCACATAGCTACCGATAAAAATAGATTATTTTCTCTCACAATACATCATATCAAAATATATTTTTAAACCAAAACTCAAATAAAAAACTCAATTTCAAATCAAAACCAAACAAACTTTAACTTTTTACTATTCTCAATGTTCTTTTAAAAGCTCAAAAAACTTCAAAACCCTCTATCTAAACAGAACTATTAATTTTGAATTAAAATTCCATCTAGCAAAATGAAAGTGCAGACCATAAATTGGAAATTCTAAAGGAATGTATGAAGTGCACATGTATGTTTATGTAATCCTATCTATCTATAGTTACCTGCATAAGGGAGAGTAGGAGAGCATACAATGCAGAAGCCATAAGGGAAGTGATAATCCCGATCACATATTTGCGGTGGGTCACCCCAGCCGGTGCATCAGAGTCATCATTAACAGCAAGTAAGCATGCCGAGAGGGAAAGGATGACGACAGAGTTGAGGATCAAAGCAGTGAATTTTTGTTTATTGATGAAATAAGAAAAGACAGCATTGAATGCTAGCTGTGTGGCACAAATGAGGGAGTAAGTCGAAGCCGAGAGATATAACAAACCAATGGAATATAGCATGTTGTCACCAGCAATGACAATTCCAATAACCGTATAGATTATGGATATAATAGGAATAGAAGCTGGGGTTGTGGAAATTTGATGAGACTGATCACTTGAGGGGCTTAGGAAGAAATACGGGATAAGGAGAATAGGGAAGCCAGCGGTTTGGACAAGAGTAGCCATCCATTTGCTTTTTCCACCCTTGTCGTAGTAAAATCTTCCCAACAGAACAGATGCAGCTTGACCGATGAGAAGAAAGGCGATGTTAAGTGCAACAAGCAGCCACCAGTGCAGTCGTTTGAGCTTCTTGAGTGGATGAACATGGCTAGGCGATAGCATGTCATTTTCCTGTGCACCCTCGCCCTCTTGAATATCTGATGTATGAGACAGACAACAATGTTAATGCATAAGTTGGGATAGTCAGAAAGAACGAGAATTAATTGGCTTGACAGATAAAAATGAGGTTCTCAAAGAGACAGTTCTGTATAAAAATCATTGTGAATGAATTGGTGTACGAAAGTAGAATGAATCGAAACCAATTGTGGAAGCCCATATGTTACAAAATATTGACAATAATCAAATATCAAAACCATATAAATGTCACTGGGAATTAATTTCAATGAATGAACATTACCAGAGATCACATTATTTTTACTCCTGCCAAGAAAGTATATATATGCATTTCACAAACAAAAGCTTATATATATGACAAAAGGTTTTATCTTTACATATATATATATATATATGTACCACACATATCACAAACACACCATAGTATTATGATTATATTCATATATTTCAACAATTTTCTAATTGTATTAGGCTAATTTAAACAACAACAACTACTACTACTTATTTATATATATATATATATATATATATATTGTTAGCCTCTTTTATGAATTTCTTGGCAGTTGTGGAAATTCCTAATAATCAGGGAAAATTACTACATTAATAGCTAAGTTTAAAGGAACTTATGAGAATAATTAACAGAATTTGTTCATTAACTTGTCAACTTAACTAATTAGGGGTCTAAGATACTAATTATAGAGAGTAATTGAAAGAGTTGTGCAAGTTTAGAACTTTACTTAAATTTATCTCAAGATATTTAAGTTATACCTTATTTATCCAGATATATAGATTCTATATGAGATTTTTGCAGGCAAAATGCATCAAAATTCGACAGAAACGTGAACCTTTCAGAAGATCTAAGTGACTAAACTCAACAGCATTGTTGTATAGGCAACAGTGGTAAACAATTCAATTTTGTTTAATCAAATGAATGCAAAAGTATTGCAGTTTGTTGTTTCATCAAATCGTGTAGCTTTGTATGATATTTATCATATCTATGATGCTTTCATAGAAGATAACCAACATACTTCGCTTTTTATTTTCTATAAATTGCATCAAACGAATATGCAGACAGTGAGGCAAACACGAGTCTGTAACGAACAAACGAATAGTGTGAACCTTATATACATGAATCCTCACTCACTGCGCAACTTCAGAAAACAATACTCCTATTGCCTATGAGCATCAAATACATAAAAGAATATATAATCCATCCACGCCTCAATAGGATATTCTCACTTCTCAGGCGTGTGAAATCATACTTCTAAAGTATACAAGCGAGGCAGCCTCCTCCAAATCATTATCTATACAATAATTTTAAACCAAATTAAGCATCCGTCCGTCAATCGAAGCACACCGATACATAACCAGCAAACCCACCCCTCCGCAAAATAAATAAATAAATAAATCATAGAAATACCTTTCATGGCGAGATTAAAAATTCAGGCGAAAATCAAAACAAAAATTCTGGAGGTCTCCCCGAAATTATTGAAGAAACGTGGAGGAAAACGGTCAACAGCGAGAGGGAAGGAGAGGAAATCAATGGCGGCGGACTGGGTAGGAGATTCAATTACTAAAATCTGGCAGGACAGCCGCCTCCGCTTCCACCTGGGCTATATTCCGTTTGTGCGAGACAGTTTTCGCCTTTTAAGCGGGATCGATGTGATTCACGATCATTCATTCAAAGATCGACACGTGTTATTTCGATTAGACTTGGGGAGGTCCAGGCCTTGGGAACCCGACATATCTGCTCTACAATGAATGGCTACTGCGGACTGGCGGATGGAAGATCGGAATTCTCTTTATAGAATAAACAAGGGAGGGCGATAGGAACTATTAATATTAAGCCAACCCAAATTTGAATATTCTGGCTGGATAGTCATTAAACCAAGAAGGGGATAGACTTTGGGTTTGTTATAAATACTTACTCTTCTCAAATATTTTAAAAGGTAAGTATTTTAATAAAAATGAATAATAATTATTTTATTAAAAAATATATATGTGACAAAAAAAATAATTATTAAAAAAAATTGAATGACAGATAAAATATTATGTATTAAAAATACTTTATTCAACTGTTAAACTCTATTACAATTCAAATTATCTTTTTTCTCAATTCAAATTATTTTTTAATCATTTTTATCTATCCAAAAGTAATTAACACCAAAATATCACACTTCTACTAATTAATAAATTATATTTTTTCCTATCTACTGAATTTATACATAATATACAATCGGTGTATATATTATGTGGAACTAATAAATTATCAATTTTTTCTATCTACTGAATTTATACATAATATGCAATCGGTGTATATATTATTTGTGCTATTAGTATTAGCAGTGTACAGCACAGTTAAAGCCATGCAATAAACACGCCCAAGTGAGAGCTAAAAGCATAAAAATAAATCCATGAGTTGAGGAAAAGCCCCAAAAATGAAACACATATCTTATGTTCTTAAGGACAAAAGCATCAAAAACTACATATAGATAGATAGATAGATAGTCTTACGCGAACGGGCAAGCAGGCACAAATGATACACACACAACCAAGGAAAAACATAGAAGAAGAAGAATATGCTAAGGACCGAAAATATGATGTTCTAATATGACCCGACGGGAGGCGGCGCAGAATACTCAGGATAAGCTATAAGCCGCAAAACAAAAATTCAGAGCGATCAAAACGGCAAACAAAGGAGGAGGAGGAGCTTTACAGATATGATAATGCAGTCCGTCTGTCTGTCTGTCCATCCGTCCGACACAAGATGTTAATGCACAAACGATGGATGTGAAATGTCTTACGCTTGTTAATCAGCAGGCGCAGCCTCCCGACTGCTGCTGGGAATTGGATGCATCCGCATTGCTTGACTTGAGGTTCACATCCACCATGCCCTCTTGCTTGGCCGACGATAGAGTTTCCATTCCAGGTAAGGCAGCAGCGATCTTCCGGAATAGTGGCTGGAATCATAAATAATAATACCAAGAATGTTATGGTTATTAACAACATTCTTTTAGGCTTTAGGACTGTGCAATTTACGGTAAGAAATGAAAAAAAATGAAATTCTGGGTATGCAAAACAATCGAGTCCAATTACTAGTTTTCACATCGAAAAATTTAAATCAGAAACAACTTAGAACTACAAAAAGATATCCCAAAACACAAGTGAATATGACAGTGAATTAGTTGTAGCTGCAATGGATTATATTTGGTGTTAATGGAGTAGGTTTTGGTCTTACCTTAATATTAAAGCCAGCCTTGGCACTAGTTTCGATGAACATGACATTAAGGTCGCGGGCTTTTCCTTCTCCTTCCTCTATCGAAACTTGCCTGGAGATGGACATGATAATGGTGTATGAGATTTAATAGCACTGAAATGTGACATGCCCTGCCTAATTGCACATACTAATCAGAAAATTAAAAAATAAATAAATAAATAAAGCAAACAGCAGCAGTTGCTCCTGTTGTAAAAAGAATCTACTGAGGAAGAAAGAAGCAGATGCTGCACTGTTATGATGGAAATTTGGCATTTATTCAACAAGCAAATGATGAACGTCCATTGGGGTACTCCTACACTATTGTCTCCAATTGAATTGATTATGAATTTTACTATCTCTAGAATTCATAAATAAATTTCTGTTACCTATACTAAGGTTAAAATAATTAGTTTTTGATTAAATTTCCTTATCATGTCAGGCAAACAGGGCATTTCTCCAACAGTTTGAACAGAAAAAGACATTGTTTTCATTTCTAACACCTTCAAGTTTGATCATGAAACTAATGTGAAAACAGAAACAGGTAAGGGAAAATTGCTCAATCAGATATTCACTTGTAAGAAAAATGCCACAAAAAGTTACCAAAGTAGTATAGTTTTTTTTTTTACCTTTTCTCCACCAGATCAGTTTTATTGCCAACTAACACAATAATAACGTCGCTTCCTCTCTCAGTGCGAACTTCCTCAATCCATTTTGTAGTATTAAGAAAGGACTGGCGACCTAAAATAGGTAAAGAATCAATAATATCAAGATCCAGTTTGTTTCATAAGGTGAGCCAGAGAAAATGCAATAGCAAACATCCAGCACAGCCCAGCAACATTTTGCTTAAAGTATTCAGCAAACATAAATCATGAAAGAAGATGAAGCACATACTTGCAACATCGTATACTATAACAGCAACAGAAGAATCCCTTATGTAGCTGGGGATTAGACTCCTGAATCGTTCTTGTCCAGCAGTATCCCTAACAAAAATCAGTGCCCCAGCAATTATTTTTCATGAACAGCATTTGTATAAATCTAAGAGGAAAAAAAAGGATCCTGCAGGTCAAAAATAGCAGATCGTGTAATGCATCTCAATCATAACTAGAAATAAAGCTTCGTGCTTGATCTGGCCATTGTTAGAACAGCAAAACAGACATTCCATTTAAATCAGCAGGTGCTTCTAGCTGAATTCATAGGTGGAGCACAGCACAATTGCACGAGTATATCTCACTGTTTACTTTAAGAAAAAAGGATTGTGCAATGCCTACTGGAAATGTATTGTCCCAGCATACAAATTGCATCATTATGCAGAGATGCACAAAACCCAAATGAAAATTTTAACTAAGTTTAACAAGAATTCAGTGTTTAATCCCTGCAGCTTACCACAACTGCAATCGAACAGTTCGATCTTCAAGATACATGGTCTTAGACAGGAAATCAATACCAATTGTAGCCTGAATGAGCAGATAAAAATACAGATGTTAGTTATTATTCCATGGATTTTGTTTCTCCCAAAAGCATTTGACTTGCTCGTTTCCATCACAATGCTAAAAGCAACTATTCTGAATGCAAATCATTATTAACATCATACAAAGAAAATCAATACATAGGAAAACCATAGCAGCTTGACAGAGGTAGTGTAAGATCGCAAATAATTAGAAACAACGAGACCTCTTTAAAAGTAATAGAATCAGATCGCCAACAAAACCAAATCCAAAAACAAAAATTGTCGCGTGAAATCGAACTGATCGACGACAAAAGTAAAACTATATGAAATAAATCTAAGGAATCGTTACAACAATCGTACATCGCAAATCAATCAAAACAGATCAGATCCATAGACCTCGAACATTTTCATTTCACAAACAAAATCAAAACCGACATACAAAATACAAAGGGCGCCGCACCTGATAAGTATTGTCGAATTTATCGTACATGAAGCGAGTAATAATACTTGTTTTCCCCACCGACTGATCTCCCAAGAACACCAATTTGTACTTCGCGAGAGCCGAAACCGGCGCCATTAATCAATTCTCGTCACTTACCGCACCGGATCTCCGAATTCGGATCGACTGCACCTATTCCCCTCAGAAAGATCAGGATCTCGCCGGAAAGTGAACGGAGAATTCACCGACGCGGTGGTATTTGTAGGTTTGCGCGCAGATGTGTTCGAAATGGAGAGACTATTCTCCCTTGCGCGTCAAATTACCAAATAAATTTCTATTTGAAGAAAAGAGCTTCCACAAAGGTACGTAGGGACACGTGGCGTGCTTCGAATGGGCGATTTCAGACGTTTTTTTATTTTGTTACAAACGTGTATTTCTTTGATCTTTCGCATTAATTTTTTTAATGTAAAATATCTTTTGATATATCTTAAACTAAAAATAAATGTAATTAGCAAATAATAATAACTACAATTTACTAATTAAAAATTTATTTAAAATAAAATGATAAATTAAATAATTTAAAATCATGTATTTGTTATATGCTTATTAGGAATAATTAGTACAATATTGATTAATCTTAATTAATATCCTATTCTATATAAATTTGAGGTATTTTGTTTTGAGTTATATATATCTTATATGGTTATAGAAAATTATGTATGTAATATAAAAAATATTAATTTATATTAAATATTTATATTTTGTAAAATAATAAAATATAATATATTATACTATATATTGAAAATTGTGTTGAAAAAAAATATTGAAAAATAATCCTTAGTTATGTACTTATGTATAATTTAATACACTATAATATTGATGTATTAATTCATGATTTCTATTACATTTTTAGATTATATTACTATGCTAGACACAATAAAAATAAAATTTTTACTAAATATTTCTGTATTAGTTTGAATAGAGGGTTGAATTCTTAATTTCAACACCGAATACTGATGATCCTTAAGTTCAAATAATATTCGTCCGTCCAAATACAATAGATAGTCTTATTTATTATTTTTGTTTATTCCAAAATAATAGTTTTATTTTCATAAATAATCGTATTACCATAAAATTACCCGTACTTTTTTATTTTTATTACACAATTATCACTATTTTTTACATTAATACACTCGGACAAAAAAATCTTTTATCTATATTTTTTACATACTAGTAATATAAAATCAATATTCCTTGAATCTCGTACCCAATAAGACTATATTTATGGAACGGATGGAGCATTTAATTATATAATTTAGAATAATTAAGTTTTAACCTATTCAGTAGGTGTTCTTCCATTTTTACAGTGTACTTTCAAATTTTAATATAATTTTACTCTTTAGACAAATAGTAAAAAATAACACTGTCATGTTTACTCTAAATATAAAATTTGTAAAAAATTATCATTATTAAATTATTTTAAAAATATTAATACAAATAATGATATATTAACATTAAGGTAATTAATTTATTTAATTAAAATTACAAAAATTATAAAATTTAAAATTAAGTATATAATTATATTTTAAAAAAAATACAAATTAAATAAGACCCAAATTAAAAGCGTTGATAATTTACCGTGGGAGTGAAGAGAGTACTTACAAAGATAACTTGATACATACTAAAAAACCATCACAAAATTATACGTCAATAAAATATATCAGCTCGATCTCGCTCGAACCAAGTCGATAATCGCGAGCACGATAGCTGATAGCTGAAATGCGTCGTTATTCCTCTTCGTCATCGGCGAATTCCTGCCGCTCCTCTCATTAAACCCGTCCTCGCAAGTCGTCGCGGCGTCCATCGCCGAGCTTATGTGCACGTTGGCATCGTCGAACCTCCTCGCCTCGTAGTCCCTCGCAGCCTGCTCGACGGCCGGGATCGCATCCGAGAAAAGCTCCGAGCAATCGCTCAAGCACTGCCTCCGGTACGGGTCCCACGTCCCGTTCTCGATGAGCTGTTCGATGTAACAGCTCGTCTCCGTTATGTTGCGGAGAACGAGATCGATCGAGATCTTCCCGAGGGCCCCGAGGGACGCGCACCGGCTGCCAGGTACGGCTTGAAGGGATGTCACGCAAAAAGCGTAGTCGATGTTTGGATCGTCACGGGATGAAATCGCGCACGTCGAATTGATCGGGTTAAGGTTGGGGTTCGATGACGACCACGTCGCGAACCCGAACAAGATTGGGATGATGGAAAAGAAGAGATTGGAGAATGGCTTCATAGGTTTTGGTTTAAGGTACAATTTTTTTTGTTCTTGAGTTGTATTATATTATGGGAATGGCTTCCACACACACACACCCGCGTGGGTGTGTGTGTGTGGATGGGATAATGTTGATGGAAAAGGGATTGGGACAAGTTATGGCAAAGGATTGTGAGCACTCAACATGGGCATATAGAGAAATGATTTACTTTTTGTTATTTATTTAATTTATGATATTATTCATCTGAAAATCTTTATATGTTTGGTTTTTGTTTATATATTTACTTCATTTGTCTATGAAACTATTTATGATTTTTATTTTACATATTTTAAATTCCTATCATTAAATGTTATATTTATTTACAAATATGTTTATTTTGTATTTTTTTTTATAGAAATATCTTTTTATATTAAGTATGAAAATTTATATTGATAATATAAAAAATAATAATTTATATTGAAATATTGGCTTTTTGTGCGTATAAATAAAAAATATATATTATATATTGTGTTAATGTATGTATATTATATTTTTTAATAATATTAATATGAATTCTTCACCTAAAAACGCATATGATGCGTTTAGTTACATGTTGATTATTGAATTGGAAATTAGGTTGAAAGTAATTTATTTAATTAATATTTTATTTATGATAAAATATATAAGATTTAGAAAACTTAAAATATGTATTTAATTATTTTAATAAAACATATACAGTAACAACATTATTTTATAAAAATAAAATTTTATATAATATAAACAAATAAAAATAAAAATATTTATTTATAATAAACATAAATTAATTTTTAAGTAAACGAAAATTTTTAAATATATATAAATATTTTTTCTTATTGAATAAAAAAATAACAAATTTTGAATGAATTTCGAATAAGTCTCATATTATGTAATATTTTTTAAAAACAAGTTCGGAACATATTGTCAACTCCAGTTGGAAAGCCAACCAACTCACTTCTTTAAACAAAATTTTCACTTCATTAACTCATTTATTCATATATTTTTTAAACTATTTTTATTTTATATCGCAATTTATCGATACAGATATATATTCTTTAAAGTTTGTGTCCAATTTAAATAAGTATATATATATCATAGACATAAAAAAATATAAACCGCTACCCGAGAATGCGCACTGGGTATATAAAAAATTTATTGATAATATAAAAAATATATTGTATTTTTTTTTAATAATATGTACATAAAAAAATATTTCACCTAAAAATATTAAAAGTAAACAAACTTATTATGTTTTTAATTAATTTTATTTCATTATATCTAACTAATAGTGTTATATACTACTTGCATAAGTTTTATACTTGTATAATATCTTGATGTGATGTATTATATATATATATATAAAAAAAGGGACAAGCTAAATAAATAGAATTAAAATTGTATTTAGAATATATTTAATTAAACAAGTTACGAATCACACATGGCAGAGAAAATTTAAAGACATCGAAAATTTGAACCCATAATCGTCACGAAGTCCATACTCACACCACCAAATCATCACTTATGTAGCACATTCATAGGCATCTTTTTTCTTTTTTTGATCGGACATTCATAGGCATCTTTTGTGACATGAAACCATGATCGAGCATAAAAATAAAAAATAAAATAAAATAAAAAAAAAGATAAAGAATTGGACATTTTTCTAAATTAAGATGCTCATTTATATTGCTTACAAGTAGCAAAAATTATGAACTCCTTTTATATAATTATTAATACAAAAAGGCAAATGAAAATTAGGAGAACTTATTCTATGAGAACTTTACTATTATTTTTGTTGTATTTTTAAGAATTCAATCAAGTAAAATCGAATAAAGGTGTTCCTAATATCATATTAGTTGGAAAACTATTGAATAACATAATAATTAATATTACTTACTCTGTTTTAACTTATACTATTTTTTTTAATAATACGATCGTATTTAGTTGTGTGAATGACTAAAAGATCAAAATTGATTGATTTGATTTAAATGAGATCAAAATTGATATTTATACATATAACAATAAAATTATAATATATAATAAAAAATTAATTTTTTCTATATTTAAATAAAATATTAATTAAATAAAAAAAATTTTCAAACTCAAATTCAAACATAGTACAAACAAAATGTAACATGAACAAGAATCCCAAATATATGGTTACAGTGTAAGGGTTGAATTTGTGACCGTGAAGTCAAAAGTTCAAACCTCTCCTCAGATCACTTGTAATATATTTGATATATGAAACGAACTTATTTTATTGAATTCTTATAGAATTATTATAGAATTAATCGTTATATTCAAAAGTAATTAATAAAAATAGATACCTAACAAATTTGCATCACTATTAACAGAATTGGAGGTACTCTTTTGTTTTTCTTCTCATTTTTAATAGCAAATTTTCTATTAATAGATATCACAATTATATGTTATACTATATATAAGAAATTAAATACTATTCAAATTTAAACAAAATATTTACTTGTTTTCATTTTTGATAAATTTAAACAATTTCACCAAATATTTTATTTTATTTTTAACATATTAGTATTACAAAATATGCATACTCTAGTGGTATATATTTCTCGGTCTCATTACAATTTTTACTATTTTAGTTTGTTCAATTCAAAAGTCAATTTTATAATATAGTAAAATATTTTGTATACAAATTTTCTTTTAAAAAAACTCATACTTTTACACAAATTTTTTACAAAATATCATTATTTTATTTGCATTTTTTTTAAGGGCAAACCTATCAAATTATTTTACACAATTCTACTTACTAATAAAATATTATTATTTTTAAAATAATTTTATAAATCATATTAAAAGATAAAATATTTGTTTGGGTGTGTAAATACAAAATTACAAAAAAATTTGAAACATCTCAAATTGAAAATAATAACAAAACATTTTGAATAAAAATAGTAATATATAATACAAACACTAAAGATTAAGAACATACGCCTCAAAATTCCTTTGATAATTGCTTGTCTTTGATTGAATTTTTAAAACAAAATAGAAGAAAATTTTCACTATTTATCAATTTTATTTTCTCTTAAAATAACCCATATTTGTATTTACTTGCTTTTAATTTAAACTAAGTCTAGTTTCTATGTTATGTACAATTTATCAAAAATATGAAAATATATTATACTATATTAGTTTAAAATATAAAAATAATTATAATTTTAAATATAACTAAATAGTTATATAATACCCTCGGTCCACGTTGTGATATTTAAGATAATACTCCCTCAGGTTAGAGTTAGGATGTGTTTGTTTCATAAAAATTTTAGAATTTTTATTATTCATTAATTTTATTTTTTTTCCAAAATATCAAACTAAATATTTATTTTTTATTTTGTATATTATACCAAAAATTTTACTATTCAAATCCTTAAAAACACCCTCAGTACATTTGTATAAAGAGAGACAAAAATAAAAAATAAAAAAAAAATAAAAAAAGAGAAAGAGAGAGAAAAAAAAAAAAAGGAAATATATACAACGGTGGTGCGCACATCGAGTCATCGACTCATTGAGGCTTATAAAGGAAATGAAGGCAGAAAAATACAAACTGGTCAAAAGCAGCGGGGTCACATTGTAATTTCGCCAAACCTTAAACCCCAAAATAAGAACCCTAATTTCGGTTCTTCCAAAATCCCAAAATCATTTTATCCCCTTCTCCTCAGAGAAGGAAGGATTCCCACCAAATCCTAATCCTATTCCTAATCGGACACACAGAATTCGAACAAGCTTGGGTGGCCGGCCGGCCTACTGAGAGAATGGCGAAATTGAGAACGGCCATGGATGCTGCATTTTGGGACCTGGACATTTCTACTCCACTGGTTCTCGACGGCGTCGCGAAGGCCGTTCCAGGGGAACCTATCCCCCTCGACGGAGCCAGAGCGAGTAAATCGTTGAGAATTCAGCAGTTGGCTTTTCTGAAAAATGGCTTTCCGTTGGGGATATTACCGTCGATATCTCCGTCGCCGAATCGCAAGGAAGTGGGCGCTTTAGCGCTGCAGTCCGTCCTGGGACCATTAGGTGTGCAGAACTGGTACGTCTCCCTCCCTCCGTTCCTCTCATTTTCTATTATTTTTTTTGGTTAAATCAATGTTGTATAGTTTGGTGTGCTTATGGTGCACTAATTCAAGTTTGTGGTGTTGGAGTGTTCGTCTCTGTTCAGTGTTGCTGGAGACCATGGACCATTGAGTGGTTGAGCAATTTCATATGTTCAGGGCATGTTTACATTTTCAGATGGAATTTCAATCACAGATGACTGTTTTGAATGTTAAATTGATCCTACCCACTGAGATCGAATTGTTTCCATTTTCCAACATGATCTTTGTGATTTACATGGCCTCCTAAATCCTAATCACTCACAGGAAAGTAGTTTACTGTTTACTGACTAAACTGCAATCTACTATAGGTTTTGTTTGCTAAATGTTTTGTATAATGACTGAAAGAGGAAGTTATTATCGTTTATTCATATAGCATGCATGATGGTAAATTGAAGACTGTCCAATGTGATTGTGGCAATGTTGCTTGAGTTTCTGTTCATATGTAAATCTGTACTTTAATAATGTAGATTTGATTTGATGATGAATATTGGGTTTGAATCTAGATTTGAGTGTGTCTTTCCCTATTCCAGCTGCAAGTCACAACCCTTACTTTCTATGCAGGTGGGTAGGATTAATTGGCCAAATTCGTCCTAAGAAACTTATATCTTCTATTAAAGCTGAGGTGAAATCTGCAGAAGAATGGGATCTTTCGTTGCTTAAAGATGCTGCTAGGCATGTCTTGGACAAGTCGCTCTATGCAGTTGGGCTAACATCACAAATAGCATTACCTACATCGACTTCCATACTATTGAGCACCGAAAGCCATGGTGAGAGGAACAAGAGACGCACAAAGGCCTCGCTCTTTCACAAGGTAATATTTTGAACCTTTCTTTTTTTTTAAAATTAGGAGACATTCACAAATTAACGTCGAGTTCTTTTTCATGCTAATTGTGCGTAAGTTGGTAAGGCTTTTGATTTGAGCCCATACCTAGAGCTTTAAGTCCACTCATCATGTTAAAATGAGTTGCAATACTAGACCACTTCCTTTCTCTCTCTCTCTAAATAATAATTTTAGTCCTTTTATTTTGAAAATATTTTGAATGAGAGACAATCTGGTTGACAGTCATGATAATCTTAATGATGTTGAAATTTTAAAAATTTGGTGCAATAATCTTATATCTAGAATAGAATTATACACTTTGCAGGATTAGTGTCAATTTTATTATTAGTATTATTTTTTTTCTCATGAGCTACCACTCTTTATCATTTCTTTTCCTAAGTGCTTCGGCAATCTCCTTTTGCTCATTTTCATAGAAATCAGTATTCTAGAGCTTGACTGTATGTCCTTTGTTTTATTTTTTCACTACAGCTTCCAAATCACGATATTACTGTAGAAGCTGCATGGCCTCAGCTGTTCATTGATCAGAAAGGGAAATACTGGGATGTTCCAGAATCTATATCCATGGATTGTGCATCACTAGTCTCTGACTCAGGAATGCGATATCGTTTTGGTGTACACAAAACTGTTGGCGTTCCAAAGTCAGTTGACTCTTATAATACTGAATCTTTACCTGGACTATTGCCTGGGCTGTGTGCAAAAGCTGCTGTTTCTTTTGAGAAGGCGAAGGAATTTTGGAGGATAAAGGAAACAAAGGAGGATTGCATAATAGAGGTGGAAGATGGTCAAATCTGGCGCCCTGCATACGATATCCGTCTCCGGGAGCCACATGCTGCAATTTCTGGAATTATAGGTAATTTCTAAGGTTAGGAATACAAATATATTGCTATTCTTCTTATTCTAGTTTCCTTGATTAGTTGATAATTCCATTGTGTTCCATTAAAACCAATGCTTACTGCTTAGATATTTGTATATGTATTAACCTTTCTATCCCGATGATATCATGCTCTTATGGCACCCTTTTACGATTGATACTTCCAGAGGAGTTCTGCACAGTTCTGGTCCCATAAACCATCGAGCCAACGTAATATCTATGATGTATTGCTGCTTACTAATGTTCTCTTCGTATCTCTGATTTTTATTGGATTTGCACAGACTTCATAGGAATATGATTTTAACTTATATTAAGTTCCTCCCAACACTATATTTGTCTCTGAAACTCGAGATTATTCTACAGTGTGCTGCTGCTCAAATAAGTTGATTCATTTAATGGTCCCCATGGTTCTAGTTAATCGCCATATCCCTTGAAAGTTGTACTATATACATAAATACCCATGCTTTTCAAGTTAATATGTTCAATCATGTCATTATCTATCCTCTTTGTATCCAGGGGCTACTTGTGCTGCTTGGTTACACGGTGAGAAAGATGATAAGAAGAGGAGGTTTGGAGCTGATTTATTCAGTTCGGTGTGCTACACATTCCAACATGGGAAATTCAGGGAGTATTATGGCGACCTCACGAGGGTAGATGCTCGCTTGGATGTTAATTCATTTTCAGCTCTTGCCGAAAAGGCTTCTGGTCTTTTCAGGACCGAGCAGCAGACCAATCAGGCACGGAATGAACTCGGTTCTCCAAAACTAAATCTAATAGTCCAACAACAGGTGACCTGTTTTGACCAAGATCTCATTTAAAATTCATGACTTTTTTTTTTTTTTTTGCATTTACTATGAAGAGAAATGGTAACAGCACAAGATTCCTTGTGCATTGACTGATCGGTTAATGCGTAAGCCCCTACAGAATTCCATCTCCATCTTTGAATTAGGTGAAAATGGGCATCTTGATGGTTCTTTAGTTACTTACATACAAAGCTCGGTCCTGGGATAACGGCGATTTAGGATCGGGGGAACTTTGACCCTATGTGTCTAGTGTTTGTTAGATCCCCACCTGCCCAATCAAATCCCCAATTGTGCAGGTGTACTTCTGGGCGAGCTGGGGTCTGGTGATATGGGTCCAACCTTAAACCTGAGACACAACTTTGACCTGAGTACACATATTTTCCTCATTCCAAACTCGACTGGAAACCTGGCTATTTATTCGACTACAAACCAATCTCGAGTAGAATGAGACTCAGTCATCTCTAGCAACCTTACAGAGGAATAAATCCTTGGATTGTCAGCCTTAGCACTAAATTGTTGAAGAGGGAAGAAAACTATATAGGAATACTCTGTCATCACAGAAGTTTTTAATTTCATAAATTGCCTTTTATGCTTGTATATAGATATCCATGGAAAGTTATGATACACAATCATGATGTTTATATAAATGCAGGTTGCAGGACCGATTGTTTTTCGAGTGGATTCCAAGTTTTCCCTTGGTTCATCTTCCGGGAGGAATGGACCACACTTGGAAGATCTGATATATAGCCTAAGTTACTCTTTGAGGCTCCTTGGCTCAGGTAAGGTTGTAGCTTGGTATTCTGGGAAACGGAAAGAGGGAATGATTGAGTTACGTATGCTTGAGTTTTAGCTTACATTTAGTGATTATGTCAAAACTCATGAAATTTTCACTTCAAATTATTCACTCTTATTGTCTTGTTGCTTTGCTGAGGCTTGGGTGCATATTGATCTTGGTATATATAAACACACACACACACACACAGAGACATATATGAACCATGTTTTGGTGGAATTGTTGGTGAAACGAGTGCTAGTACTTTAAAATTTGTCTTGAGTCATCCTGGATTTGAAGAAATTAAAAATACATTATTAGGTTAAAAAATTAAAAAATGTTGTGTTTTTAATCCCTAAATTGTTGTTAAGTGAATCATTATTGCACTTTGTTGTGGTTATTCAAAATTGAAGCAGCAAACTGCTTGTTGCCTCTGTGATATTGTCCTAAGTTGTGCAGTAGTATTAGGTAATGTTTACTTGTGGGGACTTTTTAATCTATGTTATTATGTACCGACATGTAACCATCTAAGTGAGCTGAAAAGATTATATATCACAACCTGCAAATAATTTAAATTTCCAGTGTTTATTAGCAAGAAACTTTGAATTCGATTATGTAGCGCTATTAGCATACATAACCTACGATGTTTAAAAGCTAGAAAAATTGCACAAACAAAAACAAACTGGTATTTATCACATTACTGTATGCAGTGTATATGTATATGTATGCATGAATACTTACAGTTGACTTTGGCTTTACTTTGAGAAAGAAGCTTTTACTTCTTTCATGTGTTGGATGCTGAGGATTCTCCGGGAACTTCGCAGACATTGTGTCTGCAGACTGGGCATACCCTATTGACATAGAACAATACTTAATGGAAATGAAGACTATAAGATGCGTATGTGTGTAGATAATTTTCTTGAGCAGTCAGTACCTGTTCACTTCTTTAAGCCATTTATCGATGCAAAGCATGTGGTAATCGTGATTGCATGGGAGGACTCTCAATTTGTCCCCTTCCTCGTAGTCGGATAAGCAAATGTAGCATCTGCACAGCACATTTTTGGTTGAGTCAAGGGTGATGATCAAGACAAGTCAAGGTGCGCATCATACCGAAAATTTTAAGAATTGAAAACAGCATGTAATTGGTTTAAGTGATACGAGACTTACTGTCGAACATCGATTGAACCATTCTCATCATTTTTGTGATCCTTGAGTGGAAATGACTCAACAACAGACTCTGGAGCAGGGAGAGATATTGTAGATAGTGAAAGCGATAAAGCCTGATGGTGAATTTCGTCTAAAACCTGGTAAATAGATACATGTGGTTTACTATTTCACTTGCTAATGAAACTGCACGAGTACAGAAGGTAGTATAAGTAATGCCCTATTCAAGCATTCAGGAGTCTTAAGCGATTCATACAAGAAATTCATGATATAAAGAAAATTGTATTGGAGATTCACTAATAAAACTAGAAGCACAAGGATAATACCCTTAAGGACTATTTCACATAAATTTTAGGTTCTTTAGATATGCAAGATTAAAGCCATGGGTTTGTGGAGCTCGTGTAGTAAAATAACAAAAGAGAAGAAATTTGTAATGTTGTTGGTTGTAATTATTGACCTCTTTTAAATAAATAATAACTAGCCCAAAAATAGGTAAAATTAAAAGAGACTTCTTGCAATATTAGAAGGGACTCCAATTGCTTAAATAAGAGGTTTCAAATTCAATAAAAATTACTTAACAAGGACTGACCAAAAAAAAAAAGGCACAACTAAATGGGAATGAGTGTAGTCTCAAGAATGTACCTCAAACAATGCATCAGCGAGAACTATTATACGTGAGATACTTGCAAAACTACTTGATTCTTCATCTGCAAAGAACAAATCACATGAACATGTACCATCGAGGTGAAGTCCTGATGCACAAAATGCAGTTCGTCGGCCACCCTCATTACGAATACCTCTCCTTTCTGAGATCTAGACAATTTTGTTAATGAATGAAAATGGTCAAGTGTACTACACAAACAGCATAACCAAACACATGGAATTATCATGTAGTTACTGATGATGCTCCTTTTTATATGAACTTTCTAAATGAAAAATTGGAAGCACAAGAAGTAAATATTGCATATCTAACCTCAGATCTCGAAAGCCGTCTCTGTTCATTTCTATGACGAAGCCTGGCACTCAATGTGTCGATATCATGATTGGTTCCAATGGAATGGAGATCACCATTGAAATCATAAAACCATCTGTCATGGGATTCTAGCTCATCAGCAAGACCAGTGGCGATAACAATTGTTGGGGAATCAACATGTCGTCTAAAACTGTGTCTTGATAAAGCGTCCCAAAATAGTGTCCTACTGTTTCTTCTTGCTTCACCTCTACTTACTTCAGCAATGCTATCAGATAGGATGTTAGAAGAGATACTCACCAAATCGAGATGTAGTTGTGCTCCACTCCTCATATCTTGGTCACTATCAGACACAAGAAATCCTGAACTAGAATCGGTTGTCAAGTGAGCAACGTCATTCCCAGGGATTTGAAACCGTGGTAAAGAATCAGAAACAACAGAAAGTGACCTTAAATCAGAATTACTGTATACCACAAGGGAATCCTGGCTATATTCAGAACTATTTGACAGCACATGAGAACTATGGTGCCCCTGCACTGGATTGGTTGTCTGATCATGGACTGAACTATCGGAAGTTGTACTTTGTGCCATTGTATTTTCAATAATCGACTGTTGAGCAAGCTGTCAAAGAACACACTCACAAATCCGTGTTACTATTATAGAGAGTTCATGCGCTCAAAATGAACAAGTACCTGATCCTCAAGTGGTTCGAGATCTCTGAGTGACTGAACATTTAATGGAACAGATTCAGTAAGGGCATCCTCGACAACGCCAATGTTTCCTTCAGATAAATCTTCATTGTCACATGTGGATGTAGTGGCTTCAGCTTCTGAGGAAAACACAGAAGGGGATTCGAGGCTGGAGTTTAGAGAAGAATCGAAGGGGGACAAATCTCTTCTGCAGCTAATGGTTGGCATCTCCTCTGCACAATCTTCCAGCTTCTGTGAAAAAGTTTATGAAATGTTGAAGCCAATTTTATGCAGGTTCTGTTGATAAAAGATGTCAATAATACTGCTATGGAAGGTACTAGCAGAAGTAAAAAATTGTTAAATTAACCTTAACAGGATCATGTTTACACATGAAAATCTTGAACAATAATGAAAAACCTGAAGAAAATTTAAAACTGAGTACAATAACAGCTGAAGGAAATTATAATGTGTCAAGCTGTAGATTCCAGGAAACAGTGGCCAGAAGTTAGTGGAGAAGCTTCATAAACCAAATTTAAGCAGCACCACGATGTGGAGGTCAAACCGAATCAAGGACAGATTTCAGAGCCAAAACAAAGAATTTCAAAAGTTGATTGTGGCATTGATCCAAGAAATAAGGCATAAAGATCACTTGATCAAAATTCCAGAGTGGATCAGAAGATGTTGTACATAGAAGCTAAAGGTAATAGCTTTCAAGGTTTGAAGACTTTCGAGTCGTATAATCATGTCAACAATGCAACCATTCCACCAGCCTCCATGTAATAGCAGTTTTACTACTTTGTCAGCTTATTTTTTATTTTTGTCAGTTTATTTCTGTCATGTCATTTCACAAACCAATAGAGGCCATTTTTTTTTTTCCCTCACTATACTACTAGTTTCTTTTAACTTCTTTTCAAGCTTCTATACTGCAAGTTTCCGCCAAAAACTGACAGAGCCTTTGTTTCCTTCCCAGCATCAATCTCTCCTCACTGTCCTATTTCACTTTACTAATCGTCCCTACTCTTCAAAGTTCAAACTTTAGATATTATTATTAATTTTTTTTACCTTCTGTGGGTTGTCTCTTGACTGCCCATGGATTCAGCAGGCAGCCGATGCTTATTCCCCAGGTACCGTCACCTTATCCCCCTCTAGGGGGATTTTAGTGATAGGTTGTACATAGAATCCCTAATTCAAATTTCCACTAATTCGGAACTTAATTTGAAAGCCATAAGTTCATTCTTCAAAGGCTATATTTTCAACTTCACTGACTATCAAACAATAAACACTGCAAATACTACAAATATCATTTCACTATTAGTCCTCTACTGATCTACAAAACCATTATGTTTTTATACACTTAACCACTTATATGCTCTATCAGTTTTATCAAACTTATATGTTCACTGACTGAGGAAGCCACAACTGCCAACTATGGTGTCATTCAGCAGTTTTTAGAATCCGCCTGTCTGTAAATTTATTTACTTTAGATTAATTCATGAATTAAACTTGTTATCTAAGAGCTTAACCCATATTTTGGTGATAGGGTTCACCATGAAAGCCCCTCAACCATTTATAAGTAAGCAAGTTTTTTTATATTGATTAAGTTATTTTGTGTCCCTCAGAGAATGCTATCCCCAAATACAGGTAAATTTTTTGGTTAAGTTCAATGTAATTCATGTCTTTGGGATTGGGACAAACGATCATATCTCAATATCAAATGTAAACAAATTTTTAATTTTGATCAAGTTATCTTGTGTCCTCTCAGAAAATGCTATCCCATAATTCATGCATATCCACTTTGAGTCTTTATGCAGTTCATTATCATTGGGTAAAATGATAACCACTTTGATTAGTTTGCTATTGAAATTTTAATCTCAAACTACCATCATCATCATGATTATTATTGAGTATGGTATGAGTGTCAGATATGAGTATATATCCAGCTAACAAAACTAAATAAACCTGAAACTAGGATGCAGGCACACTTCTAGAATCAGACACAGTTACATACACGATAGTTAATCTATTTCACAACACTGATCAATTATTTAAAATATGAATAAGAAGACCAACAAATATGGTATACCTAATAGGGTTGTTACTTCTCCACTATTTTGGCATAATGCTATAATTTGGTTGTGCAATACCATGGAATGGAGAGAGCAATAATGAGAACTATTTTCTGAGGTGTTGTTACAACAATGATCCAACAACCAACATACAATGGGAGTTTAAAGGATCTAAGGAAGAGTTCAGATTGACAACATGTTTTTGAAGATATATTCACTGCAAATGAGGGAGTTATGGGGAAGAACCTCAAAAGTGACAATTCTATAAGTAGCCGGATGAGGTTTCAATTTAATTTTTTGGTTGCAATGTATTCTTTAGCACCTTTACTGAGGACTTTCTTGAACCAAATATCTCCTTAGATGTCCTGAACAAAATTTGAATTCTTGAACAAAGAAATCTACTATTTGATAGGTGTAGCTCAAGTCAAGATTTTTGAACAGTGGAGGAAACAGAAATGTGAAATACAACTGGAGAAGATTGAATAAAGAGATGAACTTTCCAATGACGCGTTAGAGAGTTTCTTCCTTGAATATATTGAGCAATCGGTAACTGTTAACTAAAAAGATAGCACATACAAAACTTGCATTTTATCAAACATTGGGCTTGAGCAATCTTAACCCAGCCACAAAGTTCGAATACTGAATTCAAATGTGTCTTATAATGATTCCGACATATGAGTACCTTGCTTCGTAAGAACAACAAGTTTCCCATGACTGGTAAAGTGAAAAAAGTATTGAAAACAACAAGAATGACAAGTGCCTGAGAAATCAAGTAGAGAAGAATTATGCTTTTCAAGTCTTCATAAAAGGAACCTTCAATATAAAGAAGGTTTCAATTATACTTACTACCTAAAGTACACACTGAGTTTGCAATGAAAATTTCTCAAACTAAATTTTATTATTATTATTATTTATTGGTCATGCTTCACAAATCACAATACAAATTCTAATTTTGATGCGAGACTCAAGTGTTAGTACTTATATGGCTATTTTGTTTCACAAGTTTTGAGCAAAGAGAGAATAGATTAGGCCCTTAGAATCCAAGATATTTTCATATCAACAAAAACCGATTTCAGTGCCATTACAGTCCTTCCTTCCCCGAATGCCAACTGCTAACATAGATATACATACAATATGGTTATGATGTCTCGAGAGTTAATGACTACAAATGGTAGGAACTCTCTGTCATGAATCTGGCCGAAAGTTAAGCAATCGATCTATGAAATCACCTCAACAGTTCAGAGTTCAAACAGTTCGTAACCCTAGAAAACCAGATCAAGTCCACACAATCGATCAGCACCAACACAGAGAAACAGACAACAATATCCAAATCCGATCAATAACGAACATCCAAATCAAATCACTCCAAAGAAAAGGGAGAAACGGAAGAAAAAGTCATGATACCTTAAAAGTTGACTTGGGCGTGAAAACACCGCAGAACAGGGCGGATACCTTTCGCCTTAACCTCGACGACTTCCTCGGCGATGATGCTTCCGACGAAACCACATGACTGCTGCTTGAACCCATCCTCTTCAGTTTTAAGCTCCCGATTCGCGAAGGAGCTCCAAAAGATTTATCCAAAACCTGAAAGAGACATTAGAATAATCATCCTCTCTATGTATATATATATATATATATATATATATATATATGAGTCCGAACGGAAAATCGAGCACTGCTTAAAAAGTCGTTGGGAGTGTTGATGTATGGTCTCTCCAGCATCGATTCCAAGGGGATCCGGGAGTTCCCACTCCATACACCCATTACTCGTATTTACACTGATGATTGGTGACTGACTGACTGATTGACTGACTCTGGTCTGGAACTGGAGTCCCGGATCCCACCGATTGAAGTTAAAGATTTGCATTAGTGTTTTTGTAAGATCGCTGTTTTTTAAGGTAGATTTAAATTGAAATAATATGTGATGTGGTAATATTTCTTATATATAATCTATTATTTTTAATATTAAATTAGTTTTTTATATAATATATAAATTAAAAACAATTATTTAATTTATTTACTAGTAAATAATGCAACATTGAAAGAAATTAGTAGAGTAATCTATGCAATTCATATTAAATTTTATAATATATAATTTTGTTTAAAATAAAAATAATTATATATTTAATTTGATACGTTCAAACATTTATTTATTTAATTTTTTTTTAGACAGACTTTTTGTCATATCTATTAATTACATTCCTCATAAAATACCATGTCTACGGTAGAGCAGATACCACATATTGAATGAAGGGAGTACAGATTTATTGTTTCTTTTACGCAGGGGACATTAGAGACTATTCTTTTTCATTATTGAGATTATTAATATTACAAAATATACAATATGAAAAATATTATTCAACTAATAAAAACATTTGTGATCCTTTTCTCTAATATGAATTTTTTAAAATATATATATATATATATATATCAAATAAGCACTTTTGCCAGCCCCTTCATATGATTAAAAATGCATGATTTTTTCTTTTAATTAAATACAATGAGGCATAAAAAGAACAAAAATACAATAATTGAAATACAAAGGACAAAAAAAAAAGGGTTAGATAATAAGCTCAGAATCTGTCCTAAAAAATTCAATGATTTTGAATACAACACAATCAAATTTTAAACTCAATTTATGTTCACTTTCTTCTAATCCCAACTTCGTATCATCAGCCACAAATATTTTTTACAAACACACTCTTCGACAATAATGTTAACAGACTGTAAAAAATACCTGCTTTCTGCATCCCTCAAAACCTCCTGCCGCCTGCCGCCATGACTACAACAAAATAAGCTTCTCACTTTGTCAGTAGTGTTAAAAAAAAAAAACAGCGTGCGAATCAGTGGTACCGAGCAATCTGTCTTAGCTGCCAAATCCACGAGTAAATCATCCCGAGAGCACAGTATACAGAGATCATCATAAGTGGTAAGAAAGGAAGTCGATCACTAAAAACAATACGATGCAGAAACTGTCCCCACATCTCAACAATTAAGAGGCCAAGAAGATAGGATTTTCCGAGCCACCCAATGTAGAAGGGTGTTCCAGATTTGGTCTCACTTCCCTTTACATGTCCAGAAGTTGACTCGGGAAAATGTGAGGAGAACCCGAGGAACATCAGAACTGCATGTAGAAGTAGAAGTGTAGCTTTGATGGGGTACTCTTGGGATTCGAACAGAAGAGGGAAAAGTGAGTAGCAAGATACTGCATCATGATAGCTATGTGTTAGATCTAACAGCATAAGCATTGTAAGTAACTGAAGCAGACATATAACATGGTAATAAACACACTTTACGTATGTTTCCAAATTTACCTTTTGTAAAAATTCCAATCTAGATGACATTTTATTCAGGATTTAATTTTCATTTAAAATGTTACATCAAGAATCTAAGTATCACATCAAACACTTATTTCTATTCTATTTTTTATTATTTTCAAACCAATCCAAACTTCGAAAACATATATAGACGCAACCAAGATATTTAACATTATTCTTTAATCAATCCTACAATGACTGCAAAGCTAGGGATAAATTACATAATCTCAGTTTTAATAAGAGAGCAACATTGCTAGAAGAACTCCAAGGGAAGTCTACACTGTGTCTGACATGAAATTTCTAATCGTAATCCATTAGAAAATAAGCGTTGTTCTTTATTACATAAATGTAAAATATACTATAATTAAATTATTAATTGGTAAGTTGTCCTCTATGTAACATTGTTCGTGCTTACGGATCTCTATGCCTCACACCCTAAAATTACATCCAATTGCATTCTATAGCTGTTTTTATTTTGAACTAGATACATATTATAAAATGAAATAGCAATTCATTACGGTTCAGATTAAATAAAAAAAGAACACCACACCATCTAATACGTTCAAAACACTCTAAGAATGCATTCAAACAAATTAAAGTTCAATGATAGTTAAGAATATAACACTCTAGCATGCAACCGGGCAAGGACTTCTGACAACCTACTGGACAAAATAACTATATGCGATGCTCGAGCAATACAACTTACATATAGTCATCTTGAATTCTGTAGAAATCTTAAGAGGCTATGGCAGCCAGGAAACCAGCCAAAAACACACCATTATTGTATTTTAAACTGAGAAATATATGTGAACTACTAACAAACTGGAGATAGACATTATTGACTGATAAGGACCATACGAGTTCATCAAGATTTAATAACAGGCACAAAAATAGATTCCACAAGGTAATTAGCAAAAATAGATTTAAGAAAAAGTATACCTATGGACAAAAAGAAGTAATGCTTAGCATCCTTCATGCTTGTCAAGGATGTAGAGGCTAGGGGGATCACAACGTGGAGTGATGCCTTTTCATGAACATGCCAACCAAATAGAAATCCGCAAGTGTAAGCATAGGATACCCATCTGGATACCATCTTTGGCTGGGGATTTCTCCAAGCTTTTATCAGACAAGGAGAGATTGCTAAGAGAACGGTGATGAATGTGATCAAGGGAGTGACCTGCATTATTGGATATGTGAATTTATAATAGATTAATTGTATCACAAAGCCCAAAGGTAACAAAGATGTCATTCTTTAGTACATTCCAGAATGTTTGACAAGGAATTTAATAATGAACTCCTGAATACAATCCAGTCATTTACAAGTGAAGCTCAAGTATTCTACTACTATTTGAGTATTGAGCACCTGAGGGAATATTTGTCTTTTTTGAAATTCGTATGCATTATACATAATTCCTAAGCTTTTGTCTAATTGTTTACAGAGTAGTACTTCAGCTTCATAGTATAATTCATCTTTAAGTACCATATTGGTCAAGTGTCCAAACTTGAACCAATGTACTAATGAATTCCTGAGTTCAAACAAATCATTCACAAGTGAAGCTCAAGTATTCTACTACTATCAAGCATTGGACACCCGAGGGGATATTGGGCTTTTCATAATATGTTTATATTATATATAATTACTAAGCTTTTCTCTAATTGTTTACAAAATAGTACTTTAGCTCTGTAGTATAATTCATCTTGAAGTACCATATTGGTCAAGCGTCAAATCTTGAACCACGTCTACTGATCTGCAAGTGGATTGAAACTTCAGACATAACTAGATTGATCAACACATAAAGGGCCAGCATAATAAACAAATTAACACTGGTTTGAAACTTCAAACATAACTAGATTGATCAACACACAAAGGGCCTAATAAACAGATAACAGCAACTTGTGGCTTTAAACACGCGGAAACTGTAATGGAACTGAAAATTTGTTAGATATAAACAAGAGAACAGACATTCTTACTGTAGGTAATACAGCAAATGGAGAGGAATCTCCCACCAGACCGCCAGTGAATGAAGCTTTTGGGGCTTCGATGTGGAACCCTAGTTTCACAAGCAAAAATGCTAGACATTTATCCAACATTATATAGAATACCCAGAAATTTGGAGCCCAGTATGCATGGCAGAGTCCCCTGCCAAAAGGAAACATGCGTCTGAAAACTTGTTGCATCTGCAAGGTAAATGAAGAGATAAACCACACCTTACACAACTTTCGGTAACAAATGGAACATGCAGCCCTACTAGGATGATGAAAATTATTGTAAGAGCAGAATAGAAGTCTGTTTAATGAACGAGCTACTATCTTACTCAAAATAAGAATATCAAGCAAGGAAAAGAACGATTTAAAAGTAAAGGTTATGCGCCATGCTTCAGTATCTGTAGCTTCACAATCAGCAACATGACACATTTACTCCCAAAGAAGAACACATAATCTTAGTCCAATGATACATCAGTATTTACTTTCAGCCTCACAGCCTAACATTGATTTCTATAATAAGTCACTTTTAATTATACTTGTCCTGTAATATTCAAGCCCACTAAGATTTATCGAAATGTATCACATGATACACAATCCATCTAAAATACGAAATTCAATCGCCAATCTTAACAGCTGTGAAGTCAGATTAGAATTACTAAAAATTAGTCTATTATCATACCACACGACTAAAATAAAAAGTAAATACTTCAGAATCTGCATAAATCAACTTCGAACACAATTTCCAGCTGGGAATCTACAGAACCGAATTCAAACACTATATTGACACAAGAATAACAAAAGAGAATCACATCAATGGGAGAAACACAATTCCTTCAAATCACATCTTTTCATGCTATCAGCATTAATCAACTCCAACCATTTCCACAGTAGAACCCAAAATTTTTACCTGTCCATGGTAAACAAAGGGACCATAAGCCGCAGCAAGAACAGCCAAAACAACACTTCCCATAAGCACCAATCTACTAAAACCTTTGACCAATCCTCCCCTGCAGTAATGCCTAAACAAATACACAACATACACTGGCGCAGCCACTGCAAAGAGATGCTTAAAACAAAGCAGAACTGCGAATATAAACCCTCCCATTAAATCCCTTCCTTCCTCCAGAAAAGAAATTGACAGCAACAGTAACCCTAACAGAAAACCATTGTACTGAAAATGCAAGTGATCCACAATAAACAGGCCAGGCGACCAGATAATCAAAATCCAGCTAAAAAACCTCTCAAAATTGCTACAATTTCTGCTTACAGTCAATCTATAAGCAGAGTAAACCAACACGAAATCGGACAGCGCGACTGACAGGCGCTGGAAAACGATCGTGCGGGAGGAGGCGTAATCAAGGCCTTGATGGAGATCGGTCATGATCGGATCCAGCCTGGAAGCGAAAATCGAGAGGAATTTCTCGAAGTAGGCGAAGAATGGAGGGTAATCGAGGGTCCATTGGCTGGTGGTGTCCGAGTACCATTGGGAGAGAGGGAGTGAGTGCGTGAGGGCTAGCCAGTGGCGGTGGACTTCGAAGTCCGTGCTCCGGTAGGCCGGAATTAGAAGGAGCTTCACGGCCGCCGCTACAAGGGCCGGCCACCATATGCCGGCGGTGGCGCGGCGGTTGGTTTGGGTTTCGGACATCGGAGAGTTTATGCGCTATGGTTGACTGAACAGCTGCTGTATTAAAATAAGGCTACTGAGAACTGTTTGGTTGTGTTTTGTATTCCATTTTTATTACTCGAGTATTTTTTTATAAATGCACATAAAAATTTAGATCTTCTATTTTTAAATTAGAATATTATATTTAAATTCTCTTTTTTATTTTAAAAGTATTTATCATATTCATTTATAATATCATTAATTCTTTTGATTGAATTTTAGAATATTAAATTTAACACTTCAAAAAAATGTATTTTTTAATATTTGAATAATATTTTGTATTGATATTAAAAATTTGTCAAAATATAAAAAATGCTTTTGTCAAAATTAATATTTATTTTAATAAAATAAAAAAGGAAAAATACAGCTAAACAAATCCTGTATTTCAAAATTTGAGATTTTAATAACAATAAAAAATTATTTTGTTCGATATTTTTATATATAAAAAAAATAATAATAACAATAATAATATTGTAAAAAATATATGAAACATTATTTTTTGTCAAAAAAAAGTTGTACATAAATAAAGCCCAAAATTTCACTACAAAAAATTCAAAATAAACTCAAATCAAACCAAACCAAACCATCAAAACAATCCCAAACACCGGCCAAGACATCTTGCTCCTTCAACTGAGAAACCTGTAATTTAATTTCTTGCCTAAATAATAATAATATTAATAACAATAATAGTAATGATAATATAAAACAGGTTTCTCCTCCTACATTGACAACGGTTCCATTATGTAAGGAAAATTTAAAACCAAAGATATGTAAAAAGGAAAAAACCAAGACAGTGATTTTTTGCTTCTACCCAAAAAAATGATCACCTCTCCATACCCTCTACCTTCCTCCACTGTCCCTCCCTCCCTCTCTCTCTGTTTTCTTTTTCTCTCTACAGGAACTTATCTATCCTCAAGGATTTCTTACAGCCTGGTGGTCGGAAGCGATCGAGCGACAGATTTGATCCTGCCCGGATTTTGTTCAATTCAGAATCACCTTTTTCTGATTTTATCACATCCAGAATGGTTCCCATTATTTCAGCTGCAATCCCAGTTTTGAGAAGACTGCCTGGTTCTTCACCCCCTTCGAATATCACCTGTTCGACTCTGGAAAGGGGGACAATATTTTCCATAATGAGCTTGGCAAGGGTAAGCCCAATATACTCGGATGCTTTAGGAGAGTCTGTGAGAGCTTCCTCCAGGATGGTAAGAACCAATTCAAACCTGTTGGAAGTGCAAATTAGTTTAAAGTAGCAAATGCCACACATCGGTAGGTAAAATGCAGTAGTTTTGAAAAATGATTTCAATTTGTATCTTACAAAGACTACTTTGTTTGATCATAAAAAGACACAAGACAACAGGCCTACAGAACTTAAGGAAACTATTAATCATGAGATTCAATCAACATTATCTACGTCTTACATTGAAATTTATTTCGAGACCATTTGCATAAATTTATACCCTACCACTTTCTTCCGATGTCTAACCTGGCAAATTCTTCGAATCCATCGGATATTACCAACTTAGGATGAAATTTGTGTACATTCTAAGACCAGAATGAAAATGTGATACTTCCATCAATTGTTAAAAGAAAGTCGAAACTAGGAATTACGTACCCTTGAACCAGTTGATCTGGAGTTATCATGGTGTCTTCGGATTTCGAAAGGCTGACAAGTAGCTTCGTCAAGAGATTTCTCTGCACATCTTTCCTCTCAAAAGAATCGCCAACCCAAAGTGAGATCATTGTGGGGTAGAACCTAGGGGCATTCAAATCCTTGATGCATTGAACCATTTCTTCATCATCTCTTGCACTAAAGGGGCAAACAAATGAGGTGGTTTAGCAGCAACATCACTCAAGTAGTAAGGTTTTAAATCTTTACTTTTAAAAATAAAATGAGAAAATAAACACAATTGTGTATGATCTATGATTTGGTATCGGAGCCATTAATCAAAATAATGAAATATCACTAAGGAGAACCATATGTTCTGCAGCATACCAAACATGGCGGCTGCAGAATCACGCTATTTTTGTCTTCCAAAGTTGCTTTATTATTCAGAACATGGAGGTGAGTGGAAGCACAACAGTATAACAGCTAAAAATATGATTCTCTAGGTATCCAACTTAAAACTGCAAACAATCATCTGAAATACTAGACCAAATTATTTCAACTGACCCTAACACACCCACTGATTGAGTGTAAGCCACTGATATTTTGTACCTCTCCTTAATAAGAATCAATCAGTAGTAAACAGCATACGGAGAAATAATCAAGAAATGGTAACTTTAAGAACAAACTAATAAGAACTTGTCATCTACTTGAATAACAAAGTGGTATGTTTCTTCCCTTCTCTACATAGAACAACCAATAGGCAATAGTAAACAGCATACGGAGAAATAATCAAGAAATGGTAACTTTAAGAACAAACTAATAAGAACTTGTCATCTACTTGAATAACAAAGTGGTATGTTTCTTCCCTTCTCTACATAGAACACCCAATAGGCAATAGTAAACAGCATACGGAGAAATAATCAAGAAATGGTAACTTTAAGAACAAACTAATAAGAACTTGTCATCTACTTGAATAACAAAGTGGTATGTTTCTTCCCTTCTCTACATAGAACACCCAATAGGCAAGTACGAGCAAAAAAATAGGAGGGATTCTGTTCCTGAAACAGGAAACTCAAGAGAGCAAGTGTTCGAGGGGAAAAAATAAAGAAAATAAAAGGAATGCAAGCTGTTGATTGATGTCACGCCTCTATTTCTTTGAATCCATTAATTTCCTACCTTTGTCAGATCTAGCTGTTGATTTGAACAAGTAAAGTTACAAACTAACCATCGGAATTTACCCAACTTTCCTTTTGTATGCAAACCAGCACAAGGCTACAAGCAATAGAATCAAGTCGTTGATTTGCTTCACCATTCACATGAAGATGATTGAATCAAGAGCTTCACAATGAAAATAGACATGATTCATATGCACTAGCAACATCATGAATCCATGATCAAGAAGGCAGATGCTGAAACTAAAGACATTCATGGTCCAGTAGAACTTTGCTTTACGGAAACAACATTATCTCAGGTGCCATTAATCTTACTTCTGCAGCTACCAGTTAGCACTTTTACCCAATATGGGAGCATGCATGACTTTGCATAGTGGTGAGAATAAATATAATGGTTTTAATTTTTGTTCACACAGCACTGAAGATCGAGACAACAATTATAAACAAATAACAGTTAGGAGCTATCAAAGTTTGTTGATTTGCACACATGTATACATATTGCTGCATACAAGCTCACATAATCTGAAATGGAAAAAAATTATCAACGTTGGATCAAAATGGTACCTGTAGTATTCTTCAATCGCAGCCCTGGACTTGTCCTTCAATTGATCTTCTGTTAATGCACTTTCTGAAGAGACATTGTTCGTGCTACTCAGCAGTCCACCTTGAGGATGAGTAGGCTTATCCCCGTGGGTAGTATTTGACTCGTGAGAATGAAGGTCTGGCATCTGTCTTGACATTACATCCTCTCTTCGCCCATAAGCAGCCTGCTCTGGTATAGAACTGAACCCATTCTGACCAGGGGTCATTCTTCGAGCATCAACAGGTCTCGTTGCCTCAGGCAGCTGATTGGTTGGTAGTGTTGGACGGGCTCGGAAGGACATCAAGCCACCTTGGGGACCAAGTGTTATGGAATCATCGCCACCAAGGTGTCTTTGAGGGAGAGGAACAGACACGGTCCTGTCATATGAATTTCTCTCATCCACCCGTGCATCCTGTGAACCATAATTGCGTTGCTGGGTTGGCATACTACGGAATCCACCCATCTGGGGGCCGGGAGATGATAATACACTAGGTGCTCTAGGAGCAAAATCTGTCTGTAATGAAACCCTTCTAGCAGAATTGCCCATGCTAGAACCACGGGGCATCCTGCCAGATTGTGCATGTCGCTCTTGTGCAGCATCTCTGTGAACCTCTTCAATCTTTTTGGGACCTTCAACTTTCCTCCTCTGCTGCCAGTTATTTTTTCTCAGATCAATAGCATCCTGAAGCATGAATCTAACCCTAGAGGACACTCTCATATCAACAGATACTCGTGCCATAATGTCAAAATAAGCATCCATGTGGTCTTTTGCTTTTGGGTGATCTATCATCTCTCCAATTGTGCTCATCAATTTGCACAAGGCTTCAATGTTTTCTTCATCGGGATTATGATAATTACCCAACAACTTACTTATGCACTCATGCATGATCCTCTCCGTAAGCATCCTCTTCTTGTACAGCTCTCCAATCAATCTAATATTACCTAACATTCGCCTCCGTACTCGAAGTCTCTTTTCTTCCCTCTCTTCTTTTGTCTGTTCAACTTCACCTTCTACATCAGCTTTATTTGCCTCTTGTTCCTCTCTTTCTCCCCTCTCAAATTCTTCTTGGCATTTGTTCAAAAGTAACCTCTTGAAAGTGATTCTCTCACTATTCACTTCCAATTTAGGCAAGTCGGCAGAAAGATGAAAGCAGAAATCCGCATACATCTCACAGAATGTTGGTTCCATTAGAGCTTTGTCAAAAATTTGTGAGATCACTCCAGACAGTGTGACAACATTATCAATGCCCACTTCCTTAACCTTCTGAAACAATTTGTCAAAATTTTGCGGAGTAAGCTTGTTCAGTATGGCCTTTAGCTGCCTCTGCTTTGCTTCTTCCTCATCAGTAACTTTACCCACCTCATACTTCTTTTCAGCTTTGTGCATCACAGGTGGTGGTGTCTGAGGAGAAGACATCAATCCTTTCTGGAAATTAGTTGCTCGCTGCCACCTATCAGCATCAGGATTATTTCTTGGAAAGCCACCCTGGCCAAGAGACTGCATTGTGAAGATTGTCCCACCATAAGGAATCTGGTTCTGAGCCTTTGGATTCCTTGAAACACCGAAATTAACTCCTTGGCCAGGCCGAAAATTCATGATATTACCTGCATATGCCATGTCCGCCCTAATGTCTCCTCGCCCAGGCATAAGAGGGCCAGAGAAATTATTCCATCTATCATCATCACCACCCAAACGACGATCAGCTGTAGGACCCCCAACTGGCCTAGCTATATTTCGTCCAGGACTAGGATATGACTCTCGTGAACCAGAGAGCATCAATGCATCATCTATGCCAGAATTAAATCCCTTAGGAGGATCAGTGCATTGCTCCTTAAATTTCATCAGGAAGTCTCGGTGGTACTTCTTAGTCTTTGAGCCAGTAACATCTTTGCCATTACCCTCAGTTTCATTCTTCGAGGATCCTAACTGTGGAGAGATCTCAGCGGCATCTTCCCAGTCATCGGGCTCCGCCTTATTCACCACTGCTATCTCCCTTTGCACATGCTTCTCTGGAGATATGTCAGCAGATGTCTGCTTGGGGCCAGTTGCTGAAGCATTTTCAATGCTCTCCACAGGGGTTGAGCTCTCCTTTTCTTCAGGGCCCTTGTACGCCATGTACAGATCAGAACTGGTCCCAGCAGCTTCTGCTTTTCGATACAAGTCCTTCTTCTTCTTCTTCCCTCGGGGAACAACAGCTTTTGTCACATTTGCATCTGATAAAACATTATCTTTTACACTCAATGAAGGCGAAACTATGCCACCGTTGTTCTCAATATTTTCATTTTCAGCTCTCGCAGTAACATCAAGCAGAGATGGTACCAAGACTGGGGCAGTCTCCTGGTCTATAGAAGCAGGCTTTATAACATTGATTTCTGTTGTGCCTGTGCTATCAGCCACACTTGATAATACATCTGAGCTAGCAGATGCATTATCCTGTTTGGATGAACAATTCACTGAGACACAACTCTCAGCATTTCCACCAACCTCTTCATGGGTGGCCACAACTGTACTATCACTGACATTAGCATCAATGGAACAAGAACCTAAAGACTTCTCTAATTTTTTCCCAGTTTGTTCCAAGGTGTCCAGGTTGTGTTTGTCAAGTTCTGAATTTTTTGACGTTATAGCTTCTTCTGGCTCCTTTCTCCCATTTATCTCATTTTCAGACTGTCTGCTATCTACACCTTTGAAGTCTAAACTCCAAGATGCTTCACCTAGCTTTTCTTCATTAGCACTCTCACTTGTCAAATGAGAAGTCTCAGAAGTAGCACCCATTGTTGACGGTGATTCTTTAGACAGATTTGATTCTGTTTTCAGTGTTTCAGCTTCTGAGACGGGTGCAGCCACACTTGAGTGCACAATCGATTGCTTAGGAACCTAAATAAAAGAAGCTAAACTTCAGCAATGGAAAATATCGTTAAGGATAGTAGTACTTACAAACAAGCCACAAATTACCTGGTCCTCCTTGCCCTTGCTCTCTGATTGAATGGGTTTATTTTCAACAGTAGAACTTGTTGACATTGATGCAGAACCATCCACGGGAGTTGGAATAGACCCTGAAGGGTTGCTTACAACAAGCTCCACATTGATAGAACCTGAAGGTGGAGCAGACGTGGATGATGTCTGCAAACCAGGCTTCAACTGTGCCAAGGAGCTCGAAGATGAATGCTGTACTTCATTCTGATGGAGAACTGAATCTTCCACATGTAAACCTTTATGTTCTGAAGACTTAGCCTCTCCAAAAGAACCTGAAGCTGGCAACTGCTTTTTCTCCCCGTGAAAGTTTGCAGGCGGCTTCACAGTCACCTGACAGAAAATAAAGAAATGAGGTTAAAGATTACATGGCAGTTCTATCACAGTTCTAAGTTCATATGTGCATGATAAAAGAAATATCTTCTATTAGATAATAATATTAACATATAAAGAATAATATACAAAAAAAGTAACTGACCAACCTGGCTATATGACCTCGGAGGCTGAGAAGGGGGTGCAGACAAAACCTGATTGGTATTCTTAGAAACAGCACTACCAGGAGGGAAATAGGGGGGAGTGGCACTGTAAGAATTGGGATAAAAATTCATTGGGCGATTGGGAGGGAATGAAGACATGGGCTGTGATTGAGGTGGCATGTTAGGATTTGGCCTTGGCCCGGGTGAGCTGTCAAGCCTCAACTCTTCATGAGTTTCTGGATGCGTAATCTTCACGGATTTGCGAGAACCCCCAAATTTCCCAGCTGGCTGCTGAGGGAACTGTGGAGCCATATTAATTCCCATGCCTCCTAACTGGGGAGGAAGATGGCCCATCTGTGGTGGAAAGTGAAAATTTTGTCCCTGATGCATCATTCCTTGAGACTGTACAGGATGATGGGGCTGAATGCCTGGAATGAACATTGGCTGAGGTGGGCTCCCCAAAGGTAATGGGATCTGCATCTGCAGGGGCAATGATGTTCCAGACATAGCTTGAGACTGAATTTGAGGGTTGGGACCGCCAAATTGAATAGGAACCTGTGGCTGGTGAAATGGCAGTTGTACGGGCATACTGGGAATATGGTGTACAGCAGCCTTCTGGGTTTGACTCACTGATTGCGGAGCTGAGACTTGTGTGTCCCTCTTTGATTTGGAAAGTGGTTGAACTTGACCAGCATTACTTTGGTCAACAATCCCAGAATCCTTCTTTGGCAACTGCTGCTTGGGTACTGATGGGATTGGAACAGCAGGAGCAGCCTTTAAGGAATCTTGGCGAGCCTGTAAATAGTCCATACATAAGGAATAATGTCTGTTACACATCATTGCCAAAATTTGGCATTGAAAATATAATATTGACCAAAATTGTCCACTTATAAATTATAAATATAGGGACTGCTGCAGAGGATTCTAACTTGTTATTCCAAGCTCTCATATAATAAGGTAGCAAGTACAATTCAGATAACCAAAACTTCATGCATTCTTAGGTTGAGCCTAACTGAGTGAAGAAAAGAAACAGTTTCACCTCATAAAAATAATAAATAAAATAAAAGCAGAAGAAAAAAATATATATATTACAACAACATTTCCTCCTTTATTCAACTAGAGGACTGAAGCATTGTTTCCCTTTCATGTGACCTATTAAAGATGTAGAAATAAAAGCCATCCATAGTAGTACTGTAAGCCTTTCTAATATTCCTGCCAATGATGTATACAGCACACAAGTCCAATTGCTAACCAATTGAATGCCAAAACTAAATTTTTGAAATCCATGTGAATAACGTGATAGAAAAAGCCACACACCTGAGCTTTCTTCTGCTCATCCAGATTTGGTGGTGCGGAGCTTGTTCGAGCAGGTATCTGATGACAAAATGGAGAGAGACCATTATACTTGGAAACAAGTGTCTAAGGATTATAACAATGGGAAGGGTTGATCAGGTGTGGGTTTGCAATACCTGCACTCCATTCATAAGACCAGGACTTATGGACCCAAATTGCAAAGGAAATGACTTGGATGCATCTGCCAGAACCAGATATGTAAAAGCATTACAAAACGTCAACTGACAGAAGAAACTAAACTCCATTGCAAGGACAAAACCAAAAACATGTACTTAAGTATATAACATAAATATGTATAGTCACCATAACCGCGTACCTTTTACGGGTGTTTTAGGTGCTTCAGGCTCAGCAGCAGAGGCATTGGCTGTTGAAGCCGCAGTAGACACAGTAGGAGATGAACGAGGAACAGCGCGAGTGTTCTCTTGACTTGGAGCATGTGTAGGCAGCATTGGATTGGAAGATGTATTAGTAAGTGTGGCATCAGACACTCCTAAAAGTATAAAAATAGAGAAGGTTTTGTTACATATCATACTACTAAAATGTAACACTCCCACAGCCCAAAACGATAAAATAAACAAATCAAGATTCAGCTATCGATGGATAAACAAATATTTTATTTTCATATGTCCGCAACAAACAAAATTCATATTGCGTACTTCCAGTTGGTGGTTGTTGATTAGGACCATTGTGAGCAGCATTTGTACCACTGTCTGAATCGACGTTAGGGCTTCTAACTCTCGACTGCACTGCTGGTGCATTGTTATTGTACTTCTTGAAACTGCATGTAATATACAATTATTACAACCATGAAAAGGGGAAATTAAATCATCAGCAAAAGCCAAATCATAGATGAAAACCCTAGAACACGAATATAGACATATCCAAGCAGACATCCATCATCATCCAATCAACAAATGGGCACAAACATACGCAAATTAATTACCGCAGCAAAACCCTAGTTCAAAAAAAAAAAGTTTCACATCCAGTGTACCTGCGGTTGCCGGGATTCGAAGTGGCGGATGAGGCGCCGCCACCGCCCTTACTAGGTATACCGCCCGCGTAGTGGCTCTGATAATTCGAGTTACCGGATCGGCCGGATTTCCTGTACTGTGAAAACTCGCTCCTTTCACCCCTTGATTGATTATTGGACATAAATCCTAATCTTTGTGGAGAGAAATAATGCTTTTACGGATACTTAAAAGCAATCTTCCTCCCAGGAACCAAAAACAAAAAAATCGACCGATCAAATCAAGAGCATCGAAAAAAGAAAAATAAAATAAAATAAAAATCTGATCGCGCATTTATAAAACGAAGAGAATCTTAACAGCAGAGAGGCAAGCAAGCAATCAAAGCTTTCGAATTTGGATTGTGATTTACCTGCAGCGTACGGATGGCGAAATTAGGGTTTCTAGTCGGAGAGAAGAATGGCGTGAGCCATAACGAGACGACGCCGTCTGAGAAGAAACAAGGAAAGCAAGAAAGAAAGAAAGGATTGTGAACTTTGTGTTATGCGGTGAATATGAAGTGTAAATTACACAGAAAAACTCTACTCGGGGTATTTAGGTTATTTATTTATTTATTTTTCTCTTTCGAGATTTTGTTATATATTTTTTCGTTTATTCTTATATAAATAAAATTAATTAATTAAATTAAATAAATTTTAACAAGTTCACCTAAAAATGGGTCAAAAGAGACATGAGTATTTGTAGGAGATTAAAATTTATATATGTCGTATACGTGTATGCACAGACGGCGTTTAAGCTGATTAATTTGTTTGGATTGGATTTATTTTACTTTCAGGTTGTTTGTTCATGAATTTGATTAGATTTGATAATTTAGGTGATGTATTTGTTTGGATTTTTTTTTCTATTTTTTTTTTTTTTTTAACGACGGTCGAATCTACTGCCGCTACTCGAATTGTTTGGATTTATTTTACTTTCAGGGCTGTTTATTTAGAAATTTGATTAGATTTGATATGATTATTTGGAATTATTTTACTTTCATGGCTGTTTGTTCAGTAATTTGATTAGATTTGATACGATTATTTGGATTTTTTTTTTCTATTTTTTTTAATGACTCGAATCTACTGCCGCTACTTGAATTGTTTGAATTTATTTTACTTTCAGGGCTATTTATTTAGAAATTTGATTATATTTGATACTATTATTTGGATTTATTTTACTTTCAGGGTTGTTTGTTAGGAAATTGATTAGATTTTATACGACTTAGATTTTAAAATTTTAAGGTATGTTTCTTCAGGGTTGTTTGGAAAAAATTGGTTTGAGTTTGATTTTTATTTGAATTTGAAGATAGTTTTGAATTTATATGTTCATGTATTTTAGATTTGGTTCAGGTTTTGATATTATTGATTTGATGGATAGTGGATATAATAATATAAATATATATTAAATTTAATTGATAAAGTTAATAATTTAATGATTTGATTATAAATTTATATTATACTACTATATATTTTTAATTTTTAATTTATTTATATTATAAAAAAAAATTATTTTCTATAAAATAATATATATAGATACAAATATATTATATATATTTTATTAAACTATAACTATTATAAATATTAAATAAATATAATATTTGAAAAAAAAATTGTAGTTTTTGCTGCAAGTGGCGTGTTTGGGCAAAACTACTGTGCAAAGTAGTTTTGCCCAAACCAAGGTAGTTTTGCCCAAATCGAGCTTGCAGAAACACCTTCTTAATGATCTTATATTTGGAATAGATATAAAATTTAAAATTTTAAAGTTTAAAATTTGGTAAAAAAAAATAGTTTCTCTATTCATTAAAATTATTTAATTTAGGTTTCACAAGAGAATTGATATTTTATTGGAAAAATGATAAGTAGTTGAAGATATTTTTGAAAATTTAGTTAAAAAATAAAATAAATGAAGTAATAAAATTAGTGATATTTGTTGTAAATAAGCGTTGAATTGAAGATAATAATTAAATATTGATTTTTTAACTTTGCCAAAATTAATAATTAAATAATTTAATAGACAAACTAAAAAAATTATAATAAATTTGGCGAATAAATGTATTATTTTTTAACATTAAATATATCTATTACTTTAAAATCTCATTGTTATTATTGCATTTCAATATTTAAGTTTATATTTTTTACCCAACAAAAAAGTTCTAACTTTTTCTTTAAACATAGTATACATTTAAATTATATTTGGTCAGTTTTATAAAAATATAATATTTTATTTAAATATACCATTACAAATATATATTTATTTATAATCATTAACTTTATTTATATTTAATTATATTACCAGTAATATTTAAAATAAATTAATAAATTTAAAATTATTTCATTGGTTTGTTATTTTTGTAGTTTTAGTTTGTTGTGTTTTTTTATATTATGTATGAAAAATAGTAGTATAAAATTTTATATTGAATTATTGAATTTTTTAGTTTATAAATTATATATTATATATTTGGTATATATATTATATTATTTTAATATTAATCGAAAAAAAATTATTAGAACACATTCAAGTTGGTAAAAATAAATAAAAAATTAAAGTTAATAAAAAAATATGGATGTACGGATTTAATTTATCATAACAAATAAAATTTGTGAGAGTACAAGTATGTTATTTAAAATATAAAAATTTAAACATTTCAATTAATCTGCAAAATAAACTGAATTAAAAAAATATAAATCACCAATAATTTCATCAACCAAATATAGGATAAGATTTTAAGTCTTAAATGCAATAAGTTTCATTCAATATAAATTGTACTGTAAAATTCTAATTCCATGAGAAAAAAAAAAAAAAAAAAAAATTATGAACCAAACAGTTCATAAATTATATATATCTATATATATATATTTGTAAACTGTAAAATTTGATTGAATAAATGTTGTTATATTGTTCTATATATTGATTAATTTGGGGCATAATTGGTTGGAAGTTTGGAGTTTAAATATTAAATTTGAATTGGAATTATTGTTGAAATATTTTAATTATTTAGTTGGGTATTAATTTCAATTGTCGTAGATTTAGTTTTTATGCAATTCGATGTTTATGATTTCAATGTATTTAGTGTTTAATACAAAATTTCAATCGTTTACAAATTTTTACATATATGATATTAGAATTCAGTAAAAAAAAATATATACTAATCTGCATTTCTCTATAAACATTTAACCTGAATTATATAGGAAGTCTCCCAAAAATATTATATTAGTTCTTTTCTTCTAATTTTATGGTGTCACGACATCATTTGATTTTAAAATCGGTTTGGAATTGTCATTCGTCAAATTTATTGTTCATCAATTTTGTGTCAAAGTTTGGTCATTCGATCGTTTGTCATAATTTATTAAAAAGAAATTACTTCAGATTGCGTTAAAAGTCTCTCGTTTCAACTTCGTTGAGAGTCTTGCTCTTTAATTCGTCGTGAATCTCGTTTTCGACACCTCTTTATAAGCATATTCCGTCTTCGGCTCTAACTTTGTTGATATACTGTTTCAGACTCTAACACGATGGACTACTGTGGTTGCACCATATTTGATTTCTCTTTACAAACTCGAAGGAATATATTATATATTTTAATTATTTAGTTATATCTATTAATTTAGATTGTTGTGGTTTGAGTCTATTTAATCTACGTGTCATGTCTATTTATAAATTTTTATCTTTATTACGAATATAATATAAATTTTAAATTATCCATTTAGTTTAATATAATATACAAAAATAGATGTTTAATTGATATTTTTTTAAGAAAACAAATAATAAATAGCAATTTTTTAAAAAAAATATGACACAACTTTAATTTAAAGATTGTGAAAGTGTTCACATAAATAATTTTTTTACTAACATTGTTCTTAATATATATAATACTTATATTTTATTCATTTAAAAAAAATAATAAAAATGTGTTTTTTTTATTCATGTCGAGTTTCAGTCACTTGTATTTTTCATAATTAATATTTATTGTACGTCTTTCGATTATGAACGTAATTGGAGCTTTTTTGAATTTGTAAGTATTTATATATAAATACCGAATGTCAATACTATCACATTGATATACTAATGTATTACTATTTAATATGTTTTTTGGATCCACACAGAGGAAAAAAAAAAAAAAAAAAGCGCATAAAAGATTGAATAATTTAATTTTTGTTTAATACAATTGAAAATTTGTAAATAGATTCTTGAAGAAGTGTAAGGAAAAGAAATAATCCATACCATTTGGTGTTGACAAATTTAAATGAGATAATTAGTGGGTTATTACACCAATGATTTAGTTCATTTGAAAAAAAAATAAAAAAATTATATAGAGTCATATTGATGAATCTTAAACGCTGTAATATTTTTAGAAATAAAATAAAATATGTAATACATTGTATTCATCAATATAATTATACTTTGAAAATTTCAAGAAAGCTTTAATTTCAGCATTTATGAAACAAGAATTAGATAATTAAGATATATCATTACATGATTATTTTTGGATAATGCTTCCAGTGGTAGTGGTAAACTTATATTTTGATTATTGAGATTTGAAATGATACAATTGATGAATTGAAAATTTATCAATACTTTGTTTTATTTGATGATTGAAATTCAATTTTTATGGTATGAATTATATTTTATCTTATGATTTAAGAAACACAAAATTTTTAAAAATAATAAAAATTTAATAAAAAATATTTTAAAAATTCATAAATATCTAATTTTATATATAGTGCACCACACTTGTCATTTTCTCACCATGGTGGTGCGATGGTCTAACCACATGCCATCGCAAAAAGCGGCCTTGACAATATTGTATATGAATGAGTTTACGAAATAAAAATTTAATTATTTGTTTTAATAATTTGAGTGTGTAATAATTTTGAGATAATTATAAAAAATATTAATTAAAACCTATTTAAGAATTATTTACTAAGAGTGTGTTCGTTTGTAGAATTTCGACAAAATTCTACTATTTATCCAAAAAAATTTCTTAAAAAACATCAAATCAAACACCTATTTTTCATTTTCTATACTATAATAAAAATCAATTTTACATTCAAAATATCACATCATTCAACTATTCAAAATTCAAAATTTTTACTATTCAAATCCTTACTCAAAATCCAAACCTCCAAACAAACACACTCTAAATATAACTATATATTTATGTTTTCTTTTTTAAAAAAAAAAAAAAAAACATATAGCGAAGGGAGGGAAAATCCTTTCGAATAAAAAACGATGGAAAAAAAAAGAAAAGATTCGTTTGTTTTGTGTTGATTTGAAGGATTTATTAAATAAATATATAAGTAGTATAAAAAAAATAATAATAATATATTAATTTTTATAAAAATTAAGTTAGATTTATTTCAGAAAAGAACGCACCAAAAAGTGAAAGAGAACAATAAATGAATTACAAACAAAATAAAATATGGAGCAAACGGGCTAATCTTTTTAGGCCCATATTTGAGAGGCCCAATAAAGGCCCATTCCGTGTTTTGTATATATAAGGGCGTACCAAAGCATTATGGTTCTTAGCAGCGTTAAATCTAGGGTTTCCTCCGCCGCTCGTCAGCCTTTCAGCCGCCGCGCCTGCACTCCTTCAAATGGTGTGAGCCTTTTCTTACCCTATAGTAGCAGACAGCTAGAAGATCACGAAAGCATGATCTGTGTGGAATTTTTTTGTTTATAAGTTACTAATGTTTGTTCTGTTGCGATTCTTCTGATCGTTTATATGTTTGCTGCTGCATCAATGTTCTTCGTTTGATGCATCTGGTGTTACTCCGGCTAAGTGTTTCCTTGTGAAATCTGTTTCTTGTTTTTCGACTCTGTTTTTGGAACATGTTTGCTGGAGCTTGCTAGTTGAATCGTTTGTTTGTTTCGTACTGTGTAGATGGAAGATTTTGAAGCATCCAGCGCAAATTATACGTTTACATAAATGATTTCCTGTGCACGATTGAGGCTTTTATGTAGTTGAACATAAGTTTTCTTGTACCTAACGCTGGGGATTTTTTTTAGCGAAATATTCTTACGATATGGATAAAAATCACATTCAGGAAATAAAAAACTGTTTTTCCCTCCCCAAAAGCACTAGGAAGTAGTTTTAATGCACTATTCTAAAATTTAAATACCATTTAAAAATCTAAAGTGGTCAGTGATTATCTAGCCTTCATTGGTTGAAAGGGGCAATAATTGCTTCAAAAGATAGGATACATGTAGCAGCACCAATTTTAGTGTGTGAAGAGAATGTATTAGATAAGGAAAGGATGGGCATGAAGGTTGCATGTCCTTGTTAAGCTGTAAAGGGAAGGTAAAAGATAAAGGGGGAGGTGAATAACAGTTGATGTGCATGTGGTGAACAAACGTGGTCAGAATGGGATTTTGCTTAGCTATTTTTGTTATCCTCATTGAAAATCTGTCTAATTGTGATTATAAATGTGAAAAGTTTGTGTTGTATAATGATAAGGAAAAGTTTGTTTTTTTTTTTTTATTTTTGCTTTGGATTAGGCAAATTATGGAAGAGATTGTAGTAATCTACTATTCCTCTTTAGATTCAGTTGTAGTTTCACCAATAATTAGTTTTGTCATTAAGCTTTCTTATTCTGATTGAATCCACATTCCATGATTATTAATATCTTTGTTCCTATACTTTAATTAGAAAATTATATCCCTGCTGTAAATAAAATGCATTTTTTGTTGTGCTGTGTAGAAATGTTTTCACTCTAATTATTTTTGTTGTGCAGGCTAAGAGAACCAAGAAGGTCGGTATCGTGGGGAAATATGGTAAGCTGCATTCTTATATTTGCATAATTTTTCTCAATACGATACGACCTTTCCTGCTTTATTATATGAATATTCTTATGAAATTAATGAATCAGTTACTCAAAAGACGTTGATCTTAATACAAACTTCATAATGTTTCAGGCACCCGGTACGGTGCTAGTTTGAGGAAGCAGATCAAGAAGATGGAAGTCAGCCAGCACTCAAAGTTTTTCTGCGAGTTCTGCGGGAAGGTACAAATCAAATCAATCTGTTTATCTCATTAACAACCAATTCATTGTTGTTCCTTCAATCAGTTACCCATCTAGTCTCATATTACATGCATGCAATTCCTACTTCAAAACAGTATGCCGTAAAGAGGAAGGCCGTTGGCATTTGGGGCTGCAAGGACTGCGGCAAAGTGAAAGCTGGTGGTGCCTACACATTGAAGTAACATTCTCTCTCTAAATTCTATTTGCACACGCATACACACATACACGATTTCATTCATAACCATTTCAACTCACCGGCATTGTATGCTTTTGTTTTACAGCACTGCTAGTGCCGTGACGGTTAGGAGCACCATCAGAAGGCTCAGGGAGCAGACTGAGAGTTAGATTTGGCGAAATTTGTCATTTTGTTCGATTTAAATCGGTACCTGTTTTTACTTCTATAATGCTCTATCTTTACTTAACAGCAAGTATTTATTACATTATGCATGTTTTTGATCAATGAATGAATGAATCTCCCAACTTATTTGAGTTTACCTTCAATTATGCCCTCGATGATATTTTGTGGCTTATATTTTTTTAGTATTTTATTCGGTGAATATAGTTACTGAATTTGAAGTAGGGAATAGCTGCCTCGTGCTGCTTAATTTTTATTTAGTTATTAATTCAAACAAGTGATTTTTTTTCGTACATGTTGTATGCGTACTAAAGTTTTTGAATGCAAATGACTACCGAATAATTTATTATCTTCAGTGATTATTAACCTCAAACAAACAGATAGCAAATAAAATTTTTATATTTTGTTAAATTTAGGAGTTTGTGGATAAAAAAATATAAATTTGATAGATAAAGTAGTATTTATATTGAATGTATTTTTATTAAAATTTAATATTTAAGATATATCTTAAATTAATTTTGTAGTTAAATATATATTACATAATTTACCACTTACACGTGTACAATTATTCTACTAGTTTGCTTCCAATTTGCAGTTTAACTGTATGTATACTTATTTTCACATTCAAGTAAAAATTATTCCTGTAATAATAATATAGAAAAGTATCCAAAACACATTTTTTAATAAATTAAAAAATAATAATATTTATTGGGACAAAATTGTATAAAATTACTTTGACATTTTTATTTAATTTTATATATAAATTAATGGTATATATTAATACATTTATAATTTATATAACAGTAAAAGTATTTTAATATTAGTGGTTGGTTTACTATAATAAAAAAGTAAATATTTTTAACTGAAGAATACTTTCTGTTGAAATGAAAACAAATAATTTTTTATGAAATTACTAATTTTAAAAATAATTATAATACATACTATATAAGTTTGTATGTATATATTTCTAAATTTTTTTTAGCAAATTGATTAATTTCTAACATTTTACACCTAAAACCCACCTTTTATTTTTATATTTCTTCGATATATAAATATTTTTATCTATATTTAAAGTTTAAAAATTAATAAGTGAAATATAAATATATATTTATTTGTATTATATAAAATTTATATTTATATTTATTTGTATTATATAAAATTTTATTAAAATATAATTCTAAAAATTTTTAAACTAGCAACAGCACTACTCATATAAAACTAATAAAGTAATATCTAATTTATTATTAATAACTTACTAATTTATATTACCTAATTATTTACTAAATTATTTACTATGGTATTAAGTGAGTCGTATATATTTTTATCTTGGGAAGAATACACCCAAAGTTGCCAGCATTGAGTTCCATTCCGACCACCACGTCTACAACATTCATTTCAATTTTCAATTTAGCACAGATGTTAGTGTTGCTTCAACCTCATAAAAACCACAGCATATAACATCTCCACGTATATACAATGCCAAAAGTAAAAATTTAAATAAAAACACAATATTATATTTTCAATTTAAATAAATTCACTAACCATTAGATGATCAAATCCCTAACCTCCTCCTGCCTACGAGCTATAACTAATACTCCCCCCCCCCCCCCCCCCAGTCTGATGTCCTATGTACTATATAAAAGATATGTACAATATAATACAAATAATTATAGATTAAAATTAAAATATCTAATTCAAATTAAAAAAAGTTATAAATTAAGAATATGATATAATTTAAATGTGTAAGTATTTTCCAAGAAAATAATGACGAAACTAAGATATGAGATGGACTAAAACTGCAGACCTTAACCCTTCTTAATGAAGCACTAAACCCCTCACTACAAAGTATCAAAATAATTATATGACAGAAAAATATCAAATTCATATACTATAACCAATACAAGTGATCCCAATATAAGATTTCTCACAGCTAATTATAATTTTGCAAGGAGAAAGTTAAAACATATCAGCAATCAGCACTAATTAATACTTATAAATCAGAACTACATCTGCTTCACATATAATATATATATATATATATATGTATAAATCCATAGTTTTGAATAGGCATGAGAATGCAACACAGAACATTTCCCGACCAGAAAAATATTGTAATTCCTTCTCTTACATTTACTCTCCAATAAAAACCATTTGCATATTGCTGCTTCTCCATCAATTGATCAAGCAGTTAACAAGCATGAATCAGAATGAAATACCTGTGGCTTGCTTACGCCCGACTTGTATGCATTAGGCTCCATCAAAGAAGAACTAAGAGCATCGAGACTCTTAGGTTGGCCTGTGCATCTTGAAGCCAAATACTCTCGGGATATAGTTTTGTGTTGGCTTCTGTGGCTTGAGGTGTCCGTAACTCATCAAGAATAGGTGAGGGAATGTGGTTCCAAAATATGCACCGTCAATATCTTGGGCAGTCAAGAAAAAGCTCCACGATGGAAGTATGTAACACAGTTCCAGAGAATTAACATAGACGAAGAAAAGTAAAAGCAAGTTTGAAACAATCACTAAGAATGTTAAACAACAAATAAGTACTATTGTGCATTCGAGAATGAAAATGAGAATTCAGATATCTGGAAGCACCTGTAGAGGTTTGATGATTCTAATTTTACATAAATCATCCCAATATTCTCATTCTGATTCCCTAAATGCAAATATATACTATAGAAATCATTCCCATTTCATCAGTAGTTAAGGCACCCCCTCAGTAAATAACACATTAATGTATTTTTATAAGGCCATAGCCAATGTGAGGGATCCTACTTTTTAAAATTGGAATGCAGGAACAGGAGGAATATTAATGAGAACCATTGACAGTACGGCCAAAGCAGGGTTGCCCTACAGCCAGCAAGCTAACACTATCTTACGAAAAGACATTTTAGAACCGAAATTTGAATAGTGTGGTCTGAAATTTACCAGCATGAAAGTTCAAACTTAAATGAACCAAGGTCAATAACTTTTACTAGATTCAAACTCAAATTGAACTTAGTGAGATTCAATATAAGTTATTTGAGCCTACTAGTCATGCGCAAAATCGATCCTACTTGAGCTTGTATAGAATAATGTTTGAAGACGATAGTTATTTTCCCTAATAACAATAAAAATAAGGGTGAAGTAGGTAAATCTACTACTAGATTACAAATGCATGTCTCTATATAGAATAGCGCTGATTTGAGAGCTAACAAGGTTAATATTTTTGCTTTGAGGTTGACATTCCCTAATTTGCAGCCCCGAACTGAAGAAGCAAGAAAGTTAGAAACCTAATAAGTAGTGGCTTGAGAGTGTTGGGTGTGATCCCAATCTACAGGAGCATTTTAAACGAGGAAGAAAGGATGTAAGGCAGGAAAAACAATCCACCACTAAATAGATATATGAATCAAAACTCAAACATCAGCACAAGTTAAGGATACTGCCTTGGTACTTGGATCGAGGATAGTAAATGTCTTCACATTTGGGACAGTATATCTTTACAGTACTCGAGCGAGGGATGTCTGATTGTCCAACTGGTAGACAAGGCTGCCCACAGCAGTAAACTCTTGGGCATCTTCCAAAATCGTAACTTTTATACTTTTCCAACTGTTTCAAGTTACAATATATCAACCAATTGAATGTTGAGTTAACAAATGCACTAGAGCAAAAATAAATAAATAATGCACTAGAGCATTGAACTGTTAGTATTACCATTGCAGCCATTCCCTTCGTCGTCAGAATGTATCGCACATGAATGAGGCCATAAAGCATTTCAGCAGCTGACTCAACCAATTCATTCTGTTCCTCGGTAAACATATCCCCTTTTTATGCCCATCATGGAGGAGAAAGTATCACCAAAAACTATTTAGCTAAAAAGTGGGATAAGTTTGGAAATTTGATTCTCAAATCTAAAATTAGATTTCAGCACTAAGTCATTGATTGCATTGGAAAAAAGGGCAATTTTTTTAGCCATGAAAAGCATTCATAGCTCGTTCCAAAAAACATATCGTAAAATTTTAGGATGCAGGAACGTAGTTAAACAAACACTAGCTTAATCTACGACATATATATAAAATACATACCGTGAGATGATTCCACGTCAAGAATTAGGTCAAGAGCATAATCATAATAGGGAACTTGGTTGCTCAACCCACAGAGATTAAAATCATCTTGAATATATTCATCATCAACTTCACAAAAGAACTCATTTCCACGCAAGTTGCAAAACCAAGAGATCCAAGATGTATCTTCCCCGTCAGAACCACTGACATCAGACCCTTCACTATCTGTTTCAGATTCCTCTGCAAAGTAGGATATATTAGCATTCTTAAGTTCACAAAACTACATTCTTTCTGGCGGCTGAATGAAGGGCACATGTTAATGAAGCCTTTCAACATCAATCCACATATACAAAGCACATGCAATCATAGTATGAGATAAAAAGTAAACAAAATATGACCTTTAAACAAATCAAGCATCACGTGTGACGTGTCTACACCACCTTTGAAGCTAATTTTTGTCATCTCAAATCATCCTATTATGTATTCAAGGTTATGTTCTCATGGTACTCTAATATTACAAGGAATTGAGATTCTTGGAAAAAGTACGACTCCCAAAAATTTGGGAATCTATAAAATTCGGGTATCATCCAGATTTTGACTTTTAGACCAATTATAACCAAATGCCTTTGGAATAAAGGATCACAGGAATAGATAAATTTTGAACAAGACAAAGCTACTGGTCATAGGTCATACAAAATCTGAGTTAAGGAAACATGGATAATTGCATAGATATCAACAAGAACATTATATGTTTTTTATTTTACTAGGCACACTAGATGATCCAAAGAAATTCCACAAGGCTTGTTCCTCAACATTTTTCCATGCCAAAAAAATGTAAGGAACAAAAATTATACACAAGCCTTGCAGTTAAATCAGAAAATAAATAAAATGGCATTGCTGATCTTAGATTGGTGCCACTCTTGGCACCATCAGCATCAAGATTGCAATAACTTGTAAAGTTACATAATATCAATCATTCGGTTGCAAGCTGCTCTACATAACCTAAACACTTACTAAGCCAATAACTAAAATAATTGGGAAAATAACTTTGTAAGTTTTTCACATTGCATCTCATAACAATAGCTATGGAACCTTACAACTGATGAAAGGTTTCAAAAGATTGCACAAGCACCAAAACACAGCCATAGTAGCAAACACGATCTATCATTGCTAATTACACTCCACCATTAAATTCCAGCTCAAATTTGCACCTATCAATAATAGAAGTCACAAAATTACAACTGCAAAAGATTGAGAATATCACTAATCTGTTTAATTTTATTTAAGAAATAAATAATAAAAAAAATTCATGGCTCGAATGACTTTCAAAGCAATCTATGCTGCATATGTTTAGTTTATAGTTATAGGGAGCCAAATTGGGAGATCTAGAGTAGCACTCAGCTGGAGGAAGGAAAACGGCCATTTCCAAGGTAGTTTATATGGCGAATATGCATCCGAGAGCACTCAACAGGCTGAATGGCCAGCCACTCAGGACTCAGCCATTCTCAATGGCAACACATTTGGACCCCTCTTTTTTTCCTTTTTATATGAATTTTTTTTTTTCAATAAGAAAATAAATAAATAAAAATAAATAAATAAATAATAATAAATAACAACTGTAGTTCATTTAACAAGTACTCGTGCTCGACCTGCATTATTGAAGATACTTGAATCTAAACATATATTGATTAATTTAATGTGATGATGATTTACTTGAAGACATTGGATGTCAAGAGCAAAGATTAACAGCAGAACTATATCAATTGTCTCCCTCCTCGCTATATTGCAAGCATTTTAGAGACATTCTACTTTGTGGGAAGGATAACATATGAGTTTAGAATATTGGTCTAATATCACTCTTCAAAGGGACATACAATCAAATTGGCTGTATGCCGGGTAAGGAAAGCGACTCGATCTTTTGTGGCATGCAGAAATATCTCTGGATCGAAAAGTGGGATGGAAATCAAAACTGGGATGCCAGTACTGGTCTTAAAAATTGAAGGTGGCAAGGTGCAACTTACTAACATGATTACCATCACTCCTTTTAAGTTATTTCAATTATTGCAGAAAAATACTGGTGAGAATGCATTGCAAAACAAATGTACCATTTCTTCAGCTTAAGTACTTCAAAAAGATCAACAGTGAAGGTTTTGATAAGGAACCACATTTCCTACAAGATTGCAAGAATGCAAACGGTGCAAATTACTGCTAATGGACATATCCAAAGAGTCACAATTGTTATATATGTTTGTCAAGTATAAGAGAATCCACTTGATGAACTTAATTGCAAGTCCACAGCTAAAGATGCCAAGGTGGAGTTAAGAAAGTACATAAAGGAGCTCAAGGAGTTATGCAAACAGATAATGTTGATTGCGTGCACCTTATGTAGGCATGTGAACAAGAAAAGATTGAACTTGTAAGTCACCAAATATGCCCACCATAGGTTATAATTTGCACCAATTATATTTCTGCAGTATGTTACAGGATCTTTATTAAAACCTCCTTTTTGATCTAATGATTCTAATCAAGCGTTGCAAACAAATCAGTAGAGGGATAAAAATAGGATTTACAAACTAGAAAGATGACCCATTTAGTTTTTGATGCCTTAACACCAATATCTTTTATGTTTTAATCAAAATTGGATGGAGATTAAAGGATTAAGGCATTATTCAAAGCTTCACAATAACTGGTAGAGTTTCCATTCTGAATGTAGCAGCGGCAGGCCAACTTAAACATGTGAACAAGGAAATAATGAAATTGCTGAATGCTGAGCAAACCAAAAAAAAAGAAAAAATCATATGCATTGTAGATCTCAAGTTTTGCAAACTCCCAATTTTGTTAAGAAGATTAAATATATTCCCCTAATTGAGGGGACGGAAAAACAAGTGTGATCAAGCTAATCAATCTAGATTTCTTCAAGTCTCTTATGCTTCTTCTGGAATCAGAAGTAGGTGCTTTATGCTCCTTAGTTCTTATTAAGAATTATTTCTATATAGAATGGATAAGGTGTTTTCCACCTGCAAGAAGTGATTTACCGGTAGAGAATCATACTATAAAGCTTTAAAGAAACTGAAATTTGATCGTTGATTGGAATTTGTGGTAGAGGGTTGTGTAATAGATACAACATAGCTAAGCTTAGGACATATAAATACCTAGCATAATAGTGTCACTGAACAAGTAAAAGAACAATACTGGAGAGGTCCTATTACATGCACTATAATGTAGAATTGCCAAGCCAAAACCTTGTGAGCAAAGGCAATTAGTAGTTTAGTACATGTTTTGTTTTTCTTATTTATGTGCTTTTGAATCAGTCCCTAAAGATCGCATTTGGCTTCCAAATTCTGAAAAAAGTATGGTTTGGAACACTGTAGAGAAAATTAAAGTGTTAGGCACAAGCACACATTGAGAAGTTACCCATCTTAAAATTAGCCTAGAGTAAGCACCCCTAAATCCTAATTTTTGAGTTCTTACTACTGAGCTTCTAAAAATGAAGGGTCCATCTTATGAACACTTATAATCTAATCAATCTTCTTATACTTATCCAAACCCAGGGTATCACAACCCATCTATGTAGGTAGAGAACAAGTACTGAAAAGATTCTACATCCAAGTGTGGATAGCAATTTTTGTACGATACCGTTTGAAATTGTCATAATTTGGCTTATAGATTAAACGTTATAAGTTTCTATACATACAAATCAACGAAAAATGATTAGGATATGTTGAGTAAATTATGTGAACAACAAGACCAGATTAATGTTTAATAAATCCAAGAATGATGGAGAGGCATTGGTTTTTGTGAATTCTAAAATTTTCGGAGATTATCTAAGTTTTCTTTTAGAAATGTTCCTACCTTGTGGAATTGCATTTTCAATTACAATGCATGTCTAAAATCCTCATCACATATTGAAAATAATCATTTGGCTTCGCTATTTGGAAAACAAATTGAGATTGGAACAAAAGGTGTTGAGAATGTTTTACAATATCAAGAGAGATACGCATTTGGTGAAAAATAATGATTAGCTTAATAGATTCAAAACACATTGCAATCAAGCATTATTTTGTTCGAAATGTTGTCTTGGCTAGATAAGCTGTTAGTGAATATGGTCAACAAGATGGACAATCATACCAACATTCTTACAAAGACACTTCTTGTTATCAAAGTTCAACATTGTTTAGATTCGGCAACATTGTCCTTCATGCTTGAAAGTGAAAATAGAGTAAAAAGGTTTTTAAATCCATGGTGCACATCATAATGAAACTAAGGAGAAGATTTTTGTGGTTGTTGCTTACATGTTTGGGTTTGCATGGATTTTCGGGTACATGATTAGTTGCATGAAGTTTAACTTTGTCTTGGGTTACTCAAAGGTCCATTCAAAGCTACAATCCCCAGATGAAAGCAAAGGGCAGGAAAATGGTCATTCAAGCGGACAAAAACTCTTCCAAAAGCACCAAAGAAAGTGAATGGTTGAGTGTATGGTTGTTCACTTAGCAGTTGACATTGGTGGTTTATTTTGGAAGTTTCTCATTTGTCATTTATTGGCCAAACTTTGGTTATTTTGTAGTATCTCTTTTACTTTTATGTATGAAACTTGAGATAGTTTGAAGGTTAGCGTTTTATTCTCAACAGAAAGCAACTACTACTGTACTTCCCTGTTCTCAGAGTAATATAAATTGTTTTCACGCTAGTAGGAATTTCCCATGGTATTCTTTAATTCAAAATAACATGAATTTTATAGAAACAGATCCATTTAGGAAAGCACTCAATTTACAAACACTTTAGTCTAATTTAAAGGATACTGAAATTTGATTTACACTAGGTATCAAAAAGACAAAAACCACGCATTGCCCAAATTATCGACTGGTAAACAAACACATGATTAAAAAAATATCACAAATGCCGAAAACCCATTGGATCCCCCACAAATTAGCAACCAAAAAAAAAATAAAAAAATAAAATAACGAGAAATGAAAAACGCACCATCGGAGCACTTGTTCTTGTTAGTATCGAGATTGGACAAGGAGCGGTTATCACGGTGATCGACATTCTTGCCAGCCTTGTTCCTGGAGGTAGAAGGCGAGGAAGACTTCTCGACGGCGTCGTTGATTCGCTTACGATCGAGCAAATCCCCGCCCCTGGATGAACCTCCTCCTCGATCTCTGTACATGTTGGTGACGAATCGGACGAGAAATGCGAAGATCGAGCAGAATCCCAGCTGTGGTCGCGGGAGGGAATTCAATCAATCCAAATGGTTTTGGATTTGAACAGTGATTGTGGCGTGTGGGAGCGAGCGACGGTAAAAACTAGGGATTCATTTCCAGGGAAGGAAAAGATATCATGAATCTGAATGGGGCTTTCATAAATACCATAATTATTAATAAGAAATACTATATCATTTCTTAAATGAAATTAATTGACAGATATAAAATCTTTAGCTCGATCGATATGTGGGTTTTTTCCTTTATTTTTTATTTAAGAATGTATGGTTGGTTTGCAGTAGTTTTTTATTTTTCATAAAAAGTTAATAATTTTTTCGTTATTCAATTGTGTATTTATTTGAATTTTTTAAAATACACATAGTAATATAAATTTTACATAATATGATTATGCCTAATTTTATGGTTAGTTTATATTTAGTATAGAAAGTATTATTCTAATAAAATTTATCGGTTCGGGATAAATTCACTTTGAGTTTGGTATGATTAGTAGTAAAAGGTTTAATCTCCCCTTTTTATTTTCTGGTTCTTTGATTTAATCAATATATATAATAAAAATAAATAATTTCTCTATTATCCAAATTTATTCATATTTTTTAAATCTTATTTTTTTAAAATAAAAAATATCAATTCTTTTTACGTTTTTTTCTTTAAAATAAAAAGATTTTTTTTTTAATTTTTATTACAAATTTACGTGTGTGTATATATATATATATATATTGTTTGGAACATATTAATAAAATAACCAATTTGTTGCATTATGATTCACTTGTAATCACATTGATCATTGATTTGAATAATACCATCGTCCTTTTGGCTGAACACTTCGTTAAAGATGTTGCTCAAAGTGGCTTATCCGGTTAATTAATTTATAGACTATGTTCAATTTTGAAATGTGTTTACTCTAAAAATATAGCACCTCTTACATATTTTAGGTATAAAATATCACATCCAATAAAAATAAAATGACAGAAAAACAACAAAATAGTTAAAAGTTAAATAAAATTTAATATAATATTTTGTGAGATAAAATATATTTTTACTAAAAATCATATAAATCGAATACTATAAATTTTAATTTAAAGTCAAAATCAAACAAACAAACCAAATACCATTTGAAATTATATATACATATATATAGAAAGAAAATTGAGAAATTAATTTTTTGAATTTAATATAAAACATAATATTTAATAAAATATTTTATAAAAAAATATATATATATATTTTTAAAAGTATAATAAGCAGTATGATTGAATTTTGTGAGGGGAAAGATAAAAAATTCTTGAGGAGCGTTGAGACTAATATAGTAGCATAACATTAAAAAAGAAAAACAAAACAAATACTATGTTAGAAGAAGAGAACCTTAATAAATAGTTAAAAATAAATTATACATAAAAAATCCAATTTTGAATGGATCTGAGGGATATAGATATATATATATATATATATATAAAAACCCTACATCTATCCTGTTTTTATTGCTAGTGTTAGTAATGATATATTAGCTCAAATAATTCATATATAAATATCAAAATATCAATTAATTTTTATAAAAATATTTATTTATTTTATACTAAAAATATCAAGATTATCTTAAACACTTGCACTAAAATAAAATATTATATAAAAAATAATAATAAAAATAAACATTTCAAATAAACAATAATGATAATAAATTTTTGGAATATAGGTAGCACTTAATAATATATATATATATATGTATATATATAACACCAAACCATTAAATAAACTTACCTTTTCACAAAACAACCACCAAAAAATGGATAAAAGACAAATTAAAATTAAAATTCAATCCTAGTCCTCTTACCTCTGCAGATGCAAACATGCACAGCAATCAACTAACAACCAAAACAAACAGAAACTGAAATTTGATCACCAAACTGTTCTTACAGGACACATTCAAAAGGATTTTAAACTGGTTTCAGTGAATCCACAATTCAATAACAATTACCAGAAATTTTGCTAATTCAGAAACAGCAGATGGAGAGCACAAGATTTAACATACTCAAAAAAACAACGGGGCTTTCACAAACAGTTCAATTTAATGCAAATTATGCAAAAAGATCAAACTACATAAACTTAGTCTGGCCAATTCTCCCAACCCGACAAACAACACCTGCCCACAAAGGATTTGTCGATCACAACCTCACTAACACAATAATTCAGCTCCGAAGATCACAACCACCGATGTTAAACTGAACTACAATAACGGCAACGCCACAAATTTCTCAAGACTTGAAACAAAACAAGGCACAAGATTTGCATATTTAAAAAGACTATAGCTTTCATCAACAAACAATTCAATCAATGCAAGATCAACTCAAGAACATGATATAACATGGCCTACTTTCAAAATTCATAAAATAGAGTTCGGGATTTGGTAATAGGGTCCATCCCTTACCTCATTAGCTCCAATAATTTAACTTCATGGAGATCATAATAGCTGCAACAAACAGGCCCTCAATCCCTTGTAGTTCCTGAATTTAAAGAAGTCAATTTGTCGAATCCCTTTTAGCTTTCTTGCTATTTCTCTCTGATATTGCCTTGGCAAATGCCTCGACAATTCTGTGCTGCGAATCGAGGATCATCTCCGTCCGTTTCAGCTCATTCTCCATTCTCATCTCCTCTATTTGCCTTACCATGTCCATTTTCGCCTTCTCCACCCTCATAAACCCCTCACCTAATGCTTGTATAGCTGCTGCAGCTGCTGCAACTCCTCCTTTGGCATCATTCTTACTGCCATTTTGCCTCATTTCAACTCTTGAACCAAAGCCCTCACTCATAACCTTATTTGAGTTTGAATTGGGAAATCTCGGGTTAGGGTTAGGGTTAGGGTGAGGGTTGGCAATTGAAGGGTAGTGAGCGCCGATTTGATCGAATTTCGGGTAAGAAGGACCGGGGATCACCTGGCCGGGGAATTTGATCCGGACGCCGCTGGCTGGGGTGCTCTCGAATCCAAATCCTTGAGCGCCGACGTTGAATTTCTGCTTGTGATTGTGTAAATCGTTGATGCGTTTGATGGTGTTCTTACGGTCGGCATCATCGTCGTCGTCAGAGGAGGCGGAGGAGGACGAAGGAGGGGTCGGATTGGGGCCTTTCTCCATGGCGTGCATCCGCTGGAAGTGGACCCAAGCCGATGTGAATCGGCGGACGCCGCCGTGGGCGGCGGCTCGCTGGATCTCGCCGCGGTAACGCTTCCGCAGCTTCTCCATCTTGTGGCGGCACTGGACGGAGGTTTTGGGGGTATCCGCGGGGCATCGGGCGGCGACGTCGTCGGCGACCTCCTGCCAGTGGTTCGCGCGGAGGTTGCCGCGGCGGAGGGCGTACCACTTGGTCTTGTAGGCGTCGATGAGAGCGACGGTCTCCTCAGGGGACCAGCACGGCGGAGGCAATCGGCGGGAGGAGGTGGCAGGAGCGGAGGCGGAGAGGGAGACGGAGACGGTGGAGATGGAAGGGATGGCGATGGGGATGTTGTTGTCGTCGTCGTGCGGGGATGGGGAGGATGGCGAAGCTATGGTGGCCATGGAGGACAGATCTGGCGGCGGGGGCGGAGAGAGGAAGTGGTGGTTGGGGCATAATGAATGGGGGAGGGGCGGCGGCGGTGGGGTAGGGTTGTTAAAAGGGAGGGGGAGGGGCGGCAGAGATGGACGCTCGCGAGGCCACCGCTTAGGGTGGAACGGGCTAACGTGCGCCGGGGGAGGTGGGTGGGCGTTAACGTGCGCGAATCCACAGGATTATTATTCATCTCTTTGTTTTCTTCTCCCTTATTCCACTCTACTCTTCCTTTTTTTATTATTATTACTATTATCAATTTGCCGTTTCTTTTACGATTTATTTATTTTTATTCTTTATTAGCAAGTGTGTGTTAAAATTTTAGAGAATTAAATATTTTTTAAAAATATTATATTATATTAAATATTATTTTTATATTTAAAATATTATACTAATATTTGATTTATTATGTTAATGAATTATTTAAAAAATAATAATATTTAAAAATTAAATTAAATCCCAAACAAACACATCCCGGTTTGTTTCTTTACAAGAAAAATTTTAATTTCATGATTGCGTATGTTCGGAAAAAATATACTCTCTCTGTACCATTAAAATATAATTATTTTTTATTTTTGTTCATCCCAAAATAAGGTTATCATTTTCTAATTTAATAATTGTACTACTTACCTAACATAATAAATATCATTCAAATTTACACTATATTACACAAATGTCATTACTTTTATATCATACAATATTGGTAGGAGTATTTTCGTTTGTTTTTACTACATTCCATTAGTATTAAAAAAATCTACATGCAAAAAGTAAACGACAACCTTGCACCAGGACGGAGAAAATATATATATATTTTTTTCACAGAATATTTCATCAAACATTACTTTAATACTAAATATAAACCAAAAATTTCAAACTTCAATCAAAAGAAACATACTCTTAATAAAAAAAAACATATACATATATCTTTAAAAAATATTACAAATATATTACATATATTCATTATACAATTTCTCATATTTTATAAAATAATAATAAAATAATAATAACTCATTCAAATTATTTCACTAGATAAACACACTTCATAATATTTGTCTATTTTAATTTATTTAATAATTTTTTATTATATAATAATTATTATTGTACTATTATTTATAAAAATATACTATAGGGTGTGTTTGTTGGGGGATTGGATTTTAGATTTAGATTTTTGAAGATTTTGAAGTATAGATTTTTAAGTTGTGTTTGTTTCGAGGGTTTGAATTTTGTAATGATTATGTTAGAAAAAAATTATTATTTTATTGAAAAAACGATAAATTGATGTGATTGTTTGAAATCAATGATATTTAATATTGTTAAAGAAATTATAAATAATAATGAAAAGTAATGTTTGATTTGATATTTATTAATTAAATTTAAATTTAATTTCTAGAATTTTTTTTTCTTTTATATTTTTTTGATGATGTGAGTTCTTACAAATTTTTATTATTTATTCATTTTTTTTTAAAATTATCAAATTAAACATTTTTTTCTATATTATGCTGAAATTTAATTTTACATTCAAAGCATCGTATCAACTCTGATTTATATTGCATTATAATACTCCCTCCGTCCCAATACAATAGTCTTGTTTATCATTTTTGTCCGTCCCAAAACAATAGTCTCATTTTCATAAATAATCGTATCACCATAAAATTATCCCATTTTTTCATTATTATTACACAATTGCTACTACTTTTTACCATAATACACTCACACGGACAAAAAAATCATTTATCTTTACTTTTTACCAACTACGTGCCCAACACAACAAGACAATAATATAAATTTAATTAAGTATATAATTCAAATAATAATTAATGTTAAAATTATTTAATTTTTTATATAAATATAATACTATTATTTTTTATAAGATGATATAAATGTAAAAATTAAAATTTCAAAAATGAGATTTAAAAGTAACAGGGTATCCCTATTACAAAAAAATATTTTAGACTTTTTCAAATCCCATCATTTTAAATTCCACCTTATTTTTTTTAACAAAATATGAATTTCACAGGATTTTAAAATCTAAATCCCATGGAATCCCATCAAATCCTTAACCAAACAGCCCCTGAGTGTACAGTGTCTATACAGTAAAATTAGACCAAAATACTCATTCTTTATTTTTCAATTAAGATACAAAAAAAGTAATAAAAAAGTTAAAAATTCAAAATACTCGTTAAAAAAAGTAAAAAAGTGGAATATTTAAAATAAAAACAATATATTTTATATTTTTGACACTAATTTTTATACTATACATCAAAATTATATAATCTAGAAACACTGCGTGATTGGAGTCAATATGAGTGTGTTTTTTGTATTAATAATAGATATTTGTGAAAGTCTTGTAAAATATCCTTAATAGTATATTTTTTATATATATAATTGAGTTGTTTTCTGAAAACATATGGATAATATGTACTACTACAAGTATATATATTTTTATTTTAATCTTTTAATTATAAAATAATTATGTTAAAAATATCTCTATTTTTTTTAAAAATATACTCTTTATCATTTTATAATTTTTTACATAAAAAAAAAAATTATATTTACACTATTTTTTATTAATTATTACAAATAAAATATTATTATTTATTAATGTCCGAACTAAAAAGAAGTATTTGTTTGATCAAATAATTATTTATCTGATATAATATTAAGATATACTATAAAATATCATACTCTTTCATAAACAATTAATAGTGAATACAAAATACTTTCTTAATTTACTTTAATTCCTTATAAAAGTCAAACAAAAAATCTACCATCATCAAATGGAAGGAGTAGAATTTTAGACCAAAATTTTTCAAAAAAATTTATTTTATAAAATTTTATATTTGAATTAAAATTTATATATTTTAATTATATTAAAAGTATTATTGATTTTTTTCATTTTAATTATATTAATTATTTTAAATTTTAAATATATTTATTTTAAATATAATAAAAAATTAAAATTTTAGAAAAAAATACAAAAATATACAGCAGTGTAAAATTAAATTTGATAGTGTGAAAACATAACTTTTACAACAATTTTCATTAAATTTTTTTTGTAATTTTTTATATTAGGATCAAAATTGATAAATTTTAATTATATTAAAACAATTTTTTGGTTAAATTTTTTATTTTATTTTCATTTATTTATTTTTTTAAAACGCATATATTTGCCATGTTCCCAAGGAAAATGATAAATCGGCGAAGGCTTCAGGATGCTGAGGTTGAAGAAAGCGGCCGCAATCTCACCGTTGAAACCTTGGAACTTCCTCAAATGGGAAGACGATTACCTGCCGATTTTTCATTGCGGGAATCCCTCTCAATGGAACACCAATCGATTCGTAAACATGTTTCAGGTCAGTAACAGGATCGGAGTTTTATGTGGATTTGAATTTGTCTCCGAGTAAGTCGTGCAAACGAATTTGGTTTTTATGCTCTTTTTTTTTTTTTTTTTTTTTTTTTTGTTGTTTTGCGTTGTAGACGGGAAGTAAGGAGGCAATTGCAAAAGAGCGTGCTCGACTGTAAGTAATTTTTTCGCGTCATCATCGTGCTTTAATATTTGACTGTTTTGGCTGTGAATGAGTTGTTTGCGTGTGATTTTGGACAGCAAGGATGAGATAGGCAGAGGCTACTTTGATGATATATCGGAAATGAAGCGCCACGGAGGGAAGGTGAGGTGATGTTGAATTTCTAGGTTGAGTATGTGTCTGGAGATTGGAATGTGCAATATGGAACATTAATGAAATTTTTAGTCTGATTTGAGTGTTGTGATTTGCAGATTGGAATGGCGAATAAGATTATAATTCCAGCAGCAGCAGCAATGAAGTTTCCTGCCATCGAAGTGAACGGTTTGGACGCTTCTACTGTCAAACTACCTGTAATTTCTGATGAGAAGGCTGCTGGAACTTCCTCACCCAGTAATGCCCCTAAAGCATCTCTTGTGTGTTTGTCATTCCGGGCAAGCTCACAGGTGACATTTATATCCTTTTATTCTTGGAATCGACGAATATTTTCTTAAGTTTATTTTGCTAGCTAGTGATGGAAGATTATGTATGATGCTATTGTGTTTGTGAGTGTGGAAAGCAAGAAAGGGATGTCTTGAGGTTTGGTGTTTACTGCCTTGTTTTCGCAATTCTTACCTTTCAACAATTAGCTCGATTTTGGGTTCCTACACTTAGATAAGTTAGCCTTTCAAAAGTGCCAATGGTTGCAAGGTAAAAGACCGAGCAAACTACACCTGAAAACCAAAAGAAAAGACTGCAATCTTCGGAGCAAAATGGGTGTCCGAGCCACGAACCATTTACATCTTTGAGAAGCTGAATAATCTAACCAAAGGACTTGATTAGGGGATAGTGTTTCAGGATCAAGATTTGCAAGGGAAAGGAAATATGTTACTATTACTCGACCTGTGTGTGCTTCCTTTGACATGTGAAAAATTGGCCTTTAGCAATAAGGAACTTTGTGTCTGTTACTTGATCTGCATGCTTCCTTTGACTTATGAAATTAACCTCTGCAATCTCGTACACGTTAATTGAAACCTGTCTTGTAAGGGGTTTAATTTAGTTATGTATTTTTATATAATGACAGCCTATGGTTGCTTCATGGAGCTTGCCATTCCTTAAAACTTTCGGCCACTACTCCACTGATATCCACTTATATGAGGTATTGCATCTTCATTTCATCTTAGCTATCCAGAATTAAGTTCAACATTTGACATTTCATCTTTTACTATTTAAACGAAAAAGAAACACAAATCTATGTGTTATCTTTTTCACTAAGATGGTGAAAAGCTGTTGTTCTTTTTCTGCTGTAAAAGCTATTTAAACGATAAATATAGAATGATACATTTCCTTATTTTCCTGTATGATTACATTCATTTACCTTTGTATACATAGGAGCAGATATTTGTTTTATGGAAAATCAATATGTCAACATACCGTATGCTTTGTAGAAAATATTAAGACAAACAAACATATTACTAGAAACATGGCAGCATTCAAAAGCATTTGTCTTAAGGCCATATTACTAGTCGCGTTTTACCCTTTTTCAATTTCTCTTATACAGATCTCCTTAATAGATACATGGTTGTTGTGCTGGGGCCCTATAAAGAAGCTACTCCTTAAGGTCATGAGGAAGCCCAAGCCCGACGAAAAGCAACAAGTTTTTCAGAGACAAGTTGGTTATTATTTTGGTGATCATTATTACTTCAGGAAGGAGCTTAAAATAATAAATCTTCTCACCGGGTACCATGATCCTTTCCATTTCCTGATTCATATGTCCATTTCATAGCCCGGATCAAATTTTGGTTACCACTTGGATCGTAAATTGCAGGTACGTATTTCTACTAGACAAGTTTGGTAGAATCCGGTGGCGAGGTTATGGATGGGCAACAGAGGATGAATTGGCATCACTTAAATTCTGCACATCCCGGTTGCTGGAAGAGGAATGAGTAAGTAACAGATAAGCTGATCAGGTAAAATGTTTCGAATACGAATATTGGGTCTTTTTTTGGTTCAAAACACATGAGATGAGATGACATTGCTATGATCATCATAATCCTTGGGTGGCATTTTTCACACTGCATTTTTAGTTTCTTGGCTACCCGTGCTCGATTGATTGTTTTATGTTTGGATGCTATTTCTTGGATTGAGTCTGCAATGATTATTGAATTGTATTTGTATGTGTTTTTTGATGGATCTGTAGAGGTAGACTATGAATTACTTAGTTACTCAATTTAGGCCTGGATTTCATTAGAATTTCAAAGTTCAGTTATTTTGGGCCAAGATAGTACTGAATTGGATCGAGTGTGTTTTGTTTGGGGATTCTCCCCCAACTATACTATTCATCTTATTTTTTTCTAAAAAAATATTAAATCAAACACTTATTTTTTATCTTTTATATTATATCTATTTATATCATATCATACAATTATTTAAATTCAAAATTTTTACTATTCAAATTCCAATTTAAAATCCAAACTTCCAAACAAAAACAACCCAAATGTCTTCAATCCGCAGAGTTTAGGCCCCAGAAATATTTTTACTCTAAATGCTCTGCCTCAGCCCCTGCCCTCAATCTCAAATACTCCATCATCTATATATATATATATATGTTAAAGTCTGTCTGTACCAACCTTTTGAATCAAACTATTTATTTTATTTTTTAGTAATTAATGTAATTTAAAAAATACATTACTACTTACATATTATTATAAAAATATCATAATTATTTTTTGGGATAACTTCAACTATTTGTTACTCCTTACAAGGGTTTGTTTAATTTGTATTTTTAGATGGATATGTAGTTTATATTAATTATATGAAAATTATGTTGATACATAATAATAATAATAATGATAATAATAATAATAATAATAATAATAATAATATTTTTGTAGTGGATTATTATAAATTGATAAAAAAATATATATATATTGTATTTGTTTTATAAAATTTATCAAATATAATGCCATATAAAATAAACAAACCCATAAAATATAAATATCAATATTTTATTAAAAGATAAATATAAAATCATTGTACTTTACAAAATATTACATTGAATATTATTTTTAAATAAAGAATTTAAATCCTATCTAATTAAAATTTGAAAAAAATTTAAGAATAATAATAATAAAAATCCCGATAAAATTAAACTTAAAATTAAAACATGTAAAATCCAACGCGACTTCGGAAGACACGCGTTTGAGTTTTTCCCAACGGCGGAGGCCGAAACAAAAGCGCATTAGGGTTTCTGGTCTATATATTTTGAGAGAGTGCCCGTGTCGGTCTCCTCGATTTCTCAGCGTAAACCTAGAAACATTTCCAATTGACCTTAAGCCGCCGCCGCCGCCATGGAGCAGACTTTCATAATGATCAAGCCCGATGGTGTTCAAAGAGGCCTGGTTAGTCAGTCTATTTTGCTCTGTTGTTATTTAAACTTGTTATAGTGGGCGTGTGTGATAATCTAGGCTGAGTTTTGTATTTGGAAACAATCAAGTGTTGGTGTGTGTTTTTCAGCGACTTGACGAGAAGGAATGGATATATTCGATTTGATTAAATTTTTTAATTGATATTTGGTTGGTGAAGTGGCAAAGAAAGAGTCAAGGATATGTGATATATTTTTTGCTTGAAAATTTCTGAATAATGGCAGTCGACTTGGTGGTTTCATGCTATGAAGTATTGCTCTTTTCAAAAATTGATAGTATCTTATGATTCAGGTTGGCGAAATCATTGGTAGATTTGAGAAGAAGGGCTTCACTTTGAAAGGTAGAATCTTCTCCCGATTACAAACTTGGCATTTACTTTGCTGCAGTGAATTGGTGCATGTAGATCGTATAGGTTTGTTTGTTTTGTGGTTGAAAGATTGAAATGCGGATCTTAGTATTTTACAAATTGTACATCAATAAAATTTATTCAATGTGAATTTTATTTTCTAGGCAAAAAATGATATTATATATAATTAATATTAATTAATAATGTGTAAGAAAAATCATGCGTTTTTAATTTAATAAATATATTTGTTTAGTTATAGTTAAAAATAGAAGATTATATTAGGGTCCTACTTTGATAATATTGGGTGAAAAAATTTGGAGGTAAACAAACAGACCCGTAGTCATAATTATTCAAATGTGTGCCGGACACTACCTAAATTGCATACTGGGTGGCTAGTCATAATTATTCAATGACACTAATTGATCATACAAATATTTAAAATATATGTGAATATTTTGGAATGATGCCTATAGCTATCATGAACTCATTATTTTCATTTTAAAGATTGATTTTCTTTTTTTAATAATGAATTCTATGAACATAGCAATCCTATGCCACAATTACAGTTGTTGAGTATATATATATATATATATTTGTAACAGACTGGTCACATCGGTGGTGAGAGCTGTGGAAGTGTTTGTGTTCTTTATTCCTAGATCTAATTTGTTTGGTTGTGTTTTTAAATAATAAAAAATTGAAATGTAACAATTGTTTGGTGTGATGTAGTCATTTGATGTTGTGCTTTTAATAGAAAATAAATTTTAAATATAATAAAAATAGTTTTCTTAAATTTTAAATATAATAAAATTTGAAATGTAACAATTGAAATGAACCTGCACATTATATGGACACTACTCTATGAGATCATAGTATAATACCAAAAACATTTCAGCTTGAAATTCATAGTATAATACCAAAAACATTTCAGCTTGAAATTTTCTCAACTCATTTGATTTTGAGAAATTGATCTCTTCGGTTATGCATGAAATGATCATAGATTTCTGAAATGTTCATCTTTTCTGCAAGCAGGGCTAAAGCTGATTACTGTGGACCGAGCTTTTGCTGAGAAGCATTATGCTGATTTGTCCGCAAAGCCATTCTTCAATGGGCTCGTTGAGTACATTGTCTCTGGCCCTGTTGTTGCTATGGTTTGGGAGGGCAAGAATGTGGTAACCACTGGTAGGAAGGTGATTGGAGCTACCAACCCTGCTGATTCTGCTCCAGGCACCATCCGTGGTGACTATGCTATTGATATTGGCAGGTAATTTTCAATTGAAATATAATATTGAAATTCTACTTCAAATAATCTAACTTTCCATCCAAGACCACCCTATTTACTTCAATTAGATGTTTTTATTTAATCAATGTTATGGTGGGTGCTTGATTTCAAGTGGGATAATGATTCTGTGATCTAAAACTTCTGCCTTGGAGGACTAGAACTCAATAGATATTATAATTATGTTTTTTTTTTTTTTTGTAAAAAATTTGACTATAATCTATCGGAATTGTTCTAGTTCTTAAATTATTTTAAACATATGCCCCCTTTGGTTATTATGATACCTGTACCTAATTTCCTCGCCCTTCACCCCAATCAGTGTGGTTTTTGTGCACATGTTATTTCTTTTCTCAAAACTTTGACAAATTTGGTGATTTGGGTGGGGTGTTTGTATTTACATGTGGCTGTACTGATTTGGTGGGGTTGATGACAGGCACAGTTTCAGTATCGATAATTTTATGGCCTTCTGCTTATCATGCTTGAATTATTATTATTATTTTTTTTCATATTTTGTTAATTTCGGTACAATTTGAAATGCCAAAATTTGTTGCTTAAAACCAACCCAATAGACATGCTTGTGATGCATGAGTTTTGTACCCTTGTGAAATGCAGGAATGTGATTCATGGCAGCGATGCGGTTGAGAGTGCAAGAAAGGAAATTGCTCTTTGGTTCCCTGAGGGAATTGCTGAGTGGCGCAGCAGCCTCCATCCATGGATCTACGAATAAGCATATTTCAGACTATGGTATCGGCTTTTATCTATTCCATCTATCTATCATGCCTTGATCTGTTTCTGGCTGAGTGAGTGATTCCGAGTTTCAACTTTTGTGTCTCTTATGCACCGTGATGTTGTTGAGGATGATACTGTTGTAGTAATGCAAATTCAGGCATTCTTGCCTCTACTCTTTTAGTAAACCAATTTTCGTGACTTACAATCATTTATTTTCTGCTCTAATTATATATATAATGAATGGGGTTGCCTATTTAGATTATTTTGGAAGGTGATAAAAGTGAAGTAGTTTCTTCTGTGCTTTAGTGTTGTGTTCTATTTGGTCTATGATCAAGGTAAGTTGATTGGGTGATTGTTCCGTAGATTTTGGCACGAGAGTATAGGTAAAAATGATTGTTGTGTGTTTGGTTTACCAATTGGATTATAAATTTTCACGTAATTGTACTGTTTCCTTTATTATATTTGATTTCAACGCACGCATCAAAAACAATAATAGTACGTGTGCTGTGTAATCACGAATTCTGAAGAGTTTACTTGTAAGATTTTTAATATGATTTTACTATTCTCAATTTTATTTTATTTTTTCAAAATATCAAATCAAATATTTATTTATTATTTATTATATTATATTAAAATTTATTTTTTACATTTAAAATATCACATCAATACATGTTTATATCATATTAAATAATTATTTCAATTTAAAATTTTACCCATATAACACATATGTTGTATATATATAATATATATATGCTGAATGGAAAATTCAACATGGTGTTTTGATTTTCATCATTCAGCAGATAACCGGTCTGATATTGTGCTTTAATCTAACATAGTAAAGTACCTTGCCACTTGCTTTCACGAATAAACAGGAACACAGTAGTCGTATTGAATTTATTTTGTACAATACAATTATTTTATTATAACAAAATAATTATTGGACTTAAAGAAGCTGCAAAATTAGACAGTAAGAAGGGTAAGGGTCAAAAGTTAATTGGATTTTGCACAATCCATCACTGTTTGACACATTAGATCCCAGTAAAACTCATACTTAGGCAAGAGAACTCGAATAGTATTAAAATGAATAACCTCTAAAAAATCTCATGTTGCACACACAAAAGAAAAGATTAATTTGGTTTGTTCTTGTTATAAGATAGTTTATTGCTACACAAAGATAAGCAGCACATAATTTGAACCATTCGATTGTCAGCACCATGCTGAAAAAAATTGTCCTAAGGCAAGAGTTGCAAGGCAGTTTATAATGAAATCTTATACTGGTTTGCTTGCTATTTGGGGTTCAGATAATTAAGAAATCCAAGGGGAGGAGATGCTTCAACAATGATGGTGGTACAATTGTGATCCCTTACTTCAATTAATCCATATGCATATAATATATATATATATATATATATATAATAAATCAATAAACTACCCACCTACCTGGCTGTAAAAACATGATATAAGAACTTCCGAACTGGTGATGAAAACAATAATAGAGATAGATGATCCTCAAAGTAAGTACAAGTCTTACTTACGGCGGTACATATACACAATTAAAACCCAAGACAGCATTTTAGTTTTACTTTTAGTTGTCCATTCAATTCATACTTCATACCATACATAAAATCCAATCAACAGATAAAAGGTAGAGGGTGGGGGTGGGGGTGGGGTTGGGGTAGGGGTAGGGGTCCTCAATTCATACCATACTAACCCATTGCATATTTCTGAGTCCAGCTTCTAGCAGTCTGCTCATACTTGGCTTTGTCTGCCTTGTACATATGAGCAATTTCAGGTACCAACGGATCATCAGGGTTCGGATCCGTCAACAGTGAGCAAATCGACAGCAATACCTGAATCAACACATATACACATTCATTCAATTTATATATATATATATATATATGCTAAAACTCACTCGTATGTATGGTTCAACAGCTACCATAGCAATTGTGCTCCCATCGACTCAATTTATAATCTTATATTTTGATCTTATGATTATAGGAACAAGACCAATGGATCGTTATTATATAACTAATATTCGAAGGACTTCTGATAGCCCTAAAATTTCTAATTACCCTGTTTTAACACAATCAAATTGAAATGTAAGGTGCTGCAAAATCCAGACGATAGTTGCTTGGTCTGTTCTAAAAAAGGTACCCATTAATCTACCCGGAAACTATAAAGTCTACAAAAAACACAGAATATGAATCAAACCTTTGAAATGGTTAAAGCAGGGCTCCATTGCTCCTTCAAGATATCAAGGCAAATACTGCCATTGCTATTGATGTTAGGATGGAAGACCTTTGTCTTAAAGGAAACCTACAAGTATCAATCCATTAGCTAAAACATAAAAGCTGGAGAGGCACATTTAGTTTATGAATTAATGCTAATGGAAAAGCGGTGTGAATCATCCCAAAATGCTGAAAAGAAATTCATTATCAAGACGACAGTACTCTGCTGTAGATGATGAACCAGTAAAATCAACAGCTCTGCAGGTAATTAAGACTCTACGTACCTTGGGAGGTTTGAATGGATAATCAGGAGGAAAGTGAATTGAGACGAGAAAGACACCCCCAGCATAAGGGCTGTCGTGAGGGCCCATGATTGTGGCTTGCCAGTGAAACATATCTTCACCAACAGGTCCTGTGTAGACATTAAATGGAAGAAATATATCACGTTCGATCTAATTGAGGTCGCATAGCAAAGTACTTGTATCTATAAATCTTCATTTTGAAACTGAATGTTAGATATATCACAATTTAGAAAACAGTAAACTAAACGCCATTGAAGTAAACAGCCAAGCTGAACCAGATTTTGCACTTCTAAAAAACTTGCAACAAAGATCAAGGAGCTCTTCCAGATAAATACCAATAATTTTCCCTGCTGATCTAAATACAGAGTTATCATACAAACATTTCATGAAATAACTAGAACATAATGCAAAGAAGTGATGCTTTGGATGGAAAGCTGCACATTGAATAGTAAAATTCTTCAACAACAAAACACACACACAACGCATTCTTCAAAGTTGGAAGTTCCAGCTATATGCAACATGATATGTCAAATTCTATTTACAACCTTAATTCTTTTAGCGACTAAACGTACAAAACTCATTGGATACAGAAGCATAACTAATGCATCAAAGACTTCTTAAGTTCCACTGCAATTGAAAAGCACAGAAAAATAAAACTCAACGGAGCAACAAGCCGCAGCAGACTCTTTCTTCTGATCCAATTTCTCCAAATATTTCTAACACAAAACAGAATCAATCTCCAAGTCACTCATAAACATTTGTACTAAATTATCCTGCCGCCATGGACGGTGCACACCGTCAAAACCCTAGAATCACGGAGTATTATAAAACGGAAGATAGTTTTCCTCCAACACACATAAGAGGAAGCACATAGAACTAGAAGCATCAAATCGCACCGATCAAACCGGAAAATAGTCAAAGCAAGCAGAAAATCGTAGCAAAATCGCCGAACAAAAGCACAAACCTGCGCTGCAGGAAGTCGGGGGATCCTTCTGCAAATCCTTGAGCTCCTTCAAAATTCTCTTGGAAGCCATCGCACACAATAGGAGAACTCCGATCTGCCGAAACCTTCTTCTCCAACGTCAAAATCTACCACAGAAGAACTGTAGAAACGCTCTCTAGAAATATTATATATAGGAAATGATATGGTATTGGTTTTACTTTTCGGCTTTGTATCGTATTGGCTGACCGTCACTCGGCGCCGCCGTTTATATAACTCCGCTCATAGACAGTTGTGACTTCTTTATATGCTTCCAGAAGTTTCTGCTTTCAATATTAAAATAAACATTTTAGATATCATATATATATAAAAAAATTAATTTTACCTAATTTTTTCTCTTTTACCCCTCTAAACATAATTTCTAAAATCACACCAAAGGGAAAAAGATTAAAAAAAATATCAGGATATACTAATAAAAAAATATGCCAAAAATAAATCAAGAAAGTAAAATAGGATGTGTAGTATTTAATACTACTAACTATTTTTGTTAAAAAAAGGTAAAAAAAACACGGCATGAACCAAGCCTGCTTGATACAGTATTCATAAACTTTGCTACGATGACGGGGCCGGGTCGGGTCTGGTCGGTCCGATCCAGACAGTCATAATGGGCTAGGGTTGAGATTATAGTGGGCTCAGACCCAACCCAAAATGATAGGATCATCACAGCTGAATTCCAGTGGGCCCAATTCAGATTTACTTAATGAACCAGCCAGCCAATACAGTAAGGCCCAATCCAAAAAATTGTTGGACTAGCCCATCACAGTCTACCAACCAAGCCCAATGTAGTTAGCCCGGCCCAAACAAAATTATAGGTGCAAATTACGGGTTGATCCGATTTTTTCATGCGGAATGACCTGGCTGTTTCAAATTAGTTTAAGGTAGTTTCAAACTGTCTACCTTTTTCTAAAAAATTAAATTATAGTTTATGCAATCTAAATTATTTTTTTATAAACCAAACAGCACAATTTGCATAATTTCAGATAGCCCAGTTCTTTTAACTATGCCAAACTGGCCTAGCTCGAAAATATTCAAATCCATCTTTTAGCTTTCTAAAACTCATCACTACTTGCACATTCAAGGGATGGAGCTGTGATTGTATGGTCATAACCCTACTGAAATCTTTTTCAAATATAAAAGTTCAGTATCTTCTCACGAATTTGTGAATTAGGCAGGACTCCTTATTTCAAATGATCAATAGATTTGGACGAAAATTGAAAATTTATTCAGATTGCATTCGAAGTAGTCATAAGTTCAAAATGATTATTAGAATCCATCGAAAATCTGTAACCATCAAATTAGTTAAGGGGAGCCCGGCAACAAAATGTACAACACGACTAAGTACGTTACGTATGTATGTATCAACTCAAAAACACACTAACTATTTCATATAAACTAAACTCAGACTCTCTCTCATTTGCTACATCATCATCTTTAAAACATTATTATTATGTAGTATTATTTGCTTCCCAGAGTAGGGAACTGACCTGGATCTGCAATCGAAGGTGCCGGGTTGTTCTCAAACCCTCCACTGTAACCTCCACGGGGCCCACGCCCACGGCCTCGACCACGGCTGCCAGCTGTGTAGTGTCTCTCTCCCTCAGCAGGCTTCAAGAACTCATTGATGCTCACTGACTGAAACACCAAAAATCAACATCTCTCATGGTCCCATCCAAATATGATATGCATACATTTGTGGGTGTACATATGTACATTAACATTTGGACAATTTACAATGCAAGAATAGGTCAGTTAAAACATCAATCAATTCAAAACCCCACACTTCCTACAAGCAACGTGGGAAGATTGTCTTTGTTTGAGTTTTAAATTTTATTTTCACATTATGGAATCTATGGAAAAAATATATTTTATCCCAAAAAGTATCACGTTCAAAAACTATTTTCCATTAAAAACATTACATATAACACATCATATCCAAAGCCTATTTTCCATTTCCAAAACATCCAAAAGTTGTAATGCGGAAATGAACATACCTTTTTGGCTCTCTCTTCTTTCTCAGTTAAATCTTTCTTCCTATCCTTTTCAGATCCCTGAAACGAAAAACCAAAAATTAGTAACTTCTATCATCTCTGTTGCACTAACAAGTATAACATCAGTGTCCATGGGTTTACCAATTTAATAAAAACATGATCATTAGATTTCTTGTTTGACAGTTGTTGCATGGACGCGAATTCTTTTGCATCAACCCTCCTTTCCTCGTTGGTTTTAAGAGCCTGCAGAGCCTTCCTCTTTTCCTCCACAACCTTTTCATACTCTTCCAGTGTCATCTCCTGCAAGGTTACCATTTAGATTAACAACATTGACACCTAAGGAAGCAACTATCTGAAATAAGTAATTTCATGGCCATCGATCCAAATACATGAAATCAATACATTTCTTATCCCTTCACCTTATTTTCAGGTTCTTCTTCTTTAACTTCACTTTTAGCATCTTCCTTGTCTCCAATAGGGACGCCATCATTGTCGCCTGCAGGTGTCTCAGCATTCAGATGACTTTTCTTCCCTTCAGCAGCAATTCCCTCATCCGGTCTGCTTGCACAATGCAAGAATTAGGAAAATAATAAATCATTGCAACCATAATTTTAAGTCTGTACAGCAAAAAGTGGAAATGCTCACTGAGCCAGTTCATCTGAATGAGTTCCCCAGTTTCCTTGGCCAGCTCCTTCACTTTTTATCTCGTTTCTGCAAATAAACGGAACTTATGGAGAAAAAGAAAAAGTTGAAGCAAAAATAATTGAGCATGCATTAAGCAAACCAAAAAATCAATACTACTAGGATACCCTTGCTCTGTTCCAGAACGGCGATCAAATGGCCTGCGGGGGAGGTCACGATCACCTTCACCAACCTCTCCATTGTTGAAGCCACCGCGGCGGCCGCCACGGAAAGGCCCACGGGATCCACCATAACCACCACGCCTTTCATAAGGTTTTCCACCATCAGCTTCATGGGCAGATATATCTTTGTTTCCATAAGAATTTTCATAGGGCTGTGAATCCCTGTAGGACCCACGTCCACGGCCGCGGCCATTGCCACGTCCTCCAACACCACGACCACCATAGCCATATTCAGATTTTGCCTCTCTTACTATTGAATAAGAAAAAATGAAAATAGTCATTAAGAATGTGTAGCAGGATATGTAGAAATAGAAGTGAACAATCTCAACTAGATCATCAATTTAATATTGATTTAAACCTGATTTAAAAAGAAATTCTAAAGTTTTCTAATCCAAGTCAAATTAGTTGTTGAAATTAAAATTTCCAATGTCAAATTCGATATAAGAAAATATAGACGGTAATTTTATTTTTTTTTGTTTTTAATGAAAATGACTTAAAATTAATACTTACAAGGAATCAAACACAGCTTATAAATGCACAATGGCCACCATAATTGCTAAAGAATGGCCGAAAACATAGAAGTTCAATGTCCACAAATGTTTTCTTTGTCCTAATTCAAGTTTACAAAAGGCAAATTTCACAGAACAAAAGGTACATCCAACGTCCACAAATGGTACTAACGCAATCATTACAATGTCCACAGTTTTGACATGCATTAATCACACGGCCATGTAAGGAATCCCAATTAATCAAAACAGGAAAATCTTCAATTTCCATGTGCACAGAACACGCAATTAGAGCTTTGTACTACAAATCTCATTATACAATAATCGATTCCTTTACTTATCAGCGTGCGACTAACATCCAATAAATCCATATCTACGTACACACAGGCAATTACCCACGTATGTATGCATGTATAATTGAGATATAGGACAGACCAGCCTGAGCCGGTGGGAGTGGCTTGGAGGGGAGCTTAGGCTGAGACTGAGACTGAGGCGACGCCATCTTATTCAGTGGCTTGCCCCCTCCCGCCGCAGCCGATGGAGCGGCCGCTTTTTTAGTCTCAATCTTCTGCTGGTGCGCAGCAATCAGCAGAGAGGGGTCCTCTGCATCATCGTCTCCGAGTAAATCGAACGGGTTGGCCGTCGCCATTCCTCCTATGCGTTCCTTCGCAGATACGCGCAAGTTGGAACCCTAATCCAGCTATTCACCCATTTCTGCAATCAATCAGAGATCTAGAAAACACAAGGAAAGGGAGGAAATTGGGGTTTCTCCAAACCCTAGCCGCAATGCAGACAGAGAAGAGAATGGATTGTGAGGTACGGAGGTCGCGTCTCCTCTATGCACTCAGGGATTATTTTATTTTAAATAATAGATCAATTGGAGAAACGTTTGTTATTCAATAATTCACTTTAATACCTATTTATACATAAAACTTTTCAAAAATATTATCCTGTTTGTCTTAAAAAAATAGACATGATGAAGACTCGATCTACCATTGAACTCTGAAATCATTATAAACTTACCTAATAAACATTCCTAAATTGCTCAATCAAAAAGGAAACATCCAATTCCAAATACGTACGGAGCATCTGCATACGCAGTATAGATTTCTCTGACCATTTGATGCTAAAAGGGTCGTTTTATTTTTTCATTTATATTGTCATATTTTTTTTTGCACTATAGTATACACTTGGGCTGCAATTACTTCTTTGAAATTTTATAATTTATCTGCATATGATACTAAATTTATATAAATGCTAATACATAAACTGAATGATAATTGTCTACATACTAACATTGATCTCAACCATTACATCAATATTCAATGCTTCTGCCTTAAATAAACATCAAAACAATGCTATTTAGCTTTCACAGTATATTACATTACATGCACAAAGCAACGCAATAGAAAGGCATAAAAAACATGGATTAAAAGCAACCCACAGCTCTCTCTAAGACAATCGACATTGGGCACAACTTCTTTATAGTTTTGAGCAAGAAATCGCGCATAAATTCAACAGTTACAGTCCAACAATTGACATTACAAACAACCTAAAACCCACCATTGACATCGACACAACATCATACATGTATAAGGCACTTTCAAACAGTCAGTCCTGAGCAATCCCAGGATCAAAACATGCAGTTGTTTATATCAGTTTTTGACATTTAAATTCCAACAACACTCTCAATTATTGCCCTTTTCATTCTTAACACTCTTGTCGTCTCTTTCATTTGTTCTGGGTGTGTATTGGCTGGTGGAGGACGGAGAGTATCCTGGCGCACTTGGGGAGTATCCAGCACTTGGACTGCAACAGAAATGAGCATAATAGTGAGAAACATATACATGCAAGTAAATTGCCCACTGATTTTGTGATACAGTGGGGCATTCGAAGCTTGCCTGTACTCTGGAGAGTTAGGACTGTAATTTGGGCTCGTGCCAGGATTATATGGGCTGCAGAATTGTTAAAAAAAAAACTGTCAAAAGGGGGGGCTTTCCATCGATCTTTTAGTATGTAATAAGTTTGAAATTAACAAACAATGTGAGCAAGATACAATTTGATTACAGTACGGAGTATTAGTGATGATCTGATCATAGTTAAGATATGTAAATAGCATACCTGCTTGGGCTGTAACTGGGACCAGACGGAGAATACGTTGGAGATGTTGGCGAATAATTGGGTGATGTGGGGCTGCAGAAGTTGAAATAATCAGTAACAAGGAAACAGAATCTTGTTTTTCAGTTATATAGCATGACAGAAATAATATGATAAATTAAACATTATATTTTTATAAATGTATCACTGCTCTAAAAAGTAAACTCTTTCTGAAATTCTGTTACTAGGGTGAGATATCAATCAAAACAGGAATCACAGTAAAAAACTACAAAGATTCTTCTTCACTTTTCACCAAATCATGAGAAAATAGTACATAGACGTGCAAAAGGAGATGAAAAACCCACAGATAAAACAGACTACACTTTGACACCACACAGAACAAATTTCAACAATGCAATCATATTTTAAAATAATTCTTTACTCAAATCTAAGTTCGTATTCGTATTTGATTGTAGTAAAAAAACCCCATGCCTAATATCCTGAGACTATTCCACAATTTTGATGACATTACGTAATCATACTAGACTACTTTGTATAAAGTCAAATAGCATTGCTATTTAAATCAACAAAAGCACCTATTTCACATCCTCAAAAGTAATTCCAAATACAGATTCAAACAAGGGATGTTACCTGTAAGTTGGAGAGGAGGGGCTGTAAGGACTCGACGGGGAGATCTTTGGACTTGTTGGTGAATAGGCAAGAGATGGGCTGTATCGTGCCGATGGGTTGTAACTGGGAGAGGTAGGGCTATAGGTCGGAGATGTAGGGCTGTAACTTGGAGAGGTGGGACTATATCCGGGAGAAGTAGGACTATATGCAGGTGATGTGGGGCTATATGATGGAGAAGTAGGGCTGTAAGATGGGGACGTAGGGCTGTAGGATGGGGAAGTAGGGCTGTAGGAAGGAGAAGTTGGACTGTAAGAAGGTGAAGTCGGGCTGTAAGATGGAGAGGTAGGACTATAGGCAGGCGATGTGGGACTGTAAGCCGGAGAAGTAGGGCTATATGCCGGAGATGTAGGACTATAGCTTGGGGATGTGGGGCTGTAGCTCGGGGATGTTGGGCTATAGCTAGGTGATGTTGGACTATAGCTAGGGGATGTCGGGCTATAGGAAGGAGAAGTTGGCGAGTAAGATGGGCTGGTGGGAGAGTATGCTGGACTGGTCGGGCTATATCCAGGAGAGCTAGGACTGTAAGTAGGGGAAGTTGGACTGTACCCTGGAGATGTAGGACTATAACCAGGAGACGTGGGACTGTAACCAGGAGAAGACGGGCTGTATCCAGGAGAAGATGGGCTGTACCCCGGAGATGACGTAGGGGAGAAAGCCATGCCACCAACATATGGAGAGAATTGAGCATCGTTGACAGGAGACAGACGGAGATTTGGGCTCATCAAATAGCTTGGTGACATCATGCCATCATGGTATGGGGTCCCTGTTATTGGTGATCGACCAGGAGTCATGCCAAAATCGAGACCACCACCTTCCATGTAGCTTGGAAGAGGGATCTCAATGGCTTGTTTTAGCATCTCTTCATTTAGGTACAAGGCACAGTCTCCTGTGCCGATAGGTGCGAGCTGACCCAACATGATATTTTCAGTGACACCCCTTAGAGGATCTGTTTCTGCAAAAACTGCAGCATCAAGCAGAATATCGACTGTTTCTTCAAAGGAGCATCTCATTAAGGGACCAGTGTCGTTGCGGTTGATGCCATGCCGGGTGATAGCCATCAAGTGACCGCGATATGTCATAGTATCGCACAATATTGCTAAGTGACGATAGTTCACGTAAGAACCATCGAAAGAGATGACCACACGCAGCTCATCAAGTAGAGCTTTACGTACTGCCTCAATGCCAAGAACTTCAATAACTTCAATCAAGTGATTGCTTGTTGTCCTTGTTGCATCCACATCATCGTGACACATGACAGCCAAAAGATTAACACCTTCCGTGTCCAGCATCCATTCATTTTCTGCCTTGAATCCATCATCCTCATCAAACTTGTTCAGCTTCCCGTTCTTTATGAACACTTTATGGATATCAGGAATGCCTCGAAGAGCCATTTCTGTAAGCATGTTGCTCTCAATCTTTTTGAGGAAAACATCATCCTCAGCAGCTTCATCGGTCAATTCACCCTTAGGGGCTTCATCATTCATGATTCGAATACGAAGGATCAGCTTCTCTGCGTTATCATCATTAAAGATGCACGTCAAATCATCATCAAATTCAAGATTGATTTTCTCCGCAATATCTGCCATGCTGAGCTTCTTATCAACCATCATTTCTCGATTCAGTTCAATTCGAAGCAACCAAGGAGAGATTTTGTCTGGATCAATCTCTTCATCAGGCATCTCATAGTAGGACTTCACAAATTCAACATCTTCCTCAATAATAGTGCTCATGGGATCCGGATCATACCAAACCTCAGTAGCTTCTGTCACACTCCGTAAGGTTGTATATTCTAAAGCACACTGGACATTTTTGGCCCTCTCCTTAGTTTTACCTACATCAGGCCTCAAGTATACAGAAAGCGATGGCGTCTTGATTTTCTTAGCAACATTAATAATCTCCCTCAACCTGGGCACACCTAAGGTAACATTCTTAGCACTAACACCAGCATAGTGAAATGTATTAAGAGTCATCTGTGTGGCAGGTTCACCAATTGATTGCGCAGCAACACATCCAATCATTTCACCAGCTGCAACAAGTGACTGCAGAAAACGAGATTCAATCTCCCCAATAACCCATTCAAATGCTTCACGGGTAAGTCTATACTCTTTCAAAACCCTTTTGCTTGCTAAGGCACTGCGGAGTAATATATTGAAGAAGAGAGTAGCATTCTTTTGAGCTTCCATACTCAGATAATCATCTCCAACAACCACCTTAAGCCTTTCTTGCAGCTTATCAACAGCTTCAACAATCTCCATGGGATGCATATCAGAAGGTCTACGGAAATCAACTTTAAAGGTCTTCTGTGCATTCAAGACAAGCCTCTTGATATTAACTGGCAGCGGCCAAGAGTTATCACCAGTGGTTGCAATCTCTGTCCCAAGTTGATACCTATCACCTTCAAGTTTCTGAACCTCAGCATCGAACACGCTACGGATTTCACGAATTGTTTTGAGATCTTCTACAGCTTCAGGCAACATGTAGTTAGGATTCCAGTTCTGATCATCGATCTCATATCTGTACATGTCATTGAAATCTGATTTCTTCAGCTTCAATGACTCTAGTGGTTGTGATTCAATCCAAACAGCATCCATACCATCCTCCCCATAGAGAAACTGAATAACATCACCCAAGGAATTTCTAACAGTTCCATCATACTTAACCATAATGTCTTCCATAGCCTTCACCAGCCGCCTCTGAATGTATCCTGTCTCAGAGGTTTTGACAGCAGTATCAATAAGACCTTCTCTACCACCCATGGCATGGAAGAAAAATTCTTGAGGAGTCAATCCTCGAAGGTATGAGTTCTCCACAAACCCACGACTCTCAGGACCATAATCATCTTTAGTGAAGTGTGGCAGTGTACGATCTATAAATCCAAATGGAATTCGTTTTCCTTCAACATTTTGCTGGCCCACACAAGCAGTCATTTGAGAAATATTGATGAAACTTCCTTTGGATCCTGCAGTAACCATAGCCTTCAGATTGTTACTTTCTGATAAGCTCTTCTGTGCACTACTTCCAGCGTCATCACGAGCCTTATTCAACACCTTAAAGACACAACAAGAACACGTCAAGCTTCATCAAGCTGTTAAAAATGAAGAAATCACCTTAACAAACCTGGTTCACTCTGTTTTCAAATGATTCCATCATTGTTCGACCAGGTTCAGCCTCCAGTTGCTTTTCTTGAGCAGCCCTAATAAGTTCTTTCACCTGATTCTTTGCATTTGAAATAGTTTCATTGATCTTCTCCATAGTAGCAGCATCTGCAATAGTATCTCCAATTCCAATGCTAAAAGCATTCTGCAAAAGCCAATAATTCACAAGCCATTGGGTATGTCCCAAAAACTTTCGAGCCGCATCTGGACCAACCTCCTCCCTGAAACCAATTTATCCGCAGTTACATGCTCAATCATGTGTTGAGTTCACTTGATACATATAAAATAGGTAATAAAGTCATTTGGACAAGAAAATAAAGCATATTTCTTTTTCAATATAATAGCTATTACAGCTTATAGAGCAAATCTATAATTTCAACAAAAAATGTAGAAGGCATACCATATAACATGTATGAGACTTCCAGAGGAGGTCCCAAGTGTTTTCTTGCAAAGAGTGCCAGAAAGTAACTCCCCTTTTTCAATGCGCACTTGAGTATCCCCAGGAGTTATATATCCTTTTTCACCTTCTTGATGCCAAGCTGAATATCTCAGCAGATTTATTTGTTTTGGTATAATTAAATTAAATACTTGCTTTCCAGTCCAAAGAGGTTTAGGTTTCAAAACTGCAGGAGCTGGTACTTTGCCATCAAAATCTTCCCACCACATGAGAATGTTCATAAAGACATCCTGCGTATGACAAAATAAGAACTTAGAAGGAAAGTGAAGACTTGCCAATGAAAATGCTTTCAAAATTCAATAAACTACATGTTACCTTTTCAATAAATGTATCTCTTTTAGTAATTTTCCGACATCCTAAAAGTGTGTCCTGCACTATTCCCATCACGGGTCGATTAGATTGAGGGGACACAATGCACTTCGGAACCATCATCAATTCGAGCACTTCTGCACGGGTTTCAAATGATTGAGGAACATGCATATTCATTTCATCCCCGTCAAAATCAGCGTTGTAGGGTGATGTAACTGATAAGTTCAGTCGGAAAGTTGAATAAGGCATAATCTTGATTCTGTGCCCCATTATAGACATTTTATGGAGACTTGGTTGTCGGTTAAACAGGACAAAATCTCCATCATTCAAGTGTCTCTCCACCTGCAACAATAACAATTCGAATAAGGATAAAAACAGATCACTCAGTTCTAGATCTATATTAGTTGTAGAGCCTGGATAATCACCTTATATCCAAGTTCAAGATGCTGATCACTGCTTTTCTTCAAGTACCGGAGATCAAGCCTCTGTCCATCATCTCTAATTATGTATTTTGCACCAGTTTTACCAGGAGGAGGATGTGGTCCGTTCTCTACAAGCTCTTTCAACCTATGTTCAAGGTGAAGTTGTGATGTAAAACCAAACTTAAAGGCACTTTAATGAAGCAGCAAAAAAAAATAGCAGAATAGTCAAACCTTTCAATATTATATGGTGTTACAGTTTCTGGATATGTGAGGTTTAATGCAATACTCCATGGTACACCCAGTTGATCAATGTTGATGGTTGGATCGGGTGTGATCACAGTTCGAGCCGAAAAATCCACTCTCTTGCCCATCAAGTTACCTCTGATCCGACCTTCCTTTGCCTTAAGCCTGCTACAGATAGATTTGATTGGTCTACCAGATCTTTGGGTGGCCTAGAGTACACCAGGATACATGTGAGATAACTGGCATGGTATGCATCAAGAAATAAATGAGATAACCATACCCTTGGCTGTCCTGGCAATTCATTGTCAAAGTATGTAGCTATATGGAACTGCAGCAACTGTGCAAACTCTGAGATAATGTGTGCTGGAGCTCCATTTCGCTCCTGTCGTTTCAAGTTCTCATTGTGCCTAATGATCATTGCAAGTTGATGTGTTAAATCATCCTGCATAAGAGATCAAACAATGAGATTTCTCCCAGATAAGAAAGCAATCCAGGTCAAGCAAAACTAACATAAATTTAAGTTACAAACAGAAACTAGTGTACTTACTAGACACACAGAAGTACCTAAAGTAGCCTAATAAATCAAGACACATGCATGCCATGGGAAACTTATATAGGTCAAGAGGAAGGGGCATGCCTCACTCCTAGAAGAAGTATCCATCATGACAGAAGGTCTAACAGGAGGAGGAGGAATTGGAAGAGCTTGAAGAATCATCCAGTCAGGGCGTGCATATTTAGGGTTGAAGCCCAAACTCTGGCAATCCTCATCAGTTATTCTCTTCAGAATGCTAAGAACCTGAAATGAAACCAATCACTTATTACCTGAAAAGGGACATGCATGAGCCAGATAACTAGCGCATCGGATTTTTTCTTGTAAGAAGTGATTATAATACCTTCTCGGCTGAGAGTATTTGTTTTCGTTCAACAGGCTCAGGCATCTGCTCCTGATCATCATTTTTCTTCTTTTGAATCTTGTATTCAGCAACCATCTTCATACCATCAATGGATATTTTTGGCTGCTGCGCACCACATCCACCCCTAGACTTCTTCACTGGTTCATCAGTATCTTGATTTTGAACATCAATTTCATCACCTCCATCACATTTTGATTTGTTTTTGCAGGCATCTAATATCTTTTTTAATCTGTTTTTGGGATTTCTGATTCTCATTGCTTGCTTGAACTTTGGATCCTCCTGAAATACATAAATTATATATAATTAATTTAGAGGTCCCCGATAAAATGTTAAATGTACTGCCCCTTTGAAGAAAAAATCCACCCTTTCATGCATAGATCTAAAAGTTTGAACTATAATAAGGGGAAATGCAATGCAATCATGGTCTGTGAAAGATCGAAACAATTTTCTTTGGTTACTCACATTCGTAAAAGGTCAAATACACAGTCACAGTGTTGCAAGTATTTGCATTGTGTCTATGATATGACACATTTGGCCCGTACAAGAGCTACAAGTAGTGTTAAAGAATTTGAATTTCAACCCATTATTACATGTGAAGTAGCTCAAACATGCTGTTTACTCACTTACATGCCTAGACATCATTAAAATGTGCAAAAGATTACTTCGAATCTGATGCCACCAAGAAAGTAATACGTGTATAAGTAAAGCACAATTCATGCTTCATTCAGTCTTCAAAAGAACCAGATTTAAGACAATTAAGCCATAGTCTCGTTAAACTTGAAATTTAAGAAGTCAATCACGCCATACCTCATCTGCCAATATCTTGGAGCAATTAAAGCAAACAGAGCGGAGAATACTGAGCACAGTCTTCATAAACCCAATATGAAACATGGGTTTTGCAAGCTCCAGGTGGCCAAAGTGACCGGGACATTCAGCCATGTTAGCCATACAAGTTTCACACTTCATTTTCCGATCAATCGTCCCGAGCCGCGGGTCGCTCAAGCCCCCAGGCTTCGGCTTGCCCCTCTCCGTCGTCTCGCTGTGCTCGATATGCACGACGGACATTTGTCTCTACAATAAAACAAGAAAAACCAGATCACTATCAAATTACCACCAAACGAATCCGCCCAAAGACTCTCTTCGGTAGAACTAGACACAACAGAAACAGCAGTAATTACAATTTCATCCGGGCTGAGAATCCCGAATTGTACGAATCGGACTTTGGCGACCTCCGCCGGAGAATAGGGGAACCGCAAATCCATGGCGGCACCGGAATCTGAACTCTAGGGTTTCGCGGTATGTATTGCGAGATTCGGACAGCAAAAAGACTCGCAGGAAGAAGAAAATTAGGGATTTTTCTCAGTTCTTAGCGGTCAGTTGGATTTCAGTGTCAGTTGGTTGTTAATCTGTGAAGAACAGAGAGAAATCTTAACTCTCAGAGTTCATCGCCCTTCGAATCGAAGGAAGGAGACAGAGACTCCGTAAAAGAAAGGAGAGATTGGTAGGGTTAGAGGGGTATTTATAGATGGGAGCAGCCATGCGATGGCCTCGCCGCGTAAGGCTCTGTTTGGCTGTTTTCCTTTGAAATAGGAAAAAGCAAAATATGGGATTGCCTTTCAAAAATATAGAAAAAAATTTAATATTAAAAAATCAATTGAATAATAATACTCCCTCTCGTCTACACACAAAGTATATCATTATTTACACAGTATTTAAGAAATAATAGTATTTTAATTATAATTAATAGTTAATAATTTAATGACATTTTTGAACGTCCAAAATAAAAATATATATACTTTCTAGTGGAGAGACTATTTTATATTCATTGGTGAAAGTATATAAAATATTTTGAGGTTTTACCATTTTTATATTTTAATTTTATTTATAAATTAATTATATATGTAATGATATATTTGTAATTTCTATAAAAATTAAAAGTATTTTTACATTAATATAAAATTATTTTTAATAAAATAAAGAGCTTGTTCTATTATAAATATTAAATTCAAATCAATATTATATATTTGCTATAATTTTTAATAAAATTATTTTTTTTTCATAAAAAATATCATATCATATAAAATTATTTATTTAATTAAGATTTCAAATCAAGCCAAACCAATTTAAAACAATACTCTCATGTTTTTTTAAATCTCATAAAATAAATTTGAGTATTTTTACAAAAACTATGATTAATCATGCACCAACTTAGGAATGTCTCACCGATTGATTTACAATTTTTTTTTTGGAGAACAGTGGTATTTTCTTATTTAAAAAAAAACAAAAACAAAAACACTTATGTTTATAGAGATTTTTACTTTTATGTTAGATATGAGAATCTTATAAGTAATATTAAAAAATAATTTTTATATTTATTTGTTAATTTTTTATGAGTAAATATTATATAAATGTATATATATATTGTATTTTTCAATAATATTTATAAAAAGAAATTATTTCACTAAAAATAGTATCGGATGGATACACTCATTTTTTCTTTGTTTCTATGTCCAGCCATATAAGCAATTTTTTTCCACATTATAGAGTACCACTAATAACTCTTTTATTTTGTGTATCATAGTTTAAATAATACTTTGTCCACTTTTAAGATGATTATTTAATAACGTATTTATATGATTTGTGTAATATTCTTGCAAAAACTTTGTTATTGCAAAGGATTTGTTCATTGGCAAATCGCAAATGTCCACGAGTAGCAATAATTCAAACTCAAAAAAAAAAAAAAAGGGATTTAAGATGCAAATGTCCAATGGATGGAGAAGCTGAGGTTGACTTCTCTATGTCTTACATCGGTGAATTAAAGAAGCTAAAGGTTACTGATTTGGGGGTTTGGATTTTGAGTTACGATTTGAATAGTAAAAATTTTGAATTTGAATAGTTGTATGATGTGATATAAATAGGTGTTGATGCGATATTTTGAATGAAAAATTGATTTTTAGAATAATATAAAAAATGAAAAATAGATGTTTGATTTGATATTTTTTTGGGGGAAAAAATGATATGAACAGTATAAATCCAATCCAATCCCCCAAACAAACACACCCTAAATGTTGGAAAATGTCTTTTAGTTTATGTAATATCTATTCATATTTAGCTTGATGCAGTATCGATAGTGTTTCAATAATTACGACGAGATTATTGCAATGATTTACCACTCCGTTCTTACGTATGGTTTGCAAATTACATCAATTGCACCGATGGAAATACTATTTAATTAATCTGATATTTAATTTTCACAGAGCGCTTAAACATATCCCCAACATGCATGTTCAAAATAGAAATCTCTCGTAAAAAATCGAGACCACAACATTCACAAATACAACACTAATACGAGACAACAACACAAGTCAAATCATACTAATTCCAAATATTAAAAAACACAAAAACGCGACAACGTTTACTATCCATGTATTGCATGAAGATTGTATATGGTTATATGTGTAAGATGTGACCTCGTGTCACTCGTTAATTAATGGTTTAATAAAACATTTAATAATAATAATAATAATAATAATATTTAATTATATTAGAATCGGTCTAGTCAAATTAATAGTGGTTCAATACCACTTTATCATTATCTCACATTCTGGGATAATGATTTTAATGCAAAGGATTCTGGTTCTCCCTATGTTTATAAAAGACCAGAATAAATCTATTATATCACGCACAGAAAGTAAACTTAAGCGTTCTAGCATTGAGGCTAAGAGGAATAAACTAGAAGATCCAACTCATCGTCCAAATCAGAGGATCCAACTCATCGTCTCAACCAGAGGATCCAACCTGTCGTTCTGTATGCGATGATGATTTCCAACCAAGCTCGGTATATATACACATTTATATGATTTTGTAAGAATCATAAAGTTCAAGATATGTGAATTAAAATCGATTATATTTTATTTTAAACTTACAATATGAAAGTAATCTGTTGATCATTATACATATAAATTTATTAGATCTTTTTTTTTTTAGCCAAAAGTTAACCGACTATTTGTTTATAATAGTATAGTAAGTCTATTGTTATACGTCCGATGTTATTCTGACAACTTACACATGTGTGTGTATATATATATAATTGTATTGTTAGTCGAGATTTACAACTATCTTAAATTATTAAATGATATTTTGTCAATGACATGATGTTGCACTTTGTTTATTTATAGCATATTTTTATCTATATCTCTCAAAATAAATTTAACAATTAATTCTATGAAAAAATATTTAATTCAGATGTATATGGTATATTCAATATTATAGGGACATTTTCAAAATGGCTACTTTCTCTTATATTTTAAAGTAGAATTTACTATTTTTATTTTTTTCCAAAAAATACTAGAATATTTGCCACGGCGTATCTCCGCCATGTCAGCATTTCTTTTAAAATAAAAGAATGAAGATCTCTTTCTTTCAAACATTTCTGTAGATATGTTTGTGAGATTTTTATTTTATACTATGCATCATAATTAAATATTTATATTAAAATTATTATTCAAACAAACAAATCATAATCATAATCAAAGACACATCCAAATTGCTCTACCTTTTTTTTTTTTTTTTTTTTTTTCCGAGGTTTATATATATTTATATATTTAAAAAATATTTTAAGATATTTTTTTTGGACAATCTTTACATTCGAAAATTCAAAATACGATTCAATCAATATGGGCTCAATTGCATGTAGACATTATTATTATTATTATTATTATTATTATTATTTCTTAACAATAATGTCTCACAAGCCCAGTTATAATTTTTGAAACAAAATATGGGCCGTCGCTATAGCACTCCAGCTTTTATCTTCTACCCGCAATTCTTTTTATTTTTTAAACTATCTATAATATATAATTATTTTATATAATAAAATATTATTAATAATATTTAAATTAAATTTTAAAAGAAAATTTAAAAATTAAACATTCGTTTAGAATGATTTTTGGAAATTTTTAAAAATTAGTAAAGATTTAAATATTTGATGCAATATTTAATGATAAAAAATAAGTATTTAATATTGTAATTTCGAATTAATAGTACGTAGAAGTAGATTTTAAATATACGTAAACAAAACTCTATATTATAAAATTTTGGGAGAAAATAACGAGATTGTCTTATTAATCATCAAAATAAGAGACCTGTATATAGACAATAAAAACAGATTCGAATATCTAAAATATCTCAACATTCTCCTCAAACTCAAGTGGTATAACATAAATCAATTTGAGTTTGATAAGAAAGTTGAATATAAACGCAAAACAAAAACATAAATAAAAATAAAAATAATTGTTGACTCTCCATCGGAGCCGGAAATGGATGACTTTTCACCCCGGAGCAAAAAATGAAATGACTCTATTGGAGCCGAAAACGAGACGACTCCACCGGAGCCGAAAACGAGATGACTCTCCACCTGAGCCGAAAACGAGATGACTCCACCGGAGACGAAAACGAGATGACTCAACTGGAGCTGAAAACGAGATGACTCTCCACCTGAGCCGAAAACAACATGACTCCACCGGAGCAAAAAGTGAGGTGACTTCACCAGATTCGAAAACCACATGACTCCACCGAAGTCGAAAACGAGATGGCCGAAAACAAGATTACTCAACCGCAGCCGAAAATCACATGACTTAATTGGAGCAAAAAAAATGAGATGACTCCACCGGAGCCGAAAATGACATGACTCCACCGGCGTTAAAAACGACATGACTTCACCGGAGCAAAAAACCACATGACTCCACCGGAGCCGAAAACGCGATGACTACACCGGAGTCGAAAACCACATGACTCTTCATTGGGGCCGAAAATGACAGGACTCCACCGGAGCAAAAAAGAGATAGATCCCAACACCAAACAAATCGCACGCAAACAACAGACAAACAACAACAGATGACAGATCGTAGACATATTTCAGGCAACAGACAAGCAGCGGACATATGACAGATCGCATACGAGACATATTTGCAAAAAGACAGACTTGCAAATGCATGACCTCAAAATCACAAGACCTCCGGGCACAATCCAGATTTAATGTACCCGGAGAAACACAGGTTGATAGACTATATCTACTGTATGAGAAAAATAGACTCTGATACTATGTTTCGGGGAAAATAATGAGATTGTCTTATTAATCATTGAAACAAAAGACTTATAGATAATACAAAATATACTCAAATATCTAAAATATCTCAACAAAACTTATTCAATAAATGATCTATTGCATTACTCAATATATCTTCATATATTTCTTAATAAAATATTATATGTTGGACCATGTTTTGAGTTCGGTTTAGTGTTTCATAACAATAAATTCAAATTTAAAATAATTATTTAATATAATATAAATAATTAGATAATTTAGTATATTAAATTTAAATTTAATAATTAACTAAAATATGTAAATTTAAAAATTACAACAACAATATAATTATGAAAACACGAGTAAACACATCTTTTATATTTAGTGTAGATTATGTAGC